CCCATAGGAAAGCAAGCATTGGGAGGCTATTATGCATGTGCGGCAAAACACTGTGCTGCGCCAATCAGCATCTCATCATAATGATGCAATTAATCAATATAACTCTATGAGGAACGTTCAGCACCTCCATGCACAGTGTGGAGACGCTGAATGCCAGTGCTGTACACTGTGCAGCACTGGACTAGGAAGCACCTCTAGTGGCCGTCTGAGTGTGGAGAAACATACAGACACTAATAATAACACATAAAAATATTGATAAAGGGGCGGAGGAGACAATAACTCTACATGATTTGGTTTTATGTATTTATCAAGTGTGACACAGTAAGTTTTATGTAATGATCACACGGGCTAGTCCCAAGTAAAATTAAAGCGTTGTATGCTGGTTCCTTTTGGAACCGTGTGTTCCGTGTTGATTTTTAGGAATCCCAGCCACAGAGTTATCATACCTGTTGACCGGCTGCAGGATCCCTCTAGCCCTGGGGCAAATCAAAGACAGCCTGAGGCTTAAGAGCTACAAGTGTCTTTATAAAGACAAGAGCAATCACATTGCAGGCACAGGTGCATACCTACCTGGAAGGAAAGCTGCATAGGAATAGGCAGAAGGGACGATACCTGCCTGGAAGAAGAGCTGCAGAGGAATAGGAAGAGGGGACGATACTTGCCTGGAAGAAGGGCTGCAGAGGAATAGGCAGAGGAGACGATACCTGTCTGGAAGAAAGGCTGCAGCGGAATAGGCAGAGGGGACGATACCTGGAAGGAAAGCTGCATAGGAATAGGCAGAAGGGACGATACCTGCCTGGAAGAAGAGCTGCAGAGGAATAGGAAGAGGGGACGATACTTGCCTGGAAGAAGGGCTGCAGAGGAATCGGCAGAGGGGACGATACTTGCCTGGAAGAAGGGCTGCAGAGGAATAGGCAAAGGAGACGATACTTGCCTGGAAGAAGGGCTGCAAAGGTATAGGCAGAGGGGATGATACCTGCCTGGAATGAAAGCTGCAGCCTGGTCAGATGGAAAAGCTCCAGAGAGACCCCAGTTAAACCTCAGTGACTGGGGTTGAAGTGCTCCAGGGTCCCAGCAAGCGACTAGGAAGCGAACTGGACGGAGGTACTTGGTCGGAGTACAGGAGCTCCGTCACAACAACTTTGAAGAAAACATTGACAATCACTTATATGTTATGTTAAACTTTTTCATGAGAACATAATTATCCAGTTATCCAAGGCAAAGTTTGCAAATGAAAGGAGAAATCGAAACATTGTTCTTCTCTGCTATTCAGTTTGCAGTCTCTATGCTGACTGCTAGGTGCAAGGGGCAGACCTGTTACACACACACATATTGCTACTTTTGTGCTTCTCTTGAATTGACCATAGTATGTTTCCCACAAACCTACCATGTGACTAGATGACTGGACACCTATGGTGAATCTTTCCTTTCACGATATCTTCCTGTTTATCTCTTTAAGTTCAGAAATAACAGAACATTACCAGGTCACTCAACAAGACTGCCAAATAGCTCTCCTGTGGCTGTCAAAACATTCCGGCCAACGTCTTTTATAGGTTACCGAGAACAATATCTCCCCCTCCTTTCCTCTCATGTTTCAGTCATCTTGCTAAACCAGATAATTTCACCTTTTGTCTCAGCTTTCAGCTGCTTCCAGATTTTCGCATTACAAAAAAATCATAGTTTTTTTTTTCTTCTTCATCCGTTTCAATGTCTCATTTTCCTAAAATACCTGGCTCCTAGCTTCCCATAACATTATTTCTTTTGTTTCAGGAAAACATCCTTTCAGAAGGCAGCAAAAATTTATTTCCACAGGCCACAAGGTGATTTCCTTTCTCACCTGATCTTTGTTAATTAATTTTTCCCTTTTCTCAAGCGCCATGTACCTCCCTTCCTACTTTTCCAGGAAGGATTTTATATCTCTTCTGAAATGTGTCCCAAATTCTTTGTTCTTCAGATATCACGAAGCAAGAACTCATTGTTACCTGCTGTCTCTCCTAATAACTGTTGACCTTTCAATCTTCCTGTAGTTTATGACATCTTAACTCAATAAATAGCAATGTATCTAAAACATACTCTTCCACTTTAAATCAAGGATTAAAACGTGTATTGAAATAAAATTCAGGCTTCAACTATTCAAATATGTAATTTTCGTTCGGTTAAATTTAGAATTTGGAGGTAAACTTCAAATTGTTTATAATTATCAATTGGAATAAAAAAAAAAAAAACACACATGTAGTGTCATTATTCACTAAAAAGCTTATTCAATAAACTGCAAATTGAAGTGAAAATAAAATATAAAGGCATATTTTAATTCACTACATTTAAAGTTTGCTGACTTAGCTCCTAAATTGCAAAAGCAAACCTGTGGATGATTGAACTATTGTTCATGAATTTGCACATTAAGTTAATATACATTTTATTGGAAAAAAATAAACAGAATTTGTGCATAATATAGCAATTGTTGTTTTTTAAAAGTTCAATTGTAACTGCATTGCTCACAAATGCAATAGCTCCCATACATTTTTAACCAATTCAGAGTCATTATGGGTTCAAATAACCAAAATTTGGGAAGGAGCTTCAGCTGCCTCACTCCTTTTTTCATCCTGTTGGTTGTTGGTGTCAGGATTCCCCCATATTATTTTTCACTCAGATCGGCATTTACCCGTATGACTTCCAGGTTTCACCGATCCAACTCCGCCCATGCGGCTGACATCACGCGCTTCCTAAAACAACTTTAGCTTAATGAAGCAGTTTTGGTGTATAGACCATGCCCCTGTAGTCTCACTGCTCAATTCTCTGCCATTTAGCAGTTAAATAACTCTGTTGATTCAGCACTAGCCACATCTCCCGGCATGTGACTTATCCAGCTTTCCTAAACACTTCAAGTAAAGAGTAATCTAATGTTTACACTTCCTTTATTGCACAGTCTGTTTAATTTAGAATGTATTATTTCCTGCTCTGTTAATAGCTTGCCAGACCCTGCAGGAGACTTATGTGTCCAATTAAAGTTCAATTTACAGAGCAGGAGATAAAAAAACTTTTCAAGTAAGTTACATCTGATTGAAAATGAAACCATATTTTTTTTTAATGCAGGCTCTGTCAGTCATAGCCAGGGGAGTTGTGGATAGACCTGTATAAACACACACACAAAAAAAGTAATTTAACTCCTAAATGGCATATAATTGAGCAGTGACACTTCAGACGCAGGACTGAACAACCTGCGGCCCCCAAGGGTTGGTGTATCCCTTTTAATTGCTTATTAGAGGAGATGAGTAATATAAAATATCTAAATTTGAATCAAGATTAATGATTTGGAAATAACATCTTAAATTAACTCAAATCACCTTGGAAAAAACTGTTCTGCAGGCAGCTTCAGCTGTCCCCATAGAGGTACTGTAGAATTAGTGAAATAAAAAAGTAATGTACTGAACTGAGCATTATGATTGGACGGAAATTCTAGCAACAATATGCCATCATATATTACAGATAAAATAAAAATCAAGAGACAAACAATTTTCTTTACGCTTCACAATGAGAGTTTATAAAGATGTATAAAGATTTTATGCATCCATTTATAAAACCTTACAAGCATTAACTCTGCAAAAACGAATGTTTTCAAAGTGAATGGTTTTCTCTTGACATTGCTGAACTTGGTATTGAGGGCAAATTATTTCTTACACGGAAATGATCTTTACATCCAAAAGACTGGTACAGTAATGGATACTAATGTAGCCCCACCTAAGATTTTGTTTAAAGTAACACTATAGGCACCCAGACCACTTTGTCTGATTGAGTGGTCTGGGTGCAGTGTACCTGTGCCCCCTAAGTCCTGCAATGTAAAAAATTGCCGTTTTGGAGAAACTGCAATAAGTAAATTGCAGTACTAAGACTAACGCTAGTGGCTATCTACCAGACAGCTACTAGAGGCGCTTTCTGGAGTTTTTTTACAGAGTTTGACTGGACAGCTCCCCCCATCAGATGACGTTGGAGGAGGCGGAGCGCCACCCAGTGAAAAGGGAACTCAGTGCTGGAATCGGGTAAGTGAATAAAGGGTTATTTAACCCTTTATATCATGGGGAGGGGCGGAAGCTGTGGAGCATTTTAGGGCATCCCTAACACTAAAGTGTTCCTTTAAGAAACATTTACTCCACTAGGTAAAAGAACCTTCATTTTCTACAGTATCTGAACTCTTGTATGACGGATATGGAATACAATCTTCACTTTACTACATTTCTAAACAGTAAAATTTGCAAGAATGCTGAAAAAACTGAAGATAGATCTATTAGTTAAAGAAATTGATATAAATATTTGATTTGCAACCCCAATTAAGACTTCTGAATACATATAAAGAATCAATTCGTATGATTAAAATGGATAATGTCATTTTTTGGAGAGAGGTAACCCTGTAACATATTGGAAAAATATTAAACTAAATAAGAATAGAGACCAGTCCAACTTACTGGAAATTTAAAAAAAAAACACAAAAGAATCAATAATTATTTTTGCACAGTTTAGCAATAATTTAAAACCACTTGTGATATTCTTTATTAATATTTATTCATATGATATATCTTACAGAAACACTTCCTGAAAAATACACTTTTTCCTTCTGTAATAGCACAATGAGTTTAATTTAGAATTTATCTTCTGTTAATAGGCTGCTAGAGATTTAAGTAGTCATCTGTGCGTGATTAAACTCCAATTAACAGAGCAGGGGATACAAACGTCTAAGGTTAACACACAGTGCTGTAAGATCTGCTTGTCAACTTATTTTTAATGAGGCTGTGCAAGTCACATCCAGAGGAGGTGTGCCTAGAACTGCATAAACAGCAACAAAAGTTACTTAATTGCTAAATAGCAGAAAATTGAGCAGTGAGACTACAGGGAGCTTGAAATATATATATATATATATATATATACATACATACATACATACATATACATATACAGTGGTGTATTTTGGATCTGTGCTGCCCTAGGCATGACGGAACTTGGGCAACCCTAATTTAAATTTGCCACACCTCTTCCTCTTAAAGACTTACGCACCCACACACTCAAAGACACATACACAGACAGACACACATTTACTGACAGACTAACACACTCACACACAGGCTCCCTCACACACACACACTGACAGACATACACGCACACACTCAGACACACATTCACTGACACACACACGACAGCCAGATACACACACACACATTCACTGAAAGACAGACAGACACACACACACACACAATTCCCCCCAACACTCACAGATTATTATTTTTTAATTTTAACATAAATCCACCCAGCCTCCCTACTTTTGGAAGAGCTGGGTGGATTTATTTTTTTACCTGGGGTCCTGGGCTGGCTGTTGCCAGGGTGTTGGGGCTGCTGGGTGGAAGGCAGACGGGCTAAGTCAGTAGCGAGGGAGCCGTGATCTCCCTGTTCAGCTCCCTCGCATGCCACAGAGTGATGCCGGGAGTCGGGGTTAAGTCAAATTCCAGTATCACTGCGCCGCCCGTCTGGAGCTTAACTGGCCGTCTGCCTCAGAGCGTCCAAATGTGGCCAGCCGGCCAGCTCTTGAGCCCTCTTAAAGGAGGCTAACAAGGCATTTGCTGGGCAATTGGGGCGGCTTTTTTTGCTGTCCCCTGGAAATTGCCGCCCAAGGCCAATGCCTTGTTTGCCTTGCGGAAAATACATTGCTGTATATTTATGGTTTAGTATAATTTTAAGAATCTAAGACCATTTCAGGATGGTATGACTTTTTACCTGGGGTCGTTAAGCGCACCTGTCTCAGCCTCCTCTCTAGCTGGAAGCCCTTTTCCCAGAGCTAAGCCTGGCAGCATAGCCTTTAGCTCCTACCAGTCGCTTCCAGCTCTCCGCCACGGCCATGACTGGCACCCCGGCCGACCTCCATGTAAGTCGTCCACATTTTCTTAAACAAACCGTTTGAGCACTTACACTGGGGGCACAATCAGGGCACGATAACGGCTACCGCGTTCGCTAGTGGTTATGGTGGTTGTAGTATTTCCTTAATAATGTATACATTTTAAATCTCATAACAACCTGGGATTAGGCAAATCCCATTACATGAAGCCATCAGGAGTGTTTATTTTAGTGTACAGAGCTATCTTTTTATTTATTTATATATATAAGCATTTGTCAGTGCAGTTTTTGTGGACTACATTTCCCGATAGGCTGCAGGCTGTGATCTTAGCAGAGAGCATGCCGGGAGATGTAGTCCCCAGCAGTCAGACAGTCCTGTGGCAGGCGGCGGCGGTAGGACCCCTCGGCTCCCGCGGCCAGCCCAGCTGTCTGTGAGTGAGTGTCCCGGAGACATTAATAGCCGCTCGCAGTGTCTCTCTCTCTCTCACCCCCGGGGCTGCCCGCACACCATGGGACTCAGCGAGGACATCGAGCGCTTCGAGAGCTGCGGCAAGGGCAGGGGCCTGCGGGCACGGCGCTCCTTCCAGCTGGGGGAGCTGCTCTTCTCCTGCCCGGCCTACACCTACGTGCTCACCGTGAACGAGCGCGGCAACCACTGCGACTACTGCTTCACCAGGTAACCCGCCCGGCCGGCCTCGCACTGCGCACTGCCTGGCCGCCCTGCCCGCGTAATACAGCAATTACGGCAGCTGCTCCCCCCACGGCCGCACGTGGGTGGAAGCTGCAGGCTCCCTGGGAGACACTGGGTCCTAGAGCCTCCCGCTCACAGGGCCCAGGTCCAGAGCATTGGCCAGCAAGGCTTGGATTTAACTGGGTTTATTACAGTGGAAAAAATAATAATAATAATTAACAATTTCCATCTCTTTATCATTTACTGCACCCACACATTATATACTGTATTAAAAAGACAAAAAGGGCTTCAATTTGATGTGACATATACATTATTATTATTATTATTATTATTATTATTGCCATTTATATAGCGCCAACAGATTCCGTAGCGCTTTACAATATTATGAGAGGGGGGAATTAACTATAAATAGGACAATTACAAGAAAACTTACAGGAACGATAGGTTGAAGAGGACCCTGCTCAAACGAGCTTACAGTCTATAGATAAAGTCTAATTTGTTATATTTTATAATAATACACAAAAATGCAACCAAAAAAATGAAAAAAACCCCCCCCCCCCCCTTTACAGTTATGGTAATGCATGCAAAAAATTGTGCAGTATAAGAAAAGTAATTTTAAAAATAAACTCTTATTTGCGCTGATGAACAGAGTATTAAATAATGACTAGGACTTCGGTTTATTTTTGGTGATTGCAGGTCACAAAACGCAAAGCGTGTTTAAAAAAAAAAAAATCAATGGGGATTTAAAAAAAAAAAATTTTTTGTTTATCTCGTAAGTCTAAAAGGAACACTGTTAGGAATACAAAGATGCCTGAGGATGTCCAGCGTCGTTTCTCACCATCAAAAACTGTGAAACTCAAAGAAGGGCCTCTGGTAGACCGCCACTAGAGGCAATCTTAACCCCTTAAGGACACAACTTCTGGAATAAAAGGGAATCATGACGGAATATATCCGTCATCTGTCCTTAAGGGGTTAATACTACAATGTAAACATTGTAGTTTCTCTAAAACGGCAATGTTTTACATTGCAGGACTTAAGGGACAGGGACTGTGCATCCTGAGTACTTCAATGAGCTGAAGTAACCTATGTTCATCAGTGCATACGCTGTGGTTGCTATGGAATGTGTTCCAAGCAGGGCAAATCAAAGACGACTTCGGGAGCAGAGCAGGCAGAGTACGGAGAAGATGACGGACAGGGGGTGGGTGTTACGTGAAGAAGAATAACACCTATTAAGTGGCACTGGAAGGGAGGAAACATTGGTAAATCTTTATATATTACGGTGAATACACCAGATATCTTTCAGTTCTTCAGTTTCTTATCTTTCAGTTTATTTTTCACTGTAAAGGCCTAGACAGATGAATTAAAGGGGGTTTGTGTTGAAATGAACATGTTAAATTTAGAGTGCAGATATATTATCTAAATTCAAACTCCGAATTGGCCTTCATTTTATATATATAAATGTATTTATTTTCTGGTGAACTACAATTCACTGTTTAGTGAATAAACCCTCAATTTAACATCTCCCACTCAAAGCTCTTTATTCACTTACTCGCAGCACCATAGCAATTACTGAACTGCAAAGACTATTCTAGTCTTAATCACATGGAAAATCCTTTCATGCTGCTTCTCTCTAAATGTTTTACTTTTCACACAAAGCTACCTACTGCTCTGTACAATGTAGCCAGAAGTGAGACTTGCACTGAAACAACGGAGTTTCAGCTCGATTTATTAACAATCTACAAATTATGTGAGAAAACATAAATAATATACAAAGCTTGGTACGTCCAATGCATGCAGCTTGAAGCCAAGAAAAATACACTCCTCAGGTCTTTTAAAAAAAAACAAAATGTATTTGCATGGAATAGAAGAGAATAGTCAGTTACTGTAATAAACTTACAATAAAAGTGCATGCATGCAGTGGTTGCATTGCCTTTGCCTCACATAGAAACATTAGAAGATCTACAGCGCCTTTGCCACGCATCGCCGATCCTGTGCTTCTTAAAGAGAAGCATTGACTCCAAACAAGGTTGTAAAGGGTCACTGTAACCATTTTTTGGGGGGGTGAACATTTTTGTATTTATTTTTTTTTTACACTTACCTGGAATCCAGCCACGGCTGTAGTTCCTGACCACCCTGCCCTCCACACCTCCATCGACCGTTGGCAAAGGCCTTGCACAGTTCAAACAAAGGCTTGATTGGACAGTTTTGCCTGCTCAGAGTGCATGCATACAAACTAAGTCAGCAAGGGGAAGTGGGAAGCACTCCTGAGGTTATAGGCAGGGCTCATCTCCGTTAAGGAGGGGAGGAACACCGTACCTGCAGTGGAGAAGCTCAGTACGGCCATTGCCAGTATGCAGTACATGCTGATGACAGATTTGGGGTTTTTTTTGCACAGGATTCATATTTTGTCTTTCCGGACTGCCAGTCACGTGTGCTAACTAGAACTTGACACAAAAGTGCAGATTACTCTGTATGTACAGAGTTTCATGCAGAAATTCACATACAGGTTCCTACCACCATTACCACTTCAAGTCACTGAAGTGGTCATTGTGGAATGAGTAACCCTTTAAGGAGGAAGTACCTCTACTGGCTGTCAGTCTTTTGTTGTAGACATTGCTGTTTCTCAAAAACTACAATCTTTTACATTGCCAGACGTAAGGGACAGAATCTATTTTGGTGCTTAGTGTGTCCCTTTTAAGTTCTAGTAAATTCTGAAATTTCTTTCAAGCAAAACGTTTCCAATTATTGTATTTTTATTTTTTTTATATTTAAAAGTTAACAAAATGATTCCTTTTGAAAGCTCTTTTCTACAGTAAAAACTATTAATGTGTATCCTTCAACCCCCGAAACACATGCCCTATTCATGATTTACACCTGTTGTCCCTTTGCTGTAAAACTACACTTGTGTCAATAGCTGCTTTTTAAAATCACGACCTCTCATGTCTTAACAAAGCTGAGAATCAAATCCTGTTATTCAGCCATAGAACATCCACTCCTTCTGCATTGTTACCACTGTTCTGTAATTCGTCTCTCCATATTCCCCTAACTGCTATAGAACGTATGTTCTTTTTGTTATTTGTATCCAGCTAAGAAATTCTACAGATTATTTGAAGGCAACCTCTAGGAATATATTTAATTTGCCGAGGTAGATGGTACAATTCTCCAGCCATTCAAGCTATTAGCAGGGTTTAAAGGAATTTTGCATCCATTATATTTTCTGTAAAACCCATTCCTTAATGATGTCAAGAAAGCCAGGCGCATACAGCAAATGTTATGAGGGTGATATTAGAAAAGAGGGATAGGAGTTGCAACTCATACAGGCCTTGTCTGTCTATTAGAGGGTCACATTGCAGTCCTGCTGTGAGCTATAATCACTAGGATGGTGGCCTGTTGACGTTTATTTTACAGCTGTCAAACTGCTAATACGATCACGGTTAAAAATTAAGTGCAGATGGTTGGTGATTATTAAGTCATGGTTGTTAACCAGAGCATTGCTTGTCCCTGTGGCTGGCTGCCATAATATAAAGATTAAAAAATATCACATACTTGACCCTTTTCCATAATCATATTCTTGTAGACTTCACCATTCCCTGCCAGAGGTGCAGGGGGCATACCCTGTGGCTACAAGAATTTACTACTGACATGAGTTGTATCAGTCTTATTGACAAAGTGGAAAAGGATTGATATGTACTCAAAACTGTTCTGGCTATGGGATGGGCATACACTGCAAACAGCACTGGAAAACATAAAACAAATTTAGTGCAACACTGACAGCTCTATTTACTAAAGTGAGAATTCAACGTGTGACAAATTTTAAAGGAACACTGAAGTCACCCAGTCTCCGTTTCTCTTGATAATAGAATGTTAATTTTATTCGAGTTAAAATTCAAAGTGAGGCATGTTAAATTTAAGGTAAAAGTAATTGGAAAAAATCAGATATGCTTTAAGTTTGGCTACTTGGGCCTTAACCCCTTCACTACAAAGTAATGGGGTTACAGATAAATACATAGAATTGCTCAATATGTAACAGACTTTCTTCCTCATATAGAATATGATCCTCTCACCTATACATTGTATAATATGTATGTAATCAAAAATGGCTTGGCAGTTACCCCTTCAACCTTAATTTTCAAATAAATGCCTTGGTGCAATCCCACGTTGAGGTATATGAAAAATTTACGAAGGGGTGCGCTCTGAGAATTGGTCGAAACGTCTATCAAGTACTTTTGTGATTTAATGTTTGAATAAAAACTAATTTGATTGTTTAAAGACCTCAGAGTGCACCCTTTCTTAAATTTTCTTTGTGTGTGTATAATATAAAATATATTATATATATTTTTATTTTTATTTTTTTTTTTTTGCAGGAAGGTTTATGCAATATGTGATCATATACTGTAACTAAAGCTCCATTATTTTTGCCTAGGTGAGGTGTTTCTAAATAAAACTATTACAATATGTGAGACTTGAAATTGCTGTTTAGTGAATGAGTGAGTGTGCTGGATTTTGTATGTTGTATAAATTGGACCTAGCAGCACCAGAGAGAGAGAGAGAGAGAGAGAGAGAGAGTGTATCAGTTGTAATCAAAATTATTCAACACCCATTGAAAACCAGGTTTATTAAAATCTACAGACTTTAAACTGTTTGCAATGAACAAATCTAACAATCAAGCTATTTTTGTTTTACATTTTGCCTTTTCATGGCTTTGCAAGAGAATATTCACTCACTAACAGGTTAATGGTTAAAATTTAAACTCAATAGAACGCCTTCAATTAGCTAGGACCTATCCAGGATTTCATTGCAAATGACTGCTAAACATTAAATTAAGGTTAACACTCACCATAAAATCACCAGAGTTAGGATTGATTTGAGCCCTCCCTTCTCTGATTCTTTTAGTTTAAGACTACCTTGGGAACTGAGGATATGCATTTCTATGGATGTTTGGAGACCGTTCCAATCTCTGTTTCTCATAATATTAGAATGTTTGTTTATTTTATTCTAGTCATATAGTGTAGCACTGTGCTTGTTTTACATTTTTGCCTTTTTCAAAATTAGACCCGTTTGCAGCGTTACAAGACTTCTTGCTAGTCACTTCACATGTGAAGGAGGTATATTTGGCCATGCCAAGGGGCTTATTCACCAAACACAGCATTGTAGAGAACTGAAAAAGCAATTGTAATATTTAAGCTACAGTAGCAAACCTGTGATTATAACTGGGTTGGAGAATTTTTCTAAATCTGCATTTTTGCCTGTATCTTGCAATTCAGTTTATAATTCCCTGCACTCAAATGGTTGGTAAATAAACCTCTGTAAATGTCCAGAAAAGGCTTTCTGCCTACTGTTCATGTCCCGTGGCAGCTGAATTAACTTTAAAGGGACACTATATAGTCACCAGAACTATAACTTAATGTGGTTGTTTTGGTGAGTATAATAGTTGCCTTCAGGCCTTTTTCATGCAAACACTGCCTTTTCAGAGAAAAGGCAGTGTTTACATTGCCCCTAGGGTCTCCTCAGATGGCCACTGGAGGTGCTTCCTGGCTCAGTGCTGCACAGTAAGCAGTCCTGCCGTTCAGCGTCCCCACGTTCTGCATGGAGAAGCTGAATTTTTCTCATAGATGCATTGAGTCAATGCATCTCTATGAGGAGGTCCTGACTGGCATTGGATTGGCTAAAAAATAATCCATTTTGATTGTCACAAAGGGGGCGGAGCCAGCGCCAGCAGACTCACGCAGCGCTGAAAATAAGGTGGGTTTTAAACTTTTATAGGGGGGCAAGCAACCTAAATGGTGGGTTTAGCACTATAGGGTCAGGAATATGTGTGTTCCTGACCCTATAGTGATCCTTTAACACCGCTATGCATGAAGTGATGACTATTATATGACATTATGTAGTTATTAATCTACATCAGGGGTGCCCAAACAGTAGATCTCCAGATGTTGTACAACTACAGTTACCATGATACTTTGCATGTCTCTCAAATGACTTGGAATGGCAAAGTATCATTAAAGCTGTAGTTTTAAAACATATGGGTATCAACCTTCTGGGCACCCCTGATATGCATAATATAGTATTCTAAACTGTAGAATCTCCCGTCCTTCTTGTCTTGTGTGACTATAGTGGATGTATTTATAATCTTCATACTGACTCCGATAGCAAGTGAGTTACATTTAGAGTCTGGAAATCTTGTCAAAGCTGACATATCCCAGGCTACCCCACTGGTATGCTAGCATAGTGCTTACTGATAACTATATATTCAGATATGATGTAAAGACAAACTGTTCAAATGGTTTAAGGGTTTGTGAGATAAAAATAAAAAGTCAGAGGAACATTTTATTTTTTTCACTTTTTTTGAAATAAAAAAAAAATCAAGGTTTGTTTATAGAATTCTGGCTCCAACTGTAAATGTCAAACGCTGAATGCAATTATAACAAATACACATTCATAGTATAATAGTTAATGTATTCCTCATTTGTTTTCTCCCTTAGGAAAGAAGGCTTATCGAAATGTGGGAAGTGTAAGCAGGCGTTTTACTGTAACGTTGAATGCCAGGTATGACTGCAACGCTACTGACTTGCTGTCCTATATATCTGACTGTAATTGAATTTGAATATCCGTAATTGTTTAACTATTTGCATGCTGGGTTTTTGAGGTCCTAATCCAGCATTTATGAATCCCCATTCTAAGTGCGGATTCTAGAGGATTAGCATGAATCTAGTTCCAATTTATTAAAATTTAAACTCAACAAACTTGTAGTATACCTGTACTTAGTGTCTTATTCACCCAAGCAGTTTAGTTACTCGATTGCTAACCATAAATGAGCTATTAATCACAATACAATTTGAAATGCTGGTCACTTTTTCTTCAACTCTGTATGATCCTGCCCGAGGATACATTTTAATTATCCATGCCTACAGGGGGAATACTCACTCAGTCACAAATTGGATTTAGTTTATCTTAATGATTAAAACTTTTCCAAAAGTTGTATGGTTTTTAAAGCCTTGCCGAATAAATGATCTTCATCTTTAGTGGTTTAAGATGCTTCAAAGCCATTGGGGACTGTGTGTAATTTTCTGCATACTATTTATAAGGAATAGACCGGATAGAGATATATATATATTTTTTTTTTTTTTATGTGTTCTTCCAGTTTTCTTTTTAAAGATATTTTGTCGAAAATTGCATTGTTCTTCACTTATGGTGTCCGTGTTTGGTGATACGTCTAACAAAAAAGTGTCTCTCCAAGGATGCCCTATAAGACTAAGTCTGCAAGAAAATGATCTATTTTCGCAGCCATTGCTAGTGACCGCTGTGGAAACTGAGTAAATGTAATGACAGAATCTTTGCTTTTTGTCATGTTTTTGACAACATGGGACTTAATCACAAAACAAAAGTCCCTATTTTGTGTTATCCTTTGACTGTTGGAATTTCAGTAACATTCCACCAGCTTCAACATGAGTATTTTATAAACCTTCTGTCTTTATGACCTACTTAAAATGAATATCATTAAAAATGGCTTCCCTATTATGGAGAAGAACCCCTGTAGGTACTATAATACCCCTGTCGGGTGTAAGAAGTACCCCTGCAGGTCTAAAATAAATTTTACCCCTGTAATACTAAATCTACCTCAAGAAAATAATTTTCTATTGATTTTTAAATTCCAAATTAATTGTGTAGACCCTGATATTTAAGTTAATCCCATATTGGAGAGCAAGCCTTATTAAAGGTAGTAAAGAAAATATATATATATATATATATATATAATATTCTATATTTTGCAAGAAAAAGTATGTGAACCCTTTTGGAATGATATGGATTTCTGCACAAATTGGTCATAAAATGTGATCTGATCATCTAAGTCACAACAATAGACAATCACAGTCTGCTTAAACTAATAACACACAAAGCATGAAATGTTGCCATGTTTTTATTGAACACACCATGTAAACATTCACAGTGCAGGTGGAAAAAGTATGCAGAAATCCATAATTCCAAAGGGTTCACATACTTTTTCTTGCAATTGTGTGTGTGTTTTAATATGTTTATATGTGTGTGTGTATATACAATGTTAAACAAAAATCTGCACACCAGTCAAGCCATAAGACTTGCTTTTCCCACAGAAATCCCAAAACTGCAGCGATGTTATAACCGCAAAGGATTCTGGATTACTGGTTTGCTTATTGAGGCTTGGGAAGCAAAATAACAATCAGTACCACAAACAAAGGAAGATTAAAAGCCCATGAGAAAATTCAGAGCAAGTGTATGCTCATTTCCAATCTTAAAGGGGCATTTTTTTTTTTATATATATCGTAACCCAGAGAGCTACCAAGAGCTGCATATTGTACCATTCTATATATTCTGTACTTTTTGAAAAACCTTTTATATATTTTTTTTTATTTTTTTTTAACGTTTGTGACAAACTTCCAATTGGCTCGGTTTTTGTCTCTGGTGAAGGTTTGGTTGAATTGATTGACATAATGATGTTGACCTAGACCAGCTCCACATTGGTACGATTTAAGTAGGCATTCGTCAAGATTTAATAAACATGGAAAATATCCGTTCTGCTATTGCAATAATAATGCACGGTCACGTTGTCCGTTTCAGCAAAAAGACGTTTGACTATGACCTATGCTTTTGTCTTGCTGCTTTCTGCTGGAAGAAGTGAAGATTCTATCCTTTCATTAGCAAGTTTTTTTTTTTGTTTTTTTTTTAAAGAGTGTCATCCTATATGTGTAAAGGAAACATATTTTACTTGACCTTTTGTCTGCAGAGAAGACAACTGCATCCTTTTGTTATTGCTGTAACGTGTTTTTTCTAACCATGTAGAAAGGAGACTGGCCTATGCACAAGTTGGAATGCTCTTCGATGTGTGCTTACGGACAGAACTGGAATCCTTCGGAAACTGTAAGGCTCACTGCAAGGATAATAGCCAAACAGGTGAGATGAGACAGGAAGTCACAGTTTGTTCTCTTCAGAAGAAATTAAGATTTATGCCTCACAAAATGATTTTTGTTCCTGTACAGGAACACGTGTGCAAGCTATTCAGCTTTTCGATGCATACTAACTCCATTCTGGCTAAACTGGGCTTGGTTAGATAATTTCTATGAGCAGCTACTATTCCTAAAATGTTATCTAGCTGAGCTCACAAAATCTCAAGTGCAAAAGGTAGCCGATATTAACCATAATCTAATATTCTTCTATTCCTTTAAAGGACCACTATAGTGCCCTGAGGGTGCCCCCCTCCCGCCGGGCTGGATGGAAAGGAAGGGGTTAAACTTTCCTCTTTTTCCAGCGCCGGGCGGGGAGCTCCCCTCCTCTCCTCCTTCTCCTCCTCTTCGGCTGAATGCGCATGTGCTGCAGGAGCCGCGCGCATTCAGCCAGTCCATAGGAAATCATTCTCAATGCTTTCCTATGGACGCTGGCGTCTTCTCACTGTGATTTTCTCAGTGAGAAACGCGGAAGCCCTCTAGTGGCTGTCAATGAGACAGCCACTAAAGGCTGGATTAACCCTAACATAAACATAGCAGTTTCAGAGAAACTGCTATGTTTATAGTAAAAAGGGTTAACCCTAGATGGGCTAGGCACCCAGACCACCTCATTAAGCTGAAGTGGTCTGGGTGCCTATAATGGTCCTTTAAATGTGTGATTCGTTTCTTCACCTTAAATGTGTGCAATCCTTATTACATCGAAAAATATTGAAATATGTTGATGGAAGGCAAGGTCTACTTGTGACAAGACTTCATAAATCTGCCTTACGCTTTTTTTTTATTTTTTTTTTTTTAATGGTGGTAGTAGCAGATCAAATCACCTCCTCTTTTAACTACCGTATAATCAGTGCTCATTATAAAAGGCACCATGTATAGCCAAACTTCTGTTGATTCTTTGGTTTTGTTTAAAAGATTTGATTAATGATTTGCAGTATGGTTGAAATCTTGAGATCAGTGGAAAGTTTGTAGTACACCCTTCTGAGTCCTATATAACCCAAAATATTAAACTAGAATCCTCACAAAAAATGTACTAAACGTTTAATTTACTCTTGAGTAGAAATGCTTTTCGGACCCCTTTATTACTTGGTTATTCGTTCAATCTACTCCAAAATACTAAGAGACCATCATAGTCTTTATTAATATTGAACTCTGACCTGCATAGTCTCTCAATCTCTGTAGGGTAGTCTGACTCACTTGCTACTGTTGTTGGTGGGAGTGTACAAGTGTATTCTATTGTTGATGTGCCTTTGAGCAAAGGGTAGCAATCATGATGGGTATTTTACCTTATGCTCTTTTAAAAAAATATACTTTTCTGACCATACATTTAGCCAGGAGATTTGTTAGGTTTTTCTTACAATTTACAGGATTCTTATTTATAAATAGGTCTTTCTCACAGCTGTCAGTCAAATCTTCTGAAGAATTGGCTCACAAGGGGGAGAGCGGTCCTTCTGCTTTCCATGCCAAGCAGACCACAGTACATGCGCTGTGGTTGCTATGGTAACTCCATAGCTGTTGCTGCTAGCACGTATAGAAAGTATAGTTCAGACACCAGTATACTGGCACTAAAGCTCCCTGTGTCTCCCTCATACCCCACTGCCCCCAACCACGGGCAAATAAAAGTAAACCCTTTATTTACAGTACTTTCCATATCCCTGGGCGCTGGGTTGACGCTTGCTCCCCTCCGAGGTCGCACAACAAGTGAGTTTATGGACATGTGTGACAAATGCTGCGCATGCATTAGACCTATCAATAGGAAGGCATTGAATCTGTGCTGATGCTGAGTGTCCACATGCAGAGGATGTCCAGCATCAGATACCGGACCAAAGTTCAGTTTCGATTCAGGAAAACCTCTAGTGGCTATCTGGTATACAGCCACTGTGAGCAGACTTAGTGCTGCAATGTAAACATTGCAGTTTCTCTGGATCTGCAATGTTTAACATTGCAACACTAGGTGCAAATGGAGCATTGCACCTTGACCACTTCAAGTAGCTGAAGTGGTCTGGGTGCCTACAGTGTCCCTTTAAGCTTAACTTGTTTTGGTGCTTGTGGTGTCTCTTTAATACATTTGGCTAAGCTTTTCGAAAGATTACAGATTGTTAGAAAACCTTTTCAAATGATTTGTCTCTAATGGTGACTTCTGTAGATAATTTGGAAACTCTCTTTTTCTAACAGATTGTGATTGTTTGTTTGAAAAGCTTATCAAAGATAATTAAATCAAGGCCTTTGTGCCTTCTTGATCTCCACTAAATTATCTTTCTAAAATACTGTCAAATTTTTTTATTTTTTTTCTGGAAACGAAATAGAAGTTATGCAATAAAGAGTAGAATACCAGCCCACAATTATTGTTTCAAGGTCATAGTTAAACTAAAAGTTAAACACTTAATCGGTTCTCAATATCTCGCTTAACTATTGAAGATTGAATACTTTAAAATATTTCCAAGGTAATTTTCATTTCTAAAGCACTGTTGGATAATGTGGGAGGCTGAACACTTGAGATTTTTTTTTTTTTTTTTTAAATGTATTTCATTTTTAATCTTTCAACTAAAGAAAAATGATGTGGCAAGAGTTTAGTTGACAAGCCTGGAGCATTGCTTCTGTGATCACTCTCAAAAAACAGTCTACAGATCCACAATTGAATGATGCTCTTTCATAAGATATGACTTACTGGCAAGAATCTATAATTGCTAGCTCTTAGGAATAAACAGCATATACTGTATTGAAGCTTAGTATGCTAAGTACAGTCCTCGTAACCTCAGCTGCTAGACCACCTGCAAACACATATTTAATAGCCAAACGTACAAAGAAGGGGCCCGAGGCCAACAGCTGAGCTCTGCATTTATACTTTGTCAACAGTGAACAGATTCACTTACCCCAAAGTGAGACTTGCAAGTTTGCCTTATTTGGATGCATTCGAATCAAAAGGGAGAAAAATACATATTTAAATAAACCTTGGGTATTTTTTTATTTTTACCTTTTTGGGGGGGGGTGGGGGGGGGGCAGGGTTCCTTTCCACTTCATTGTGCTAAATACAGCTTGTGGCGCTGTGCATGTGTTTTATTTTTAACCAGTACTTGCGACGGTGCCTGTGAATCTAATTATTTCTTACTAAATATATTTTTGCAATTTTAAAATAATTTTTTGTATTTTAAATCTTAGAAAACACAGACAGAACGAACGCAGGCAGAGCGGTTCCTGACAGTTAAGGAGTTTGAATCTCGTAAGAATTACAATCACTTTCAATGTTCTATTTTATTTAGATCTGTTTTATAGATGCGTGTGACTGTAAGCCTGTTTTCTCACAGTCACGCTATTTGTTCTATGATGCGTTTTTATGAATATATGTTAAAGTAAAGTGGTTAAAACTTCTAAAATTATTAAGCATTCTATATAAGCAATTTGCACAGTGAGAGTTCTGAAAAAATGTTGAAACATATAAAATATGTAATTTTTATTTATAATCAAAGAGTATGTGTGTGTGTGTGTATGTGTATATATATATGTATGTATGTATGTATGTATGTATGTATGTATATGTGTATGTATGTATATATAATCTCCAGTGGATTGTCACTTTAAGCTTGCTTACATGTAGTTTTTCTATAATGAAAACAAAATTATTTGCAATACAAATTTTAGAAGCTATGATTTCTTCCCACCTCATTTTTAGTAGTGCTACAATTTTTTCCAGAATGTCCTCTGCTAAGGTCCAAAAGTTAGGTGTGTGTGTGTTTTTTTTTTTTTTTGTTTTTAGGAGTTGCAGAGTGCTGCAGCAGAAGATGACAAAGTTGATTGTGGTTAGTGCAGGCCAAATTTCAAGTCCTACACGACTAGCCAGGCCTTAAAATGTACTCCCCTGTGCATGGCAGAATCACCAGATGTGAATTTGCTAGTGACAACTGATACATTTTCACTTGCTAGTGACAAGTTGGAGGATCACAACATCAACATACATTGACTAATTTGAACATGATTTAAATGTATCACTGCATTTTTCCCAGGCCTTGCATGTTGTTCTATAACCTACAAACTTATGTTTTAATTTTTTTTTTTATAAAGCATCATTATTTATTGTCTATAACTCAAGTTGATACAGTGTATGTACATTGACGCAGCTGTACCATGCAAGGACCTTCTCTTTGCAAAACCCAAATGCACATGGGGATAGTACCCACGTTCATGAATGATGTTCCTACAAACTTGGAGATACAGCTATCAAATAATCATTTCAGACTGATTTTTAGTTCTCCTATGCTGCCATTCCAGTGGGTGGTAGGAAGGAAACTGGAGTATTGTTTTGAGCTATCAAACCTAAAACCATATTTATATAAAAAAAAAAAAAGGGGGGGGCTTTTTAAAAATAATAATTTTTTTGTATTTTTTTTTTTTTCCATGGATGGTAAACATGAATTATGCTGAAATAATGTGAAAGGATATGAACTTACATTTACCTAATACATTACAGACTGAAAGAGCACATTAAGTCTAAAACACAGTTATGACAACCTCTCAAGCATTGTTGCTTGTTTTAGGTTTATCTGCTTTTATCCTATGGACAACTACCAGACACTCTGGTTTGGTAAGTGGGTTATCCATACTATGAGTTGGTTTGGTGAGGTAGATGTCCACCTCTAGATAATAACCTTCAATAAAATTAGTTTTATATAAACCGACAGAGCTTCTATCAAGGAGTACAGTACTTTTGTAAGGGTGCCCCTGATTACATCCTGGGACACACTTCTCATTTGCCACAAAATATGTGGACCTGTTTTTAAGCAGGGCCAGCTGTATTCCACTTGAAGGCAGGCTTCACACTATACTTTTTTTTTTTTTTTCATCTTTTCAGATCTTGATAAACTCGACAATGAAAAGAAAGAGCTGATTGAAAATGACATTGCTGCCTTGCACCACTATTATTCCAAGAGTTTGCATTATTCTGATAATTCCGCTCTTGAAGTTCTGTTTGCACAGGTAAGAAGCCACAATTGGTTGCAATTAAACTGGGCGTTTGTTCAAACACTTTTGGGCAGTTCATGAGCCTGTCTGATTGGACACTGTGAATTCACTGTTGCACGTTTTGTGTGATTCTCCATACTCTTCAGTTCTTTATGTACTCTGCAGCCTTGAAATCTAGTCTGCACCTTTGGTGCTGGTGGGTCAAATTTGCTTACTGTTTAGGTAATTTACATACAAGGTGGTTTCGTTTTAAAGATGTGCTTTGACACTAGAGTCATGTTTCCTGTAGGATAAGTGTGCTGTGTTCACTCTGATCCAGTCACTCATCCGGCTCTCTCGAACTGTCTGAATGTGATTTTGGGATTGATACAGCCATGTAGACTTTGTCTTATTCTGTGCTTATTTTGTGCTGTCCTTTAAGTTGAAGATGGGTTTTAACACAAGTATTGATGGACTTTGAATCAAGGCTGTCGATCTGTTTTTCCATTCCTGTTGTCATTGTAACCTTTTTCAGCCTGTCAATAGTGTAAACATGATTTGTTACATAAAGCTGTAACGTAGCAACTCTATCAGGGTCATGCACTAAACTCCACGTTTTACTGAACAAAATCTCAATGGCAACATTAAGTCATAACAAATTTTGAAAAATTCTTCAGTGTGGCTATGGAAACACTTTGCTAGAATTTCAAGTTTAGTGAATAATCCCCGAAAATATGACTAAAAAAAAAACCTTTCAGAGTATATACCAAAAACTAGACTGTTGCTTAGAGGTAAAGCCCCTGTGATGCTATGTTACATTATATAGAAACCTAGAATGTGACGGAAGATAAGAGCCATTCAGCCCTTCTAGTGTGCCCAGTTTTAATACTTTAATTAGTCCCTGGCCTTATCTTATAGTTAAGATAGCCTTATGCCTATCCCACGCATGCTTAAACTCCTTTACTGTGTTAACCTCTACCGCTTCAGCTAGAAGGCTATTCCATGCATCCACTACCCTCTCAGTAAAGTAATACTTCCTGATATTATTTTTAAACTTTTGCCCATCTAATTTAAGACTATGTCCTCTTGTTGTGGTAGTTTTTCTTCTTTGAAATATAGTCTCCTCCTTTACTGTGTTTATTCCCTTTTATATATTTAAATGTTTCTATCATATCCCCCCTGTCTCGTCTTTCCTCCAAGCTATACATGTTAAGATCCTTTAACCTTTCCTGGTAAGTTTTATCCCGCAATCCATGAACCAGTTTAGTAGCCCTTCTCTGAACCCTCTCTAAGGTATCAATATCCTTCTGAAGATACGGTCTCCAGTACTGTGTACAATACTCCAAGTGAGGTCTCACCAGTGTTCTGTACAATGGCATGAGCACTTCCCTCTTTCTACTGCTAATACCTCTCCCTATACAACCAAGCATTCTGCTAGCATTTCCTGCTGCTCTATTACATTGTCTGCCTACCTTTAAGTCATCAGAAATAATCACCCCTAAATCCCTTTCCTCATATGTTGAGGTTAGGACTCTATCAAATATTCTGTACTCTGCCCTTGGGTTTTTACGTCCAAGATGCATTATCTTGCACTTATCCACATTAAATGTCAGCTGCCACAGCTCTGACCATTTTTCTAGTTTATCTAAATCATTTGCCATTTGGCTTATCCCTCCTGGAACATCAACCCTGTTGCAAATTTTAGTATCATCAGCAAAAAGACACATCTTACCATCAAGACCTTCTGCAATATCACTAATAAAAATATTAAAGAGAATGGGTCCAAGTACAGATCCCTGAGGTACCCCACTAGTGACAAGCCCAAGCTTCGATATATTCCATTGACTACAACCCTCTGTTGCCTGTCACTCAGCCACTGCCTTACCCATTCAACAATATTGGAATCCAAACTTAAAGATTGCAGTTTATTGATTAGCTTTCCATGTGGTTATTCCCTAAACTATGAATTCTGGGTAACTGACAAGTGACTTGCAAATTAAAAAGCCAACATAACTCGATTACAAAGTTCTTCAACAATTCGAATAGTTTGTTATGAAATGTGCAATTCTTGTATCACTTCTCGACACTATTTTGGATTATTGAAAAACAAAATGCATAAAAACCTTTCTTCTAGTCTGTCGCACTGTAATAAGGATACTTCAGATCAGGGGTAGGCAACCTTCGGCACTCCAGGTGTTGTAAACTACACCTCCCCTGCTGCTTTGTCAGCATTATGACTTTAAGAGCATTATGGGGGATGTAGTCCACAACCCCTAGAGTGACGAAGTTTGCCTGCTTCTGCCTTATGGTTTGCTTGTGTGTTTTTTGTTTTTTTTATTTAACATTGCTTGCTGATCTTGTTAAACTGGATATCTTTTATAAAATAAAAGTTAAAATACTCCTTTCTCCTCTTTCCCCAATAAAGTATATACAATATTAAAATAACCAGAGGATTATAGCTTTAAGTGATCTGTTAATCTTTTATTCCCGTAGGTTAACTGCAATGGATTCACGATTGAAGACGAGGAACTCTCTCATTTGGGATCAGCTGTATTTCCAGAGTATGTTTATTTTTATTTTATAATGTGCTTCCATGGTTTTATTGTAACTGCAAAGTGCATGTGACAGATGGATGCCACAAATGAAGATAAAATGCACCTCAATTATTTTTAACACTTTTAATGTCTTTTCTAGCTTTAAGGCTAAACATGGTTCCAAATAAGATTTATTTTTATATGCAAAGATTTTATCTCCCTAACTGGCTTTCACGTTATGTCTGATAATCCCTAAATCATGATATGTTTACAATACTTGAATACCCAGATTCGGTAACTAGTAATCCCTGGTAGCTTCCATTAACCTTAATGGGAGTACCGTGCTGTTTGTGTATAATGAAGAATGTATTCAGATTCCAGCCACATGTAAGATGTAATTGGAAGTGCAGGAGTATTTATAGCAAAGTTATGCCCGTTAGTTTGAAAAGCTGAATGAAAAGATTATTCTGGGGCTGTGGTTGGGTGACACCACAGATTGATATGTCTGTCAATTAAAAAGTGGATGCATACGGGGGCAGGGTCAGACTGGCATGGTGGAGAGAAGTGTTTTCATAGAGCTCCTCTCCTCTACTGACAAAAAAACTGATTTTAGCCTTAAGCTCGATTTGGCTGACATCCTACAACTTACCTGCTTCTTGCCCAAGCTGACAATCCGTGCAAGGGTCAAAAACTCGACGAGCTCCTCTATTACACGACCTGGATCATGCGCTCTAGAGCGCACCTGGTGGGAGAGGCGGACGATCTCCCGGCCTGGAGTTGCCTGATGGCATTCAGCACTATACAGGTTTGCATCCCAGGGAATCCTTTATGTTTTTTATTTTTAAAGACACAGCAAAATCACTTATACTGATATGTTATTGTTTTAACTCATGCAACCTGTAATGTCTTTGCTTCAACATGTATCTGACAATGCACTCCAAACATAATGAAAAAAAAAAAGTGGATGCATACAATATAAACCTTCCTACAGACCTGTAACTCTACTAAGGCAACCCTGCAGTATTATTATTCTTTGTTTATGAAGCGCCAACACTTACTGTAGCGCTGTACAATTGGTAGAAGGAAAAAAACAAAGGTATAATATATCTAAGACCAACAAATACAGGAGGTGTCATTCCCATGGGAAATTACAATCTAGTGTGTGTGTGTGTGTGTGTGTGTGTATATATATGTATGTGTGTGTGTGTGTGTGTGTGTATATATATATATATATATATATATATATATATATATATATATATCTCTATCTTATTTTTTTTATTTATTTTTTTAATCCCTGCTTAATTTGTTAACTCTAAAAAATTAAATGGTCTAATATTTAGGTAGATTCTTCAAAGTATTTTAATTTCTGGACCATGGAAGGTTGGATGGAATCGGAATTGGATGTACCAAATGACCATAATAGAAATTAAAGGGAAGCTATAGTGCTAGGAATACAAAGTTGTATTCCTTGCACAACCCTTCTTTCCCCCTGCTGCCACAGCCAATAAATGGTTAAAACTTTACCAGATTCCAGCACCGATGTCTCTTGGTGCTTGGTCAGGCTCTGCTCTGCCAACATAGGGTACCTAATGCGCATGCACTGCGAGCACCTCAAGCACATTAGGACTTCCCCATAGGAAAGTATGGAATCAGTGTTTTCCTATGAGGTTTTAGCTGACGCTGGATGTCCTCATGCAGAGCGTGAGGGCGTCATTGAGCGGATCTGAAGTTCGCTAAGGTCACGGTACACAGCCACTAGAGGTGGAGTTAACCCTGCAAGGTCATTATTCCAGTTTCTCAATAACTGCAATAACTACAATTGTAGGATTAAGGGGACAGGGATACTGCACCCAGACCACTTCAATGAGATGAAGTGGTCTAGGTGCCTATAGTGTCCCTTTTAATGCGCAAGTATAATGGAGCCTCAAAGGTGTATGCCATTTTTATTAACACTTTCTATACAGTTTGTTTTTTAAATATAGAAATATATTCTGTACAATCCTGCCACAAGCCTTTTACGATAGAGATTCATTAATACACGGTCACTCTTTTCAATTCTTAAAGTGTCTCGTCCGGGATGCATTATTTCTCTTTAGTCTATGATCAGTTTCTGATCTATTTTGGTAAGGCTGAGCAGTGTCCTTTTTTTTTTATAGCTCATTCTGCGCAGCCCTAATATAAAGCGTGGATGGGTTGAATGGTCAGGGACAAGGTTATAGACAAGGAGCTCTGAACATATCAGAAGGGAACGGAATATCACTGCAACAGATTAAATCTAATCCTTCCATCTCCAAGCACAATAATTCTTTATGCAAAGCTCAGATATGCTTTCATTTTCAGCTATTAGTTGTGTGTTTTTTTTTTTTTGTTTTTTTTTTCATAAGAAGGACCAAATGTCAGATTGATTGTCCGTGGTATAATATTCCCCTCATGACCTTAACATAAACCTTTCTGATGCAGCTTGTAAACCGTGGATTAATCTGGGATATGTGCATAAATTAGAGAGTTCATGTCTGCCTCTGGTCTCAGAATAACTATATTTTTCCAAGTTAGAAATGTAGTGGCAGTGTTACTGCTTACTTTGAATTATTATTGCAGCCGAATTAAAGATTTAACTGTAGGGAAAGGTAGGAATAACTGAGTTACAGCTCCAGGAATTTCCAATCATGGAGTTTATTCTACCTTGCTGCAATTAACTCCTGAGTGGAAATTACCGGGATTGCAACTGCTATTTCTACTTTGTATTTTTTGGACTTGCAGGGCCTTTGGAAAAAAACTCCCAATTCATTTACACAGAGAGCAGATCCTCCTGTCTATCTTTTTGTTGCCATTTAAGGAGGCTAAAGACGGCAAACTCTACTACACCTGTGTTGTGTGTGGTTTTTTTTTTTTTTGGCTTAGGTAGTCTGTGTACTCTTAGCAGCGATTTTTGTATTATTAAAAACAAGCTGCAGCAAATGTTGCTAAAACCATTTAATGCAGTTTGCAGGGTAGGTTGGTGCTAGTTAACAGCTGGCTTTTTTTGAGTGCTGATCAGAGGACGCTTTGCAATCATTGTACCCTGTAAGCAGCCCCTTATAATTGTGGTTATCTTTTTGTTAACTTTGATGGGTCTTTTAGTAAATCCAGTGTTTTTCTGTAATTCCCTCAGTAAATATGAAAAGCAATAAATATGCAGTTACTCGCTTTGTAAAACTACAACTGATAAGTGTTCACATTGCTAAGTGTTTCGATTTAATATATGTAGAACCCTTATGTTTATTGGAAAAATAATGTTACATCATTGTCTCCTGTTTGCGAGGACTCCTACCCTGATTATTTCCAGGACCCAGTCTGGCTAGCCTTCAGAAGGGAGCCCTGCATTAACTCTCTGTATTTTCACATACAATGCCTCTCTTCAAGGTAGTCATGCACCAGACAGCCATGTTTATAATATGTTTAAAGCTAGATTATTCTTTTTCTTCCCCAGTGTTGCACTAATGAATCACAGCTGTTGTCCTAATGTGATTGTCACTTACAAAGGGACGATTGCAGAAGTCAGAGCCGTGCAAGAAATCAATGCAGGAGATGAGGTAAGAAATTATGTCAAAGCAATTCTCTCATTTATCAGAAGACATGTGTGGCAGAACAGTTAATTACATACCATTTCTTAAAGTGCACCTTAATTCGTGTTTCCTTTGACAATTTTGCGTGTTTTGGAATTATTAAAATGGCGTTTTAAATGTGGAACATTAATGTAATTAAAATTCATAAAAGCACAGCATCATTAGGGTGCCACTTATTATAGAATTCATTGAGAACCCCAAACACTGTATCCAGTGCATAGGTGTATTCATCAACCCTTGTGGATAATGCATATACTGTGGACTTTACCAGCCATCCGTCTAGCCCAAGCCAAAAAAATTTATCTTGGTACTTCCTGAAAACATGTTCTCAGAACAAGAACATAAAAGGATCCCATGTAGTGCTTTGCCAGATTCTGAATTATTGTGAATTGAAATCTAAAACATAAAATTCAGGCAGATCTAGTGGACTATGAGCTTAGATTGTAAGGCAAAAGCCAAATGTGACAAAAGTATGTTTTACTTATTTAAGGTAAACTTTTTTATAGCTGCTTCTATGCCCTTTAGAAATCGTAAGAGCCAAAAATCTTGTTATAAAATAGTTGAAATCCGCATATAGTCAGCTGTGTCCCTGGCTGTAGAAGCCTCAGCATCCACCAACTGTAAAGCGCTGCGGAATTTGATGGCGCTATATAAATAACATAATAATAATGATTTGTATCTACATTCTGTTTAAAGGTATGCAGACATGATTGCATACAGATTAAAGATGTCTGTTCTTCAAATACAGATCTCATAGCCGTCTTATTCTAATAGTTATGTGGGAATTATTTAACAATACAAAACTTTTCACATGCTAATCTCCTTCTCTCTATCCGAAGTTGTTTCTTCCATCATATGAAGCCCTATGGCTGAATGTGATTTGTGAATTATAAGCACACTAAATTTAGTTGATTGACATGCTACGTTGGATCATGTTACCTTTGTCTGTAGCAGATTTTGGAATAAAATCCTATGATAAATTTATTCCAGGTAACTGAACCCAGCCAATGGTACAGAGGGAAAGCGGTGCAATTACTTATCATCTTATGTGTGCAGACGAACATCAGTCGAGTTGGCTGCTAGAGGCAAACTCACTTCTGACACTTCCTTCATCCTTAATCCTGTCTTTGTGGGAGGCTGGTTACTGTTTGGAATCTTGACGAAAGCCTCAAGAGGACTTAACACTAAGCAGATATTCCGCTTAAATAAACTTGGACACGCTGTGGGATCCAGCAACTCTCTGAACAATGTAAAACCAACAGCTGCGGCTCTATTCTCTTAGCCTGTCCTATATTTCCACCTTTTGGCTCTGTGTATGAATTGCACAATAAACGAGTCTCATCTTTTATCCCCACAATGCTGAACAGGATATGGAGTTTTAGTAATTTAGGGTCCAGAGCCATTTCATATCTTCAGCATAGAAAAAAAACCGACCTCCCTGCTCTCGTGCATCCAATTAAATCTGGAATAAATCTTCATACGCATCACAAAATGTAAAGTGGAATTGTATATATTTGTCTCTATTCCAATTTCATATGATTAGACTTGTTTTGCACTACAGGCACTATTTTCAATGTTGCTTCGCATTTCTGTTATGTCAATAACTATGGATCTCATGGTACTGAAACATAGCACAATTGAACCTGCAATAGTATCACATCACAAGTCATTCTTATTCTGTGTATTTCCAGATCTTCACCAGCTACATTGATTTGCTGTACCCCACAGAAGATCGCAATGACCGATTGAAGGACTCTTATTTTTTCACTTGTGACTGCAAAGAATGTAGCACCAAGCAAAAGGTAGGTGGGATTTCAGTTAACATCAAAGTTAAATATTCCCCCCCCCCTTTTTTTAATTTTTTTTAATTTTTTTTTTTTTTATCTTATTTTCAAACAAGTGAAGCTGTGTAAATGCAGTTGTTGTGCAATTGTTCTTAAAGGAACACTCTAGTGTTAGGCATACAAATAGGTATAGTGCCCTAGTCCCTGTTTGTGCCCAGGTCCATGCTGCATGAGAAATAAGGTTACTTATTGATGATCTCACTGATCTGTCAGTCCACCTGATAGAAGTAATGGGGTCTACCTCCATTAGAGGAAGGTTAACCCTGCAATGAAAACCTTATCGTTCCTGCAGAATGACAAAAGGTAAAAAGGCATAGCTTTGCGTCTGCCATATCAGTCATCCATCATGCTCTACTAAGCGTTGAGTAACAAAACTCCTTCGATCTTTTGAAGTGAATATGGTGCCTCCAGTGTTTTTTACTGGTTTTAGACAGGAATAATATTAGCTGGGGGGGAACAAATTTATCTAAACTAAAACTGTCTCAGTGACCCACTCTTTAAATGCAGTATAGCTTATAACAAAATTAAATTCTGCAAAACAACTTCATTAGACTCTTCCCTGTGCCAGAGGGGTCTCCGTTATGCTGCTAAACAGTTTATTGTGGGCACTTTCTTGGGGCCTGATGAATACATTCTACCTATTCCTACCTTTGGAAGACGCTGAAACCATATTCTGCTGGTCTACAACATGTAAACCATGCTTATCAGGTGTTAAAATTTCTTTTATTCCTGTTTTTGTGTAACATAAAAACATCTAACATGTTCTGTACCTTCATGGTACTTAGTCACCAGTCCCCTTAAAGTGACACTATAGGCACCCAGACCACTTCAGCTCATTGAAGTGGTCTGGGTGCAGTGTCCCAGGTCCCTTAACCCTGCAATTTTATATATTCCAGTTTTTAATAAACTTCAATAATTACCTTGCAGGGTTAACTCTACTCCTAGTGGATGTGTACCAGACAGCCACTAGAGGAACATCGGGATGGTTAGGTGAATTTTGGTCTGCACGAGGACATCCAAAACCCCTCTAAAATGCTTTTCTGTGGGGTAAGTCCCAATGCGCTTGCCACACATGTACATTAGGTCCCCTGCTGATTGGTGGAGGCAGAGCCTGAACCAGTGCCGAGGGACAACCGCACTGTTATAAGGAATAAGGCAGGGGGTCTCTATAGGGAGCTCTAGAACTATGAAAACAACTTTGTTTTCCTTGCGCTATAGTTTCCTTTGAATGACTAATGACTGTGAAAGTGTTAAACTTGAGAGGAACATAGTCCAACTCCTACCTGGGGCACTTTGAGCAGATTTACGATTTGATCTATCACATTTGGATGTTTATGGGTCTGAGTATCCTGTAATGTCCCATTGATGTGAATTATGCCTGATTTTAAAAATATTGTTAATTATCTGTGGACCATTTTCTGGCTGACATTTAACTTTAAATCCTATCTTCTGATGGCTGTGTTTGCGTATTACAACGTTACAAAGGGTAGCATGGAAAGCACTGTGAATTCTGACGGTCACAGGTTATGACCTTTAGATTGCAGACTTGCAAATATGACTGTCCAAACACATTTTGATTGTAATATACTTTGTGTAGCGTGTTCCGTTCTCCACAATTTGTCACTAATTCCACTCTAACATGCGTTAACCTGGTCCCAACACGAGGTATTGGTGCATTAAAGGTGTATTCCTGACACTAGAGTGGTAAAAGCACTGTTTAGGTTCCCTGTTTCCCTTGCCTCCCTTTGAAAAGGTGATTCGAGTCAACTTTTTTTTTTTTAATGCCGCACAGGGCTTGCCGCGTCTGGCCCCCGCCTTTGCGGGTGAGATCCTCAAGCTTGATCTCAGCCAACCCAATGCCTTCCCGTAAGAAAGCACTGGGAGGCTATTGCACATGCACAGCATAAAGCCAGCTGCATCAATCAGCATCTCCTCATAAAGATGCATTGAATCAGTGCATCTCTATGGGAAACCTTCAGTGTCTCCATACAGAGCATGGAGACCCTGAATGCCAAAGCTGCACACTCTGCAGCACGGACCCAGGAAGCACCTTTAGTGGCCATCTGTGTGACGGAATGCCACTAGAGGTCATCCTAGGCAGTAATGTAAACACTGCTTTTTCTATGAAAAGGCAGTGTTTACGTTTTAACAGGCTGTAGACACCAGAACTACATTAAGCTGTAGTTGTTCTGGTGACTATATTGTCCCTTTAGCAGGTTTAATGACTTATGTTATACTAATACATCTTTGAAGGAATCGAGGCAGTGAAGCAAAATCACGGCAAGGGACAATACTAGCAATGGCTATATTAACAATCCATGCTTATACTGGTCTGTGATTGAACCACTTTTATAACTTTTCTTTTTTTTTTTTTTAAACCACTGTCTAAAGTGTTTCCGAATATGTGGGTGCTATAGCAATTCTGATAGTAATGAAGCATAATTCCTTTTCTATTGCCTTACTGGATTGATCACTTTTTTTTTTTGGGTTTGAGTCTGATTTGCTGTTTTCTGCAGGATGGCGCGAAAATGGAGATCCGAAAACTAAATGACCCTCCCAGTGCACAGACTGTAAAAGATATGGTCAAATATGCCCGAAATGTTGTTGAGGAGTTTCGAAGAGCCAAGCATTATAAAAATATCCTTTTTGTATTGGATTTCTTTTGTATTTTCTAAGGTGTGTGTGTGTGTGTGTGTGTGTGTGTGTGTTGGGTTTTTTGTTTGTTTGTTTGTTTTGGGGTTTTTTGAGGGACTTCTGATGGACTTTTATGAATGTTCAAGCGGTGTATCTAAATATGATTCTAGTTCCTGCAATTTATTAATTTTATGTAAATGAATATTAGGTGAAAACACATGGTAGGGGCATAATCCCTTTGCCAACAAGTCTGAGGAATGATGGCCTACCTGGCTAAGTATTTTGGGAAACGTAGTTCACAAACATCTGTATATACCTGGCATTACAGATCAGCCATGATTATGATTGTCAGATCCACCATGATTAAGCCTAACCCAGTGTTTTAAACCCTTTCGACACTTACCTAATTCTAGCTCCGATGTCCCTTAGCACTGGGTTAGGCTCTGCCTCTACGTCTCCTCCCCCACATTAGGGAACGAATGCGCGACAAGCGCCCTTTCTGTGCTGCAGGAGGGTGCAAGGGAGGGGGGGCACTGTTGGGTACTAGAAATAAAACTTTGTATTCCTAGCACTATATTTCCTTTAATGTAAAATGTATTCTGTCTTGCTTTATTAACAGCCTGCTAGACCCAGCAGGAGCCTCGTGTGATTACATTAAATAAATAGAGCAGGTGATACGAACTTATAAAATAAACACAAAGTGCTATAAAGTCTGATTGAAAATGAAACTTGTTTTGTGTGTGATTCACAGCCAGCATTGGTGTGGCTAGGGCTGCATAAAACAAAATAATTGAGCAGTGAGCCTGATCTATGCACCGAAGTGTCTCATTAAGCTAAAGTTGTTTTGGTGCAAAGTGCCAGTTTCACTTTGTAAAACGCATCCAAACCTGAATGGTAGTGGTAGGCTGTGACTGTTGGGACCAACTTACCAGACACTTTTTTGCACAATCTAAACAAAAACCTGTTTGGGTAATGGTGTAATGGGGCATTGTCCTTTTAAGGCATTGTGCATAAGATCAAGTGTTGCAAATCATCTTTAAGTTGTCATAGTTACTTTTCTTGACTGGTGTACCGCCTAGCGAGCTTCTGGAAATCTGTGAGCTCAGCATGGAAAAAATGGGAGCTGTGTTTGAAGAGAGCAATGTTTACATGTTGCATATGATGTACCAAGCTATGGGAGTTTGTCTCTACATGCAAGACTGGGAAGGAGCCCTTAAGTATGGACAAAAAATAATCAAGCCTTACAGGTAGTGTATAACACATCATACAGAATATAACTAAAGTTGAAAAACGTGAGCAAACCAACTAAAACTGGGCACAAGAGAATACTGAGAATGGACAAGAACTCAAACATCTTGCCCTTTGGTGGGTCTCACCTGAGTTTTCAAGTGGTTTCTAGCTCATATCAGACTGATACCATCCACGTGGGCAATCCAGATCCAAAATGCGAGCCGGTTCCCTCTGCACGAGAGATACAGCAACCCTAGACATTAATTTCAGACTTGTTAGGCCTTTTCATTTAAGTATAGCTGATGCCTCACTAGGAAGAGCGGCCAAGGAGTTCACATCTGGATTATCTTTTTACCTTAAGGAGAGCAAACAAATTAATACCACGTGCTCACTGTGTCTCAAGGCGTATCAGCTACACCTCACTGAGGCCCAAAGATGGCCGAAACATCATCATTAGTTGGTTTCTTTAACTCTCGCGCAGAGGGAACGTGCTGGCATTTCAGATCTGGGCTTCCCTTTTGGGCAGGATCAGTCTGATTCGCAAATGGTATAAGTTCTCTGTAATGGCACAAGTGATCAAAAAACATTTTGAAACCTGAGTGGGGACTAACCTAAGTGCAAACTATTAAGGTTTCACTGAGCTTTTGCTAGTTCTCATATAATGCTTCTGATGAATAATACCTAATAATAAGCATTCACCGTGGAAGCAAAATGTCTCCTGACTGTCAGTACTGTGCCCCAGAATAGCACCTGACTTGCCTTGATAAATATCTAAACTAATCTCCCACAGGTGATCGGATATCCACATTCACCATTAATTGATTCATATCGTGTAAAACTCATTGTTGGGGAAACAAGGCACAATAATACAGTCTAGGAAACCTTTCTACATATGTTGTGATTCTATTCAAACCTAATAAATAGTGAGCGAATAGATACAACCAGCACTTAATGTAAAGCTGGGTTTTTAGTTTCTGTATTGTATGGCATTAAAACTTCTGCTTCCGGAGGCCTAATCTTTATTAATATTTGAATGAACATTCTAATGGGAGTATATAGCATAATGTGGATTAACAATGTCCCGGTCACACTCTAAAGAATCGACTAACCTTGCAGAGGATCCATCATTTATTCTGCTAATCTGACTGTATGGGACTAGTTGATTACACGGACGTTCAGTGTGATTTGTGATTGCCTCTTGGGTGAGGCTCTAGCGTTCAATGATCTAAACTAAAGTTGTTCGTTTTTCAGTAAGCACTATCCCGCCTATTCGTTGAATGTTGCCTCCATGTGGCTGAAACTTGGTAGACTTTATATGGGGCTGGAGAAAAAAACAGCCGGGACAAAGGCCCTTAAGAAGGTACTTGCTTGCACACATTGTACTTAAGATGTTTCCATATACGTGACTGTCTCAATGCTCTCTTCTAGGACGTAGTTTTATCTGAGCCCTACCAAAAGTTCAGGTTTTTGTCATCTAATGATAATCCTTGGTGGGTCAGTTAGGTTGTGTTACCACCATCTTGACTAATTTAGAAAAACTGTTCATGACCTTCATTGTAAATTGTATATCGTTATCAGTCTTTCAATATTAGAGTAGTAGACACTGACCCATCTGTGATCATGTCAATAGGTACTATGTTTGTATGCCTTTAGTATGACAAAGCATCATGGAGGATGTTTTAAAACATGTGGGATCTACCTTTTTGGCACCACTGATGTATACTGTTGTAAGACAGACCATCAATTTTGTGCTTACACAGTATATATGAAATTTAGTGCTTAATTGCCACAACACCTTTTTTTTTTTTTTTAACAAAATTAAAGCCAGTGAAATTAATGGTTAAATTTTAACTACAGTTTTATTTTTCCCAAAAAGACCACTTCTTTTTTTTTTTCTTTTTTTCATTCTCCTCCATTATTTTTCAAAACCCAATGCTATGCCTACTGTTGTCTTTGAGCTCTTAATACCGGCATGTAATATCGTGTGTATTTACTCAGTCAGTAGCTCTATACAGCCTTGCTGGTGGTAAATGAATGGGGCTTTAAACTTTGCCACATCCTAAGAGATGTCGCTAACGGTTCGCCGCGAACTCCGGTCAGCTAACACATCCCAACCAATCTCCAGCAGACCCTCCTACTTCCTGGACAGCATCCATGTTGAAGGCAGCTTCAACATGGATGCTGTCCAGGAAGTAGGAGGATCTGGGAGGGAGGGTCTGCTGGAGATTGGCCGGGATGTGTCAGCTGACCGGAGTTCGCCGCGAACAATTCGTGGCGAACCGTTCACGACATCTCTAATCCTAAGACTAGTTTGATTAAATTTTACTCCTTAATGATCCTTGACACAAGATTCTTCTGATGGCATAGGACATAATTGGTACTTTAAGTACTTTTAGGTTTTCACCCTCACATCCTGGCAGAGATCGATAATCTCAGCCAATCCAGTACTCTCCAATGTGTAAGTGTTGGAAGGTTAGTGAGCATGCACATAGACCATCTGATAAAAATGTATTTTATTCTGCGGTGTCCTCGAATGCACTTGTAGTTGCTGTTTGAGTGACAGCCACTAAAGACACTTAAACCCTGCAATGCTGTTCTACAGAATGGCGGTTTCTAGCTGCAGGATTAAGCAGACTGGGTCCTGACACCCAGACCACTTTATTGATTTGAAGTTGTTTGGGTGCCGATAGTGTCCCTTTAAGTTGTAAAATCTTCGCCTTAGTTTCCATTCTATTACAATTTGTTTGTAAAAACCTGTCTAAAATACTACAAAATCATTTTTTTTATCTATTTTTTTAACAATTGGCGGTTTGCAGATTGCTGCTGCTCCTCCACCTCTGCAGCTGGAATTTTTTGACCTATGTTTAACATATGAACATGTGCTGCTGAGCTATGTTTGGTGTCTTCTATTCACATTTGAACCGCTGTGGGCTTTTAACTTTATCCATGCTTTGTCCCTTTCCCTTCAGGCCATTAATATAATGGAAATTGCTCATGGCGCTGATCATCATTATATCACAGAAATCAAAAAGGAACTAGAACATTAAAGTATGCGAACGGAGCACTTCTATTTAAACACGTGTTTGGAATGCTAAGATGTTTGTCAATGGAACTGCGAAACCTGTAATGCTGCTTTTATTTTTACCATACAAATGGTATCTAGATTGTGTGCTAGTGTTTTGCTTGGAAAGACTGTTAATAATTAGCCTAGAGGGGATGATGCTTATATTTATATTTCTTCAAACACTTTATACATAAACTTTGATTAATTTAATAAAAGTAAAAAAAAAAAGGGTAAATATCCAAATATGTATGGATCAAGTTAAACCGATTAGTTTAAAATTATAGGACTCAAAAAGTGTAAAATATTTAATCAGTCCACCTGATATTGCAGGTTGCTAAACAGTTATTAAAGAGCACTCCACTGCTTAAATACAAAATAAAAATCCCTGTTTAGTAGATATACCCCAAATGAAAACCTGCATGCATTTAATTATGCATTTTTTTTTCATTGGGATATTTACGGTCTTTCATACCTGGTCCAGACTTTCTGTGGCTGTCTAGTCAGACTTCCGAATATAGCTCATAGAATGAGAAGTCTATGTAAGTAAGGTGCTCCTGGACAATTGCTGCCTCTTGATGTCAGCTGCATTGAGCTAATGAAACCAGGAAGTAACATGATCTGTTGTCTGTTTGAAAGCCAAGGGGGTGTAACCAGGTTAATTTATAAAAGACTATTTCTATTTAAATTGCACTCCACCCACCCACCCCCCCTCACCCGGGAAAAAAAAAAAATCACTCTTCACACAAAGCTTTTCATCAAGCTAAAGTTGTTTAGGTGTCTGGGGTGACCCTTTAAAGTAACATGTTGTTCTCTGGGACCCTTTACATATTTCTCCCTTCTGTTGGTCACTTTGCTACATGTCTGAGGGCCTTTGAATACCAACGAATACCAAGTCTGTCAAACTACAACTCCCATAATTCCCTGGCAGCAATAAGACAGAGAATTATAGCCGTTGTAGTAAATCAGAATCCCTATTTATCCCTATTTATTTATTTTTGCCCCGGCTTTACATCGTTTGCAGCAATCCAATTCATGCGTTTTATTTGAACTTTGTTTTAAAGATTTGAATGGCTGTTTTTTTGTTTTGTAAGACACTGCCTGAAACTGAAATCAACCAAAGTTTGCCTGCAAGTTTTATTACTAAATTGCTGTCTATCATTGCAATGTAATAAACAAGAGACAAATTGTGTTTTGAATTTATTTTTTTAAATAAACTTCCAAACCTTCATGAATATTAAACCCTTTAGATTAATGTATAGATTTACGAGACCTACAAAGAATAGAAAGCTATTTACTGAAGATTGAGTTGACTCGTTTAGTAATAATGATTTAACATGGACTACCACCACCTTTTCCAAGCACCATAACCACTACAGCATGCTGCTGATGTGACGAAAGACGTTAAAGTTTGACTACATAATGGGGAGAAGGTGGTGTTGCCAGGGTACTGTTTACCAGCTAATGAAAGTTCTGTTCCCTAACTAGAACTTACAGAGCTAATCACCTCCTTGGGGATAGTGATGTTACCAATAAACAGACTGGAGCACTAGATGGAATAGGTACAGCGCTACGGAATTTGCTGGCGCTATATAACTAATAGGTGGCAGAATACTGGGAATTTCACTTGTTTTAGATTTGCCCATTTTAAACAATTTAATGACATTGTGTGGATAAAGGGTGGGCACAGGCCGCTATTTGTGCAACTCAGGTTTAGGGTGTAAGTATCAGTTCACAGGCACACTGTTTTAGATGTCTAAGTTTTATTTATTTTTTTTGTGTGGTTTTTTTCTGCTAATTTTCTAGTGCATTAAAATAAGACATGTCACAACATGAAGGGATGCAAAACATTTTATTCTTTAAAAAAAGTTACTTTACCATAAATGTATATTAATAGATTACCTATGATGGCTTTCAATACCAAAATATATATGTTTATATAGGCAGTTTTCTCTTTACAGATTTAGGCAAAGCGTAAAATGCCATAGTATAGGCCAGGCTTCCCCAAATTCCGGCCCTCCAGATGTTGCTTAACTACATCTCCCATGATTCTATAAATGAAATAGGCTGAGAATCATGAGTTGTAGTTAAGCATTATGTGGAGGGCCAGAGTTTAGGGAAGCCTGGCATATAATATCAAAGGATATTTACATATCAATCCAAAACTGGGAGAAGGATAGGGTAATATTTCAAGAAGGTCCAGAATTGGACCAGCCAAGCCCATTTCTGCATGTGTTCAGGGTAAATTACTACATGGATACCTCTTAATACATTTAGTGTGTGGAGCTAGGCAGCAGTTGTTCAGCTGTTAAAAGGCTTGGCAGCTTCCAGGGGACAAACCACTAAGTTGTACTTCATAATGACTGAGGATATAACTCCCTTCAGTGTCAACCTGAGGTATGGTGATGCATACAGGGTCTTAATCAAACACATTTAAACTACTATACAAGTGAATTCATTTTTCAATATTCTTAAGTCCATAATGATTGACCATTTTAACAGATCAGATGGTTTCAGGTTCTTTACGAGTCATGTATATGCCAGATAAGATTATGCTTTAATCTATAAGATTCCATACTAAAATTCAGTTCTACAGCAGACCAGAGAAGAAAAAAATTCTTACAAATAACCCATTACCTCTTATAAAAGACCTGTTACGCACCAGCTTGAGAACTTCACGTTGGCTCTACCTTGACTTGGCATAATCTTGAAAAGAGCAGCACTTAAATCAGGGGGCAATCTGCAGGGATTGCCTGATGCAAAGACCAGTTTTGCATTACATTGCCCAAAATATCCCCCAGTTTTGAATGAGAAATACGTTCAGTTATTTACTAACATGCATAGACATACACAAAGGGCAAAGCCTGTACAGTGCAAAAATACTGTTCAAGTAGTCACATTCTTATGGGGAAACCAAAAGACAGGATAACTATAAAACTATACTACAAATTTTAAATGCATAGTATTGAAGAAATTGCAACGTTACCAAGCCCCCCGCCAAAAATCTTTTACTTTTTAATTTTCTATACAATACTTTTCACAGCAAAGCACAAAGTTTAATGGAAACTTCATTATCTATACTCTGTGAACGCATCTTTATTTATTTACAAAGATCAGGTAGCCATATAAATAGTAATATAGACAAAGTGTATCACAAGCAACAGCGAATTCAAATAAAGTTGGCACGGCGGACACATAAATGAGCATGAAACACTCGTATGGGGGGACGGGACTGCCTGCTTTAGACAATTAGCATATATATTTGGTACTATGAATATCCAACAGGGCGGTAATATTTTCCATTTATACCTACTCGTTACAATGTTGACTTTTTAGAGTGCCAACAATTTACTTTACACAGTTTGTATGGAGAACAATGTACTGTATATGCTCATCAATTTATCTGTTCTAGACTAAAATAGTTTTCCCCTTTATACTGGAGTGTGGCATCTGTTGGACTTTAGAATTATATAATAAAATGTAAGTTATATGCTTCGATGAAAATCTGTGAATCGGCTACAGTTACTGAAGGTCCAACACAGGTGCTCAATAGCTTCAAAGTCACATGACGCAGCCCTTTGAAGGTCAATGCAAGAATGTTTGTCCAATTGCATTACATTGTTAGCAAGATAATCCAAGGTTGTAAGGGTCTATCAATCCTGAGGTTACGGTGGGAACATTGTTTTAAATAGCCTGGTGCAAAAAAAACTTACTATTTAGGAAAATGCACACTCTTGTCTTTAACATTTCGAATTGGAGAACAGCCATGTAGACAGAGTGAAATAATCACTTTTTACTGATTGGAACAGACATAGCTCCCTCTAGCATAGCTAAAAAAGTAAAAGGATTATTTTCCCCAGAAAAGCTCTATACAGCAATTATTCTTTGCAGCAACATTGATTTATCCAAACACAGACTGCATACATGGGGAAGTCTTAACAGATAATAAAGTATGCACTCAAAGTTTTAAATGGTAATTGTATGCAAAAAATATATACACACAGCATTATTAACCTCCAAAATATGCAGATCTTCCTTATTTTATAGCTACATATTTATAAACTGATTTTTCTAGCTTGCATTCGTTGCAGAAAAACTTCACATGTGGTTTGAAAGAAAAGCAAGATGGCTGCCACTAGCAATCTTATATGCACAAAGTTCTGTTTATTTGTAACAACACATTAACAGTAAGCTCAAACTGTTAAGTAGTCAGAGGTCAATCATAGAATTCATTACAAATTATTATCCACATAGCTTGTTTTGGAATCTGTCACTCTGCTAAGAAAAACCCTCATCCCACTTTCCGATTGTAAGAAAACTAAAAGATCTGTTTTATTTGATTAGTGATACATATATTAATTTATAAAGGACCCGGTTTATTCCAGATGAAACCTCGGTTCTCATTACTAAGGGGTACAATTTCTTTCATATCCTGTACAAAGAAATGTTCATTCATTCATTCATTGACTTAGCACAGGAACCCTTATTTCTGCCCAGTACAGTGTCTACTTAATTGTCCCCATATGGGTGAAAATCTTACACGTCTCTAGGCAAGTTCATTTCACTTCTGCAAAACCAAAATGAATACTTTAGAATATAAAATTACCATTAACATATTGCAGACTTTTGTTAAATTTCAGTTACATCCTCTGCAACACAAGTGTTAAAATTATAGATGTGTATAGTGTGAATGAATGAATACAATACATTGACAATATATGGCAAAATAGAATCTATGCACTGAACAGTAACTTGTCCAACTTTTAATAAAGAAAAGTTAATGTGATTTGAATAATTAAACGCGTACTTGAAGATTTTCATGAACCCTGTCATGATACAGCTATTTTACCTAAATATCTAGTAACTGATCAATAAAAATGTCCTCCAGCCCCCCACAATCCATCTGTACTCAAATTTGGCTATACCAATTATTATACAACATGAAACAGTTTTTAAAGTGTGTTACATATGTAGCTATCACCCTACTTCTAATACCCTCCGAAAACACTAAATGGATTAGAAAAAAAATACAGCAATGATGTAAATATATAGGTTTTTTTTTTTTAAATTAAAGTGGTGAGTATGAAATGTCAATATAAATGCGGTGACATGGTAGCATTACACTGCTGAGGACAGTGACATTAATAAAGACACACTAAGGGAGCTAATGTAAAGTTTAGGCTTGGGGTCTTTACAGTGATCAGTATAGCAATAGGGAAAGTTGGGATTTGGGGTACTGTGCCTCTACAACGTTGTGTAGTTTAATTCCCATTCCCAAGATACTATGCCAGGGGGGGGGGAAAGCCTGGTAAAATTATACAGTGTTAAATCTATACATTTGTTATCCATCTGGTTATCACACAGGTATTTGCACATGAAGTTGTCAATCACAAAGAGCAACGCATTTTGTAATACATTTTGTAGAATATTTGTGACAATATTACCTTTTTTACATTAATGATCATTCAACAATTTCTACAAAAATATGCACACAAGTGTTATATTTCCACATATTGTATCTATTTAATGCCTTAAACTTCTGGATCTTTACATACCAGTGTTAAACTTCAAACAATATGAAAAAAAAATACATACATATACATATATATATATATATATATACACATATACATATATATACATACATATACATATAAACAACAAAAAACAAAACTGGCTTTTGAATATAATGAGAAAAAAAGTTCTTCTGAGTGCATAGAATTATACAAATTTTCTCTCATTAATCCCTTCTCAACAGAGAATTACACAATTTTGAAAAAAAATGTATCTTGACAGTCCGTTACATTTACATGATCTTGGTTTTTACGGTCTTGTATTGTTAGAAAAATTTACAAACTATACTGGTTATTTTTAGCCCAGTTAGGTTTTTTGTTTCCCCCACACCTTTAATTTTTACAAAACAGACTTTCCCAAACCACAGAGTTATTCACCAAAGTGGAAATTCAAAGTTAACCCAACATGAATTTCACATTTAAGGTTAAATTAGGCAAACTGGAAAAATTCTCAGCTATGCTTTCAGATTGACTACTCTAGCCTTAAAATTGTAATTCTCTTTTAATTTTCATTTTAGTAAATAAGTCTTTAGACTGAGTCTCTTCTAAGATGTACACATTTTCAGCAATGTAGCCTTATATACGGATCCAGAAATTCAGTTTTAACATTACACCTACATCTCTGCTATGGTAAAAAAAAATAAGTAAAAAAAAAATTTTTTAAGGTGCACATTTAACAAAAGCTATGCAGAGAAGAAAAAAAAAATGTAAACAAATTAAAAAACAAAACAAAACAAAAAAACCCTTCCTTTACAAGATGTAATTACAATCACAAATTTAAATATACAATCCCTCTAAAAAAAGCCATTTAACAAAGTACCAGTGCTTTTGAATTCTATTTTAATTAAAGTGTAATTAAATCCAATGTCTGATTCTACATATAATTTTATATATATATATATATATATATATATACACACACATATATTTGAGGAAATTGTTATATCAATAAAAATAATGAAGTCCATTTTTATTTTTATTTCATTAAGATATAAAAACCATAATATGTGATTAAAAATATATACACATTTAACACTTGCAACATTCATATATCACAACGAAACTATGGTTCATTGTAGAAAATATTAAATTTCTTGTATAAATAGCTTTTGAGAAAATAAATTATCTTTAGAAAAAGAAAAAAAAATGGGGTGCAAATTATTGAAAAACCCAAGCGGTGTGTTAAAAGTCCACTTAAAAAAAATATATGCAAAAAAGTCTTCCAAATGTAGGATATAGTCTATGACAACATTGCGGGATGGGCAGGTCACCAAACTGGCGAACTGACTTCTGGTCTTCACAAGGACCAAAATGTATCAAACCAGTCTGGTACTTTCGAAAAACTGGATAAGTACTTGATAGACAAATTTATACTGTGCAATAGTCTGAATCATAAACACCCTTTGGTCGCGGAGATATTTCAGCATAGCTGGGATTTCAACATTCTGGGGAGGAGACAAAAAAAAAAAAAAAAAGCAGGATTGGTGTGACACACTTTTATGGTTTCAAATTCAGTTACAGAATCTAATATTTTCCTCTTTGTCATTGTTTGCAGACATCTTCCTGCACAGCCTATTCTCACTCAAGGAACATTACGTCATTATACTAGAGGGTGTATGATACAATAACACAAAGAAAACTTTAAAAATCACCCCTATAGAAATAGGTTTTTCAAAAATGGTTTATATTACAACATTATATACTAAATATTACTAACAAACAAACCACGGCACATTAGATTTTGTGATTTGTACACACAATTCATTGTAAAATAACTGGTCAGAGGCAATATTTGGTGTTTCCCATTAGGTTGGAAAACTAATTTTGATAGTTTCATAATATTAAGGCATACCAGTGAGCCTACGTCCAGTTCATAACCCTCCCTGCCCCTCAAACTTGAGGGCTTCAACAATGAGATACAGCAGGTTTTTTTTGTTTGTTTTTTTGCATCTGTCCCAGGTTATGCAAGGAGAAATTACAAGATTGTATGCTGTTGCTGATCCTAAGTGCTATGTATTTTACTTCTCTTTTTTGTATTATTTATTGCTCGTGTTAGAAAGTTTGTTACATTTTTTTAAATTGACTTTAATATCCCGTCCCCCACCTCATTAGCTTGCCAGCAGCGCATCATCAGCTCTGTCAATATAACTACTCCAGTTCTTCCAACTCCAGCACTGCAGTGGACTACAATCGGTGGGTTACAGTGGCTGCTTGTGTCCTGCATACTGTTGGCATGTGAATACACCATATTGATTTCTTCCAAATAAACTGTTTAAGAGAACAATTAAAGAGAAAGGGTCAACAACAAGATTAAAATGGAGATAATGGATATTAGATGGCAGGATACATTTAGAAAAACAATTAAAAATAAAGCAATTTAAAAAAATATATATTTAAATCGTCTTACGTAAAAATCCCTGGGCCTCTTCTGGACAACCGTGATCTGGCCAGTCCGTAAACTGCAGATGCCAAATGGTCCTTTCCTGACCAGACAGCAAGTGATTAACTTTCAACCCTGTAATAGCATGGCGACCAGCATCCGTACGGAAATTAGTGGTCACTTTAAACTTTCCGTATGTGGCAGAATTCTGCCTGGACCCAAGTTTTGGCCAGTAACGATGACTCTGATCTCTTCCTTCTTCCTGCAAGAAGAATAGAGATAGCATGAGTAGACATCCTTGCTTTGCTGCCTTCAATATATAGAAATACTTTTTCTAAAAATATATACCTTATATCGAAGGGAAAAAAACAATGGAGATTTATCAAAATGTCTTCTAAAAAGTGGTGCAAAAATGTAAAGTGGGAGGAATCACTAATAGGTGTGCTTGCTGGTCCATTGGTTTACATGGGGATTGTTCCACTATTATTCATTTAGACCACTTTAGAAACTGGCTGGACTGAAACTGAATGTGATTGCATTTGCTAGCTTTTTAAAAAAATATATTGTTAAGGTCTTAGTCGGGGACAAAATTTCCAGAGAATGGACGGTTTCCCTTTGAACACCTTATTTATACTTTGCCATATAACCTCTGATATGAAAAGCAGCAAACTGGTTGTCGTCTACTCAAAGATCATATATCATCCTGACCAGATTAGGAAGCAAAAGCGTGAACGGATGTATACATTGCCCTCACTGGCAACACATCACACATGAGATAAAACACAAATATAAAGGAAAATGAATAAATGTGGAAACAGCTCCACAATATGAAGGTAAACAGACCAAAGGCTGACTGATACTATACTTTGCTGTAAAATGTACAGAGCCACAGTCCCAGATCACAGTGGAAACAATTTGATGTTTCGTTTGGCAAACGATTACAAGTATTTTAGGAAAGGATCTCTGAGCAGATAGTGACTTCTGGAGCCATTACAATTGATAACAAAGAAGGAATTTAATGCTGGCAGAGACTGGACGGACAAACATGAGTCTATTCCACTCGGAGGACAAGAAAACAGCCTCTATGGCTTGAATGGAAATATCACAGTGTTTGGAAAACACAATCATTGTTACCGTCACTGCAAGGTTAAAGGAGTAATCTCTTAACCCAGCAGATACAAATTCTCACACAGCATATCACATACACAAAAATACAAAATTTGCTTCTGTAACACTGCTTTGGAATCCTCATTAGTTTAGATTTTAGGTCTGCCAGCAAACTGTGGTTTTTGTGAAAACTCTGCAGTTTTGTCTCCTAGTCAAGCAGTAACTCTAATGAAGAATGGTCTTTTTATCAGTTGCCCACAACGGGCGGGTAATGTTCTGGTCTTTATCAATTCCAGAAGATATGTAACAACTGTATTATGTACTAGAGGCTTTAAAGGGGATACTATAGACACTCAAAACCCTTTATCTCAATTAAGTGATCTGGGTGCAGTGTTCCTGTCCTCGTAACCCTGCAATGTAAAACATTGCCGTTTTTGAGAAACATTGTTGGGTTAAGGCCAACTATACTAGCAGTTGCCCAGTAGGAATGCTTTTATTTAAGGATTCCTTATGGGGAAGTTTGAATGCACACGGCACTTGTTTATGGAGTAGCATTAGATCACGCCGGAAGAGGCCATGACTCCTCTGCTACTTCTATGGCGATGGAAAAAGGTAAGCACATTTAAAAAAAAAAAATTTTTTTAAATATTATTTTTGCACCGGAAGGGGTAGGGGAGGGGACACTATAGCGCTGGGAATACAGGTTACTATTCATAACACTAATATGCAAAAAAAACCATATCAACGTTCCAATATATACTTCAGTTCCAGATTAATTTAGATATTAATAGTAGTAGATAGTATAAATGTATATATGGGATACCTAGAGAATGAAAAGTCAAATGTATTTATTTACCCAAGTGAAAATTGCTGGGAATTCAAATGGAATTCCAAACTGTAGACCATAATAGCTAAATTACAAACAATTCTAAAAAGTTAATTCGGTTTTCAGTTTGGCTATTGCCCTCACCATAACTCTAATTTAAAAAATAATTGAAAAAAATAATAATTACATAACACAAGCATGCACAGTGTAAAAATAATGCCATCCCAGAGTCTTCATTGCAAGGATTTATGATCTCACTAGAACCCCTCAATGCTAGGATTTGTATCACGCGCACAAACTCGCAAACATATTTAAATAGCAATTGTTGCACTACATACCTCTTCAGTAGTTACCATGGCGATGACGTTCACCCCATGTTCCCACACCATCTGCCAGAAATCATGGAATGTGTGAGGCAAAGGTGCTTGGGTGGCAATGTAGTGCAGTTCTTTTTCACCAACAGCAACCTGTGATACAGTCACAATTACAAGTTACAATTTTGGAACACTCCATAGACCGTCCACCAGGGCCAGATTAAGATCCCAGTGGGCCTGGTGCTGACAATTATTATGGGGCCTAATTACAGAATCTGATCAACCAAAAACAATAAAACATTCATACCTCCCAAGCGTCATGTTTCTGATGGAGTTGGTGTTGGAGGGAAACTCAAAGGAGGCAGCTATAAGAAAACACATACTCTATGCTAATCTTTCTCTAATTTATGCTTTCATCTTTCAAGTAAATCCATACCCCCTAATAGCAGTGTCCAGTGAAGCAGGAAGTCAATGGGTGGGGTAAAAGGGTGGGCCACTGACGCGAATCACGTGACCAGAACTGCCAAAAGGGGCTAACATGCCCAAAAAAAGGGCATGTCTGTCCAAAGAATTGGAAGGCCAGTCTGGCATCAGTGTCCCTATGTATCACAGTGTCAGTGTCCCCATGTCGCCCAGTCCCCTAGTCTCCCAGTGTCCCCATGTCGCCCAGTCCCCTAGTCTCCCAGTGTCTCAGTGTCCCCATGTCGCCCAGTCCCCTAGTCTCCCAGTGTCCTCATTTCTCCCCGTGTCCCCATGTCTGGGATACTAAGGGACACTGAGAGACATGGGGACATAGTGAGACATGGGGACACAGACACTTGCGGACACAGTGAGACATGGGGACACAGACACTTGCGGACACTGGGAGACATGGGGACACAGACACTTGCGGACACTGGGAGACATGGGGACAGAGACACTTGCGGACACTGGGAGACATGGGGGCACTTGTGGATACAGGCATGGAGACACTGGGAGACACTGGGAGACATGGGGACACAGACACTGGGAGACATGGGGACACAGACACTGGGAGACATGGGGACACAGACACTGGGAGACATGGGGACACAGACACTGGGAGACATGGGGACACAGACATTTGGGGACAATAGGAACACTGAGACATGGGAACAGACACTGGCAGACTAGGGGACACTGGGAGACACGTGGACACTGACTGGGAGGCATGGGAACACAGACACTGGCTGGAAGACATAGTGACACTGACACTAGTGACACTGGGGGCTATGGATTTAAATCCCCATAGACAGCAATGTAGTGTGAGCAGGGTTAAATCTCTGCTCACACCAGGAAACCTAGGTATCAATAGATACCTGGGGCTTCCGTCTGTCAGCTGGGGCCATTTTTAGTGGCCCCAGACTTTTTGATGAGCTGCATGTAGTGCTGAAAGTCAGCACTGCATGTAGCCATTTAAATCCACAAAACACTACAGCTGAGCAATCAAGCTCAGCTACAGTCATTCTCTCAAGTGATCTGGTGCTTGGGAGACCCCCAGGGTCTGAACACCCTCTATGCCCCAATGCCATTCTGATCAGTGCTGGGAATTTTCAGTTGCCCAGCACAGATCACATTGCATTGGGCATAATGGCTTCAATGTAAGAGATGGGAGACTGCAATACTGAAAATAGCCAGTAGATGGCAACATACCACTGTCTATTTTAGTTTAAATCTCCTTTACTAATATCAGAACAGATATTATTAAATTTATGTTTAAGATTAGGTTTATAATTAATTGTAGCACTGGGATTATGTTTCAGATTAGGATTCAGATTATGGTTAAGATTAGGATTATGGTCAGCACGGGCATCCCTTGCTGAATATAGCGAGGGAATTCCTCTGCTGACACCAGCAGGGGGGGCTCATTTTAACACTATTGCTAAAGATAAGATTGAGATTAGGATTAAGGTTATAATTAAGGTTACACATGGGATTACGTTATGGGTTAGGATTGTGGTAAGGGTTTATTATTAGATTGAGGGTTAGATTTGGGATTAGGATTTGGTTTAGAATTAGGGCTTGGTTTAGGATTAGGGATTTAGATTGGGATTAAGATTAAGATCGCTACTTTCCAAAGATATACATATGGGGTATATTTGTACTGAGAAGATGTTGCTGAGTACAGCTAAGATAATTTTATGACAGTGGGACACACGAGATTTAAAAAATAAGCATCAAAAATACTATGTGTATGTAAAAATGTTAAAATAAAAATAAATACCACAAACTTTGAAACAAAATGGTAACAAAATGTCACTTCAATAAAGCTTATAATATTTTATGTGAGAGTCCCCATGGTGTCCACTTTTGTAAATGGTATGCATTGGTGGCATAATTTAAATATATGAGCGACTAAAATGCCCCAAAATGAAACAAAGACCCATTGTCAATTTGCCTTTAAAAAAAACTGTACTGGGCCGGGTATGATTTTAGCCCTGTATTTTTTCACAAAAACCTGACTAAGGTATACAAAGGGGGTCATTTTGTACTCAGGAAATATAGCTGAGAATAATTTAGTGATTTAATTTACAGTAGCATATATCAAGTTTCCAAAATTAACCACTAAAATACAACGTGTGTATAAAAATGCAAAAATAAAACAATATGATAAAATTTGAAATAAATTGGTGCTGACATAACTGTATAATAAAGCTCAAAATATACCATATGACATAGCCCGTGGTGTCTACTTTCACAAATGGTATGCATTTATGGGGTAATTTTAACTTTCAAACTGCTACAATTCCTAAAATGTCATATAGACACACCAAATCCATTTATCAAAATTCTAACTGTAAAAACTGTAATGGTCGGGACTCTTTTAAGGCACTGTAGCTTCACAGGATAATGGAAAAGACATACATTGGGGCTATTGTTTTATTCAGAAGAGTTTGCCAAGCATAATTATGGGATTTTGATCAGTGGCACATACCAGACTTGGAAAATGACCCCAAAAAATGTAACGTGTATGTAAAAAATGGAAAAAAAAAATTATTTTACCACAAAGTTTGACATAAACTGGTGAAAAAATTGCATCACGTTAAGGCACAATATACACCATATGTGATATACAGCAGTGTCTACTTTCACCAATGGTAGGTCCTTGAGGGATAAATTCAACAGTTAAACTGCTACAATGCCCCAAAATGAGACTTGCCCCCATCAAATTCATCTATCAAAATTATCACTGTGAAAACTGAAATGGTCAGGTCTCTTATGATACTGTAACTTTACAGGATAGTGGCAAAGGCATAGATTGGGGGTATTGTTTTACTCCGTTGATATGGCTGAAAACAATATTGGGTTTTCTACAGCAGTAGTATATATCAGATTTATGAAATACACATAAAAAAATCGTTTTATGTGTGTATGTTAGAAAACTGAAAAAAAAAAAAAAACACACACACAATTTTACTACACTATTTAGCAGAGGTTGGCGGTGAAATGGCTACGTAAAAAGTGTCAGAATACCCTTTAGTAAATAACCTGTGATGTGTGCTTTATATAAATATATACTTTTGTGCAGCAATTTTGCTTTCTGTGATGGCTATTAAGCTTACAAGACAAACATACCAAATTCTAAAATAGCTCCACATTAAAATTTTATTTTACTCCTTGTATTTTGTGACCTGTAACTTTTAAAATAAGCTGAAATCCTAGACATATTACGTACTCTGAAAATCAGAACAACTAATTAAATATTTTAATTACTTTCCTTAAGCTGCACTTTTTATACACACGTTATTATTGCCTAAACTTTTTTTACAATAAATAAGAATTTATATATGTATATGTCACATCAGATTAAAGCCCTTTTTGTCCTTTAAAAAAACGATATATAACATGTGTTTGTGCAATAAATAGGAAAAATGCAAATGGAGGTTCAACACAAACCGCAAAAAAAAAAAAAAAATTCTAAAAATGCTTGTGTCCTTAAGGGTAAGTCCAGTTTTTGAAGCTGCATCCTTAAGGGGTTAAATATGCATCGGGATTTTGGAAGTGCGCAGGTAACACTTTTTCCTTGGTTTTTACTGTATTAAACTAGGATTGCCACAAAAGGACAGTAACAATGAGCTGCATATTACCAGATTGGCCTTCAATTCAATTTTGCTAGCCACATGCTGAATTTAAGAATCAAAGATTTGCTTGTCCATTTTAATTGTCGGAATGTTGGACGGTTATCTTGCATAATATGTTAGAATTACAAGAAAGCTAGTTCTGCCTGGCTCCATGATTTGGATCAATATAGGTCAATTTTAGACAATATTGGCAAATTTTAATTTAACCACTTATTTTGGATTCGCCATTTAGAAAATCATTTAGAGTTTTAAAGGGACACTCCAGCTACCGTAACAACTTCATTGTAATGAAATTAGTATCATGCACAGAGGTCCCTGTGCACCACTTGAATCAGGAAGCATCGGACTGCGGCGTAAATAGCTAAGCAGAGATATTGGGAACCGGATTCAAAGACTGTGGGGTTAAATGGTTCATTAATAGCTTAACCCCTTGAGGCAGGCCAACACAAGGACCTTCTCACACTATAACAACTTTATTTCAATTAGGTTATGTTGCCAGGAATGTTATTTAACAGCTAAAAATGTTGATATTCTGAACAATTATTTAACTTTTAATAGTTACTCTACACTAAACAGTCAGTGTTTACTTTGGATTGCTATTTGATGCACTGCTAATACTGTAGAGAGAATGCATTCTTGTGGTTAAACCTATATGTCATTATGAGCCAAATTCTTTGATGTTGAAAGACAAGTTAAAACTGGGCTCAAGTCAAAACCTCCAGGGGCCCAACAACTTGTATATTGTTTATACTGTTCCTATAGATTAAAAACCTTTCCAAAAAAAGAGCTAGCAGTCCTGTGTTTATGGGTGGATTAAATATTATTTTATTATTTATATAGCACCAGCAAATTCCGTAGCGCTGTACAAAGGGTGGAGTAACATACATGTAGTTGTAACCAGACAAATGGACGCACAGGAACAGAGGGGTTGAGGGCCCTGTTCAATGAGCTTACATCAAGTTCGACAGTTTTAAATCTGTAATAGCTGGCCAGGGCACTACAAAGGTTTGTGAACTACATGCCCCATGATGCTCAGTCTTCAATGCTTCACTTGTATGCCGAATATATACTCTGCATGTATGTCAGTCATGTTTTTTGTTGTTGCAGCCATGATTTTAGGTTTGGCATTATTCATATAAGGAAGACTAATTTTAACTGTATATAAGCCAGCCAGTTACCCCCATCCCACATACAAGGGCAACTTCACTTGATTACAGGTGCAGCCATAATAGAGTATTTTTTCATTTGACAATATTCAACAACAAAATACATCTGTCTTTGGAGTAAGCCAGATACAACGATATATAAAACTGAACAAAACACTAAACCTGTGGCAGGCAGTTGACACCAACCTGTTCATACTGTAAGATGACTCATTATTCAGTTTGCATGGCATCCTGCGCAAGCCTTTTTAGCATGTAACACTTCCCATTTATGTGAGCCGTCAATCAATAATGGCAGACCTGCACAATGTGCAGTAAATGGCGTTGGAAACAAAATGCATATGCAAGAGAAAAGATCCATGACCGACCAGTCATGCATAGGAAAATGAAATAAATGTAAGCCAATTTATTTTGTCATTTTATTTCATCCTCAAAGTATGGTTTAATGCAAGCTTCTATTCTTTTTTACCATACCAATATATGTTGTAGCCACAAACTGGAAGTTGTTGCCAACATTTGTGTAGATGGCTCTCTCTTCTAAGATTGTAAATATTCAAAATAAAAAAAAATCTATTAGGAAAATAAAAATAAATTCGAGCCAATAGTTCTAAGGGGTACACTAGTAGTGGGGGGTAACTCCAAGGGAGAAATTGAACAAAATAAACCAAAAAGTGTGTCCCTCTAAGGGAAACTAGTCATGGAATGAAAAAGCAATAGGTTTAGCTCATCTCGTAAGGTGCCGTGGATGATTCAGACAAAATTGGTTTAAAAAATTGAAAAAAACTAGAGTCCCCTTTGATGAGCCAGGTCGGGCGAAACGCGTGCATCAGGGGTCCTGACTGCGTCTTACTATACTTCAGTAGACAGCACTCTGATGTGCAGTTATGACTACTCTATCGCATTATGTTTAATGCACTTTCTTCACTAAAGTGATCACACTTACCTAGGGTTTATTCGAAGTGTATTCAGCCTAGTCTGGGAAGCAGACATAGGTGCCCGCGAGGCACAGTGGGCAGGGGGGGGGGGAGGAGGAGGGATTATTTAGCATTTATTTCAGATTAGACAAAGTAATAGAACATCGAATATGTTTTTTTTGGATCCATAGTACCATAGATCTTATCTCGCTGTCTATACTACTCTGAATATCAGTCAAGTGTTTTCCCCCCCATTATTTTGGTCCCAGGTACTATGCACATGGAAGTGTAACCCACATTATTATCCTCAAACTATATGTAGCTAATTCAGTGCCTATAACTAAGTTGTCTGATATACAGATGTGTATGCTGACAACACATTGAATTAGGATTGTGGATTTAATTTGTTCTGTACTAACAATTGTGAAGCCACTTAGTTAAGACGTTTGAATCTGAGTTGTGTTGTTCACACCTTCTAGTGTCCATAATAAGTATATTTTGTATATCTATCACATACCTGCAGAGATACACCACAAGCAATGTACATGAGCACTTTTAGCAATTCGTGTGTTTTCTAAAATTGTATTTATTTATTTTTCGCTTTTTATTAGATGTTCATTTTTAATACAACTTATTTCATTTTTTTAAACCAATTTTGTCTGGATCATCCACGGCACCTTACGAGATAAGAAACATTGATTTTTCATTCCATGACTAGTTTCCCTTAGAGGTACACAATTTTTGTTTTATTTTGTTAAATAAATCTATTACTTATTTGGGATGGGCTGAAATGAATTAATACATTTCTACATTTTGTACATTTCTGTACAGAATGGTACAGCACATTTGTCCCTTTGATAATTGCAGTATAAATCTTAACAAAATGCACCCAACGCGTGATGTTAACACCTGCTGCTGTGAATTTCTTTACATTAAATACTTGGAATGTTACCTTTATATGTGATGCATTGATGTACCCGGTACGGTTTTCATTGGTTGGCGAAAGTTCTACTCTGTTTTCTTCATAAGGAACAACTTCACGGATACGATTACGTTCTAGATTTTCTGGCAATATCGCAGTGGTAAAAACACCATCTGCCTTTCTTCTTGGAATTTGCTCGTATTCTGTAAATACTGTCCCCTCCTCCAGTTTCTTTCTTAAGAACTTGTACTAAATAAGACACATAGAAAGTGGCATATATAGATGATAAAGAAGAAAGTATCTACCGAACAACAAAAAAAATAATTAACAATATATATAGCTGAAAAGGCAGCATTTATGTTTCTAAACTTTACTACATTAAGCTGTAGTGGTTCTGGTGACTATAGTGTCCCTTTAAGCTCGAAAAGTCACATTGTAAGTGCTGAAAAAAAAACAGGTTCCCCCGGTGGTCTACTGTGCCTAAGGGGAAATCCAGCCTGTGCCTGGGGCAAACTGCGTTAAACATATCTTGAAAAAAATCACTTGAAATGTTAATCCATATGTTTTTGAAATAATTATCACCATTAAAACCATGCAGTTGAAGACCTGTGAGTGGACCTTATTTTACACGTATATACACACACACACACACACACACACACACACACACACACACTATACATGTATTACAAACACGCATTTAGACACTGACTTTAGTTTAGCGGACTTCTATTTCAATCAATCAGTTTTTTTTCCTCACATTAAAGACTATGTATTTGGTAACCAATCACGCTTTACTGCCTCCTGGCCATGCATTATTACTCATTATGGTACCTGGCCATAAATAAATATATATACATATACACACACCTTATACTTTCACTTAAATTTAATGAGTAGCCATATAATATTCTCCTTGTATTTCTCTGTATGTAAGAAAGAGGAAAAGGAAGGACGTGAGAGTGTAGGGGCATATCAGTGACTCATAAAGAGATAGAGAAAAATGCTGCCGACACATGTGCATGCTAGTCTTGGGGTTACCCACGTGAAACAGGCTCTTGAAGCATACTCATAGGGACAGAAAAGCCATTTTATCACAGCTTGGGCATGTTTAATGATGCTCTTTCAGGCACTTTACATGGGGCATTTTTTTGTTGCCCCCCAAAAGTGGGACACAAATAAGCAAACACTCAACAGTAGTACAGGGAACAAAAATATTGTGCCTTTCCGGTCAAAGCCGGATATATTTACAAAGTATTGTATTGTTATTAAAATCACAATTAACTGGGGATTACAAAATAAATAAAAAATAAATAAAATAAAAAAACAGAAAAACAATTTCTCTTTGAAATAGATTCACATAAAAACCAAACTGAAACACAAAAATGTCAATTTGACTGATAATTTAACCTTTATTTGGTGTGCCTGGCTCTGCATTGTCTCCCTCCAGCACTCAAAGTGTTTATTTGGCATACCATAAAAGCACATCTGTGTTCATGCCAGTGGGCACATTGCTTTGCAATAGATTTCACCACCTTTTTGGCACTCAACTGGTTAAGACACAAAATAATATCAACAGTGCTGAGTAGAGACTAATCTTACCCTCTCATCCACTGGCATCTTCGCAGATTCCTCCTGCCGTGCCTCAAGCATAGGAAATCTGGAAACAGAGAGTCCATTCAACGCTGCCAACATCAAGGGCCTCTTCTGAGCCTCCAATCCTGCCATCTTATCCCTTTCTAAATTCTTTTGGCAAGAAAACACATGTTTTCATCTACGTTAGTTATGCCAGCAAATATTGGAATGTTTTTAATCTTCAAATCAACAAATCCAAAAGCCAAGGAATGCTGCCGCTGACAATTAATACAGGTTTTGGTCCTTTATTTACAGCATCTTTTAATGAATTTAAACAGACCTTTCATAGAAAGCAAGAAGAATCAAGCTCAAATAAAGTTTAAAATACAGATGGAATCTTTTTTTTTTACTTTTGTTTCACAGACACAATGCGTATCATTCTATATATCTTCATGTCCAGTCTAAAATTTGACAATAAATTTCTCTCATCTTCACAATCCGTGTAAATAAAAATAGATCAAACATTTATTGTAATAAATATAAATTTTAAGAAATTATCAAGAATGTATACAACATGAATAATGGCAACTTTTATAGGTTCTAACCTAAAGATTCTCTCAGTATTCCATCCTCGATAGCAATAATAAAAAAAATAAAATAAAAATTAAATTAGCATATTTAATACATTTATCTGCAGATACGATTTGTCTTCTCTAATAAATGTATTTAAATTCAAATTTTTACATGAAATTCCATGATTATTGCACAATTTTATATATACTTACTCTTAACATGATTTCCTTTTCTACAATCGTATCCTCTATTGAAAACATTTCCGATACAGGCCTTTCCTTAACTGGTTCCTTTCTGACCCTCTCCTTGACACTGGTAAGATCAGGTTCCGAGATAGATGGCCCAAGAGAAGCCCCATTTATTGTTGCCTGTTCATTTCTAGAAACAGAGGCAGTCTGTGATGTCCTTTGGCATGTTGCCTTGGTTCTAGCTATCGCAGCATAGAGACATGAAGAATCATGTCTTAAAGCTCCGTTGCTTATACTTTTTCTTGGACCTGGATATTCTGGAGGGGGTTTATTTGGCATTCTGGCTAGGGCAGCTTGTAGCTGATAGCTGTAAGACATTCTATTTGTAGATGAAGCATGGGGTACAGGATTGTGAGCAGCTACTTCTTCCTCTTCTTCACTCTCGCTGCTGTGTATCAACATTGTGGCATCAGAAATATTTTTTTTGTGATGATACAATGGAAGTTGATGAACATCCTGGTCCTTCTGCATGGTCTCCTCGGTGTGCACCAACTCTCGTAATGTATTCCTTCGGGGCAGTGGTGCATTTAGTGAATTTATTGCCATAGCTTCCATGCCACATACCATGCTGTTAATAACTTCCAAACTGTGGCGTTTTTTCACAGTGGGTCGATGGGTGGGTCTCATTAATAGTTCACTGACCTCTTGAAAAGACTGACGTGCCACTGGAGCACTGTCCTCCTGGAATGTTTTAACAGATTGCTGTACCTTTCTGGTCACCAAGTCTGGGCTGCTGCCACTAACATATTTATGGCGATGACTTGCCAAGTCTGGAGTGCTACTAGCTGGTCGTGGTTGTGAGTAGTGAGGTGGGGGCAGAGAAGACCTATTTCTTAGTTTACGAGAAGCCGTGAAACCTTGCGTGGGTTGCGGTAACACATTAGCCAACTCTGGTGTACTGACTGTGTGCGATATGGATTTAATATTTTCCTGGTTGGAAGCCACACCATGGAGAATGCGTTCAGTTGGATTCAGAACTTTATTTCCATAAGTAGCATGCGGTCCGTAGAGAACCATGTAATGGGGTCTTTCTGGAAATTCAGACTGACCATAAACCAAACTGTCACATGGCCTGTAAGCATGTGCGTTTCCAAGGTTGAGATTTCTTAAAGATTGATTCTGGCCATCAGGGGGAAGAATGCCTCTATTCTTTTGCCTCATTACAGTCTCATATTCAGGTGTTGGCCTGTAAGACGGCACAACCGTTGCACTATGGCGCATCTTTGTGAGGTAATCTAGTGCCATGAGGTCACTTGCTGTGATACTAACGTTTGATGTCCGTGGAGAAGCCTGGGTGATACTTTGTGAATGGTTAAGAGAGTTTATGCTATGAGCACTGGAAACACTTCCATTCAATACAGTCCCATTAATTTCTGGATATCCATCTAAACTTGTCTGCGAAATCGGTCTGTAACTCACTGGGTCCTCATTTATATGGAAAATATTGTCTGGAAGATAAACGAAAAATAAACAACAATTGCAGTTTTTCTGAATTAATTGATGAAATCAAATCTATATCAAAATCTGTAATGTAAATCTGTTGTACATTTGAGTCACTTATAGGCACCTAGACCAGGTTATGTGGGTGCAGTTGCCCTGTTTAGGTTCGGTTTTGTAGATACGGCAATGTTTACAATGCAGGGCTAAACATACCTCTACTGACTGTCTTCCTGACAGCCACTAGAGGGTGCTCCCGGTGCTACAACCAAGTCAGACTGGTAATGTATTATTCAATGTTTTCACGCATTGCATGAGAACATTGAATGTCCTCTATCGCATACTATAGGGAAGAACTGGATTCAACTCTTCCCTATGAGAAGCATTCGACTGGAGAAATGTGGCGCTCGCTGCACATGCATTTCTCATCCCCAATGCACCTCTATGAGAAGTATTTAATTGGATTAGAAAGACATCAATGGAGGTAGAGCAGACATTTTTTATTGGACTGTTCCTTAAATTTTTTAGATTAATAACCCTCCCCTCAATGCAGCACTGAAACCGTAAACATCCGTTAAACTTACATTATTCCTTCCTGTATTGGGAAAGTCTCCTCACTGCAGCATCAGGCCATGGCTATTGATGACTTGTGTCCAATCAGAGGCTACTCTTACAGAAGCATTGGATACACCAACAAAGCTTCTCAGAGAGTAACATAGAAACAAACCAATGCTTCTATATTAGATGCACTCACTTCATGAGTGAGACAGGGAACCTGGGAGGTGTTACTGAGGGGATTTTTTTTTTTTTTAAAAACGAACTTTTCTCAAACAAGTCTAAAGGTGCTTTAGAGGAATGGAACGTTCCTTTCATAATTATTTAATGCATCAGCAAACCAAATAATTAAAATAAATAAATTGCATTAAAAAAAAAAAATCTTCCAGAAATGAAAGACCACTTTTTTGTTGACATCTGCATTTGTTACGGTTGTTCCTGTTTGTTTACTGTATTGGTAGTCATAGAATATATTTATATTATATATACACATACAGAAGCACATGTATATAATTATGTCTGCAATGAATTCTGATATATATTCAAACACATTTACACCCACACAAATTCACAGTGGTACTATTAAAGTACAGTTTAAATCAGGAAACATGAGTACTAGCACTTACCTTCTGAGATGTATATCTCGCTGCTATGAATATGTCTTTGAGGAAGTACTGGCTGCTGCCGTGACTACAATAGTGTGAGAAATAAAGCAAAAACAGCTTTAATATTATCTCCATTAATGAGGAAACCACCTTCAATAGGAGAAAACATTGCACATACCGAGGAGGACCTGTTCCAGGTGTGCCGGCGTCTGACCACAGGAGGAGTTATCGATTGCCTGTTAAATATAAAAGTGAACTATGTGTTTACATGTTTTGTAACATGTACTACAAATTGTAGACTGGAGCCATGTAAAATAATATAAAATAAAGGCTACAAAATCTGATCCAAATTAAAACATGCAAGTATGTACGATTTTTGGTTTACCCATATGATTACTATTTTATTAAAGGTTTTTTGTAGTTGTCGTTAAAACAAGTCTTGCTAATGCAACCTTCTAACAGCAGCAGAAACGGATATTCTTAGGGCGATTAAAGGTGAAGGATTAGATCAAGATGCGTATTCACTTTAAAGGGACACTCACATCATGTAAATCAGGGCTGCCCAATAGGTAGATGTCCAGATGTTGTAGAACTACAACTCTCATGATGCTTTGTCATTCTAAATGCATTATAAAAGCATGCAAAGTATCATGGGAATTTTAGTTCTACAACATCTGGGGATCTACCTGTTTGGCAGCCCTGCTCTAAGCCAATGAGCTAATCCCTGCACTGCCAAGACTCCCATTGAGGCATGGGGTGATGCCCAGAAGACCACAGTTTAAAAAGTCAGTCAATTACAAAATGGTTTGCCTGCTTACGCTGGGGGGTACCAGGGCACTCCTGACACCACGACCAATACAACTTGCTGTAGCTGTTATTGTGCTCTGAGTATTTCTTTAAATTTCTCCCACTGCCTTCAAGACAACATTTCTCCTGTTAAACTTACTCATGTGAAAATGACGCATACTATATGTGGACAGACATAAATAGAACGAATACATGAAAACAAAGTTTGAAACATTGTACAATGTATATCTGTTGTGCACATTGCATGCCACTTACTCTGTGCATATTTTGTTGCCTTTGTAAAACTTAAGCCTCGTAGCAAACAATCGAGATATATATTTACTGTTTTCAACATCATCCTGAAACACACAAACACACAAAATCAACAGTGTCTCAAACCTCGGGTTTCTGTTTGTAAAGAGAACAGCAATGCACTAAGCCAACATAAACAACTTAACAGGTAGAAGTGTCAGACATCCTTCAAGGTGTATTAGAATTCTGCCAGATGGCTTGTTTAACACCAATGTGTCTATACTTGTTGTGTCTCAGATAATTACCACAGGCAAATAACAGAAATGTTTCAGCTCGTTGTGTGAGGCCAGATGTGATTTATTATAGTGCACTCTAACACGAGAAGATAACTTACTCGTATCTGCCAAGTCATTTTTTTCATTTGGAAGACTGGACAAATAAATCTGTGTAATCAACACATTTTAATAAGTGTGCTTACTCTCTCCCTTTAACCCCTTTATGACAGAGGACATATCAGGACTGATAGAATTATATTTGCCCAATACCTTGTCATAAAGTAGTTGAAGTAGTGCAAAATTTGAGGACATTTATTAAACTGAGCTGAAAAATGTATTTTATGTATGGTCTAATCTGTTCACATTTTTATTTAAATTGTTGTAAAAATAACCTAAAAAGAGTCAGCAATCTCTGCCAAAATTCCACAATTGTTTCAGAAAATAATGCCAAATTTATAGTGGCAGGTAATATAAAAGTGAAAAAGAATACATTTTTGTAGGTAAAAGAACCAAAAAAGATGAATAAACCCACTGTGTTGCTTTAAAAAAAAAAAAAAAAAAGCGCCATATATTAACAGATTTAATAAATTACGTTGTGGGGGTGGGAGCAAAAAACAATTGTTCTCTCACCTAATTATTCGATTGGTTTTCCATTTACCCAACTGTAAGGCAGATTTGGCTTCTTGATTGGATTTTATTTAACCTAAACTCTGCTACATTGCGAGGTTCGTCACACTTCACAAGTGATCTTGTGCATCAATTGTACACGATATAGTTCATTTATGGGTGGTTTTGTTCCATTACACCGGCTTTCCTGGAATGCTCCATAATGCTGCTCCCACCTATCTATCCTTCCTAATACACAAGTATGTCCCGTCTAGGCCCTTACGCCCTGCTGAAGACTTGCGTCTATCTTCTGTCCGTACTCCCACCTCTGATGCTCGCCTTCAAGATTTCTCGAGGGCTGCACCGTTCCTGTGGAACTCGCTTCCCTCCTCCGTTAGATGCTCACCCAGTCTCCACTCCTTCAAAAACTCATTAAAAACCCACTTCTTCATAAAAGTGTATCAATTAAACTGTTAACTCCCGACTGATTCCTCTCTTGGAGCTGTCATTAGTCTAATACTATCCTTACTTTTTGTGTCACTTTACCCCACTCCCTCTAAGCATGTAAGCACATTGAGTAAGGCCCTCAACCCCTCTGTTCCTGTGTGTCCAACTTGTCTGGTTACAACTACATGTCTGTTTGTCCACCCACTTTAAAGCGCTGTGGAGTTTGTTGGCGCTATATAAACAATAACATAATAATAATCCTACTTTATTGGGCCTTGGACAACCAGTTAGCATCTAAAACTGAATAATGTATAGAGTGTGGCTTAAATGGAAACTTCAGAACTCTAAAGCACTTCATCTTACTTTGTAGGTCTTCATTTTACAAACAAGAAGTGCAGGTTTCAATAGAAATTGGCACTTTTATAAATAACCTTGTTACCCTGGTTATCAAACAGACAACAGATCCTGTTACTTTCTGGTTTGTTTAGCTCAGTGGAGCTCAATAGGCAGCAATTGCTCAGAGCACCTGCCTTCTGTGATTGGACAGCCACAGAAAGTCTGAGTGGGGTTAGAAGGGGAGTTCTTGCAAAGGCTGCAGCTTTTTCAACGTTTTTCTTTTTTTAAATACCCCAATGGTAAAATGCTTAAAAAGGACACTATAGGCACCCAGATCACTTCATCTCATTGAATTGGTCTGGGTACACTGCAACCTGTCCCCTTACAATGCATGCATGTTTTCATTGGGTACATCTGCTAAACAATGATTTTTAGGTTAAATAATAAACAAAACATTTTTTTTTAAATGTAATTAGAATTGTGTAATAAAATGCCTATCGGTAAAGAGGTTCAAGGGTTAATGCAGTCACAAAACCTAAGGCAGTATTTAAAAATGGAGTCATTCCTAAGGAAATGAAAAAAAACAAAGGGTTAGACCAATTGGCAGTCGTAACTCAAGAAATTTGTACTTTATTTCAGTTCAAGACTTTGTAATTGTGTAATAGATATTCCCCTACCGTGTGAAAAAGAGGAGATTCTTCTTTCCTCGTCAGCTCCAGTACAATTGCAGACTTGTTGTGGGTGATATTTCCAATATCATTCCACCTACAGACAAGATTCTACATTAGGCTGGCAAAAAAAAAACATTCTACATTCTCACAGTTCATTCTCAAGTAGAGGTTTCGTTGCACTTTTCCTGCCTTTTGATCACTGCTAGAGATGCTGAGTACGGTCTGTGCGTTTTATCAGATTTATCCTTTTCACCAAACAAGAAGAGAAAATACAGGGATGGTATATGTGGTAATTTCTTAATTAGCCAAACAGTCAAATTTAAAACCTTGTGTATTCTATAAATGCATATCATTTTTACTGGATGGTAACCAGTCCGTCTCGCTAATTGGGCGAAACATGGATTTATATCCAGCTCACCCCTGTGATTGAGCAAAAGAACTTTTAAACATTATACTTTTTATATAATTTTAAACTTCTCATGTTGTTTATAAACCAACAATTATCTCCTTACTATTCTTTGTTCTGATATTGATATAGAAGTACATTTCATTAGATCAGAGTAATTACACAGTTTTCCTACAGAAACCCACAATTCGAGATCCTTTGCCAAGTTACCATGGCCTCGATTAATTAAGCTTTCCAAATAATTCCATACTGTTAGAAAGACGAACAATTTAGCTACGAGAATTCTAAAAGACATTGATGGCGACTTGTATAGATATATCATTTGGAAAGTCATTTAAAAACAAAAATTATTAATAATTAACTGCTACTTTTGCTTTTTCTAATACACATTGCAGTAACAGGAATAGATGAATAAACACAGGGTAATGTGATTTTATTCTATAATTCATTGAAAAATAGTGAATGAAAATATGAATCCAGAGTAGTGCAATTAAATTTACTATATTGATTTCGGACAGTCAATCATTCAGGGTCCTCTTTAACTTTTTTATCTATTGACATTTTTTTGCAGTTCTATATCCTTATTGTATAATTGTACAGCGCTGCAGAATATGTTCCCTTTGTAAAATGCAATAAGTAGATTTGTTTTCCTCTTGATTATATTATTTTTAAATGTAATATTTTTGGGATAATCTTTTTAAATTATTTTTTTTTTAAATATAAAAAAAAATAAAGATATATATATTCAAAAATCTATAAAAGTAATCAAAAAATTTAATATTTTTCAAAATATTAAATCATATTCAAAATGTACCTAAAAATATTAGATAATTTTAAGAGCTTACAAAAAAATATTTAATTGAGGCCTTAACTAGTTAGTAGGTTTCCCAACGTAAATATGGTAAGATTTACCTGTAAATGGCTGTTGTTTGTCCAGTATTGTCAGTCACAAAGATCCCCACGAAAAAGATACAAAGGTTTATATCATTTCCATGACTGTCCTAAAAACAAGCCGTAAATATGAATGAAAATGTTAAAATCTCACAAACAACTGAAAGGGTAAAAGTGAATAGTCAAAAACAGTATTTCATGGTTTAGCGTCAACACTTATTCAGAGTAAGAATCGGATGGGCAGAGAACTCATGGGAGGTGCTCTTTTAACAACAGCTGGGGAGCTCTCTCTCTCTTGGCCTTTGCTGGGTTGCATTTTATATTTATTCAATTTAATTACCGATATCTAAAGCAAGTGGTTGCTTTTTATGGGAAATGTACTTGACAAACTTAGTGTCAAGATGAGCCATCACAGTAATAAGTCCTCAATTTCCTTTTTAAGGGGAGATTACACTTAAATGGCCATTGGAACGATAAAAAAACAAAAAACAAAAACAAAACAAAAAAAACAAAAAACCTCCAGGAATAGTGCGCAAGTAACTTTTTTTTTTGTTTTTTTTATTGTATGTATTGGGGCTGATGTGAACTATAGTCATTGCTACCACCAAGGAGTAGTGGAAGTTTGAGCGCAGGCCTTAATTTTGTATGTTTGTACTATCTGAAGGAGTGTCTACAAAATTACTAAAATATTCTGGCTGTTTTCATTTTTTTGGGGTGGGGAGGTGAGGGGGGGCGAGAGAGGTTTTTTTGTTTTTTTCTGTGAAACCAGCAATTTACGCAGAATAAAGTCTGCTTGTGCGTATTCAAATAGGTTGAATGGTGGGGGGTCTTTTTTTTTTAATGGTTTTGTATGACTTTTTAAAAATGGATTTAAACTTGTTTTTTAATCTTCTATGATTTACTGAGACGTCTAAAAAAAAAAAATAATTGTAATTCCAAACCTGAACACAGGGAGGCAGCATTATAAAACAAAATATAAACATCCACATTTCTGTTTCTCTAACGGTACTTTGGAAATAAAAAAAATACATAAAAAATGTATTAATTGTTCAGCTCCAGGCAAATAATTATTATAACAAAGTATTTAACCAGGAAAAGTACAATCAGATTACTCTGGTTTTTAAGTACGTCCGATTCTGCTGATGATGCATTAGCCCACTGAGCTATCCCACCGCTCTGCTAATCAATTAGAATAGGTTTTTTGCTTTTACCTATATACATTTTTTTTCTAGAGCCACAGAAGTAGAATATAACATAATTGCTTTCAAACTGTGCTGTTTCCTGTGAAATACATCAGCAGAAACCGGTTAGAATTATAGAATATAAAGCATGCTGCTAAGTTGTTTGAAGCATTAGTCACTTTAAAAGACCACATCATCTTAATGAAGCTGTCTGGATGCAATGGTCCTGCCGTTTTGGTTGTGCAATGTACAACATTGCTGTTTTGTAGATACGGAAATGTTTTAATTGCAGGACTAGAAAAAAACAAAAACCCTCTACTGGTTCTCTCCCTGGCAGCCACTAGATGGTGCTTTCCCTGTGAGAAAGGAGTCAGACTCTGTTCTGACCATTCACATCCTCTAATGGTTCTTGATTGGAGAAGTGCAGTGCTTTTCATCTATGAGAAGCATTGGATTGGATGAGAAGACAGAAGACGTCAGCATGCTTGCCAATGAAAAGAGAGGCAGAGTGGGTGATGGAAACAAGGTAATTAAATAGATTAACTTTGCATTTTCACACAGAGTGGGGGTGGACACTAATGGCAGGATACAAATAGTACTTAAAAAAAAAAAAAAAATTTTATAAAATAAAAAAGATTATTTTATGGACTGTAGGTGCCCTTTAATCTCATACCTTCACATGAAAACATTCCTGGCCGTAGCCATCAAGATGCTCGACCACTTTAATGTACAGGAGTTCAGCCTCTTCGGGTGACAAAGCACTATAAATGAAACAAACAGAAAATTATTAATGCAAAGAATCGATACCACCATGGAATAGACATTACTGGACTATGGAGGGCAACTGGGTTTCATTCTGCAAACTGAGAAACGCAAAGAATTAATTTATGAAGGTCATAATATCAGAGATTGAAAGACACTGTTGAACAGAATTTTCTTCTATTCTCCGTATTCAGAGATTTTGACCTAAAAAAAATAAATCCCTAAATATTTTGTTTTGGAGTGAGAAACTTGTGGTATTAATTCTATGAAACACTGTTGAGAACTGGGCTGCGACAAAGGTAAATATGGGGAACCGTGTTTGATGTAGTAATTAGAACAGCGGTACGGAGTTTAACCCCTTAAGGACCAAACTTCTGGAATAAAAGGGAATCATGACATGTCACACATCATGTGTCCTTAAGGGGTTAATTACTAAACATTGAACTGCAACTGCAATCCAGGAACCTAAAATATCTACATTATGTTTCAGGAAGTGTCTAGGAAGGCTGTGCAAAATCACATGCAGGGAGGTGTGACTAGGGCTACAAAAACCAAGTGATATAACACCTAAATAGAGTATTGAGCAGTGACACTGCAGGGGCATGATGTATACACCAAAATTGCTACATTAAGCTTGAGCTGTTTTGCTGCCTATAGTGTCCCTTTAAGTGAAGTGACAGAAGAAAACCAGCTCTGATATGATACGAATAGGATGGACCTGCAGAAATTCTGGTGATATCCGATTTTGCCGCAGCATGGGGTAAGTTTACAGAGACTCGCTGAATACTAAATCAAACTGAAGGCCCTTGATGACATTATGAACAGGGTCATTTTACAAAAATGTAATTTTTCCTAAACACTTAAATACATAAATAATGTTATTTCAAGCAGGGATGAAGAATCCTTGGCATTACTGCTCTCTCACCTGTAGGCTGTGTGTTCCATATTCAGTTTATTAAACAGCTCTTCCAGGATTGCCTTATCTTTAGTCCAGGCCTAGGGAAATGAAATCAGATTACTTTAGATCAATTCAGAGAGCTAAATTTTATATAGTCATACTGACCAATGACACCAGCTAATGAACATTACTCCTTACGCCACAGTGGTGTTTAAGTGGGTGCCTATTAATTCATGTACATGTACCCAGATGAGGCATGCAAAAACTTAACTGGGTAGCATGTCTACATGTGTAAAGATATGTAACTACAAGCACATTGACTGGGTTGGATAATGGATGGAGAATAGTTGGGGGCTCTTGACAGCTACAATTTTAGTTGTTTTTGTGTTGGTATGTAGTAGTAGTATGTAGCATGTCTTTATATACGTCTGTGTGTTGGAATGCATGTGCCAAAGTTGAGAAATGTATCAGCAGTAATGAGTAGGAGCATGAGAGACCTAGAATGTGCCATATTGAAAGGGTGTGCTAGTGGCATATAGTGTATCTCACTCAGAGTGTATCTTTAATATGTTCGTATAAGATATTGGGCCTGTGACTTCTGTATTGCAAATGTTATGGCCTCTAACTAGAGGTGGTCAGCCTTCTTTTTCATTTAATGCCAACGCAAGTAAGGAAACATACAGATATGTTGGGTTTTAATAAAAGAATCACAGGTCTTCAGGATTCAATGCTAGATGTTCCATAACTTTATTTCCTAGGTTTCCTGCTGTATGTATTCCACATGCCACTGGCATCTGTGTGATTCTTGCACACCTTTCTAAATATACTAAAGTTGAGAAATCAAGTATAATTTACTTATTTCATCTATTTTATTGATCTTTTTTTTTTTTAAAGTATATATATATATATATATATATATATATATATATATAAATATAAAAGGATGTCACTAATGTCAATTTGTGGCATTCTTTCAATTATTGTATATGTAATACCTGAAGGTTAAACACTAAAGAATCCGATTTGGAATGCGGTGTAATTACACAGAATGTACCAGACACCATGTCAACTTGTACTGCTAGTCAGCCTTGTGTCAACTGGGGTTTTCACAAAAGGTAAAGATAGCATCTGCTTCCCTTAAGCATTTTCTCAATCTGCTGCAATGCAGATCAATGTCAGTGGGTTTTGAAATTTCCTCTGAAGTGTATCCATGTGTGACTGACACATAGGGCAATAAACTATACTGAGGCAGCAACACTGCACAATCACAATGAGACAAAACCAGAAAACAAGCCCTGGGGACGAGTGTATTTTGTTCAACAGATTTTCTAGTTCTTCCCCTGAGGGTATGTACTTTAAGGAAGGACACTCTGGAACGGTTTGTAGGAGAACTCTATGGTCAGCGGCCATTTTAACTTTATATTCAGTTGTCCAGTTGCTTGCTTAATGATTTAATGGGAAGCTGAATAAAGAACTGCTCCGTGTACCTACTGTCCAGTAATGCTTGTTTCTGCTCTCCACCTTAAATCACAGAAAATACCACAGAGAGTCTCTGTAATAGTATTTACTTTTGTCACAATAGTATGCAGGATAAAAATAATAATCTCCTTGATAAAGAAATTTGAAACAAGTCTGCACAACTCGAAAATTATGACATGCAGAATACAGCCCCAAAAATAAGATTTCTACTAAACTAAAGTCTTGCACAATGTTGCGGAATTATCTTTAAAAAAAAAAAAAAAAAAAAAAAAAAAAAAAAAAAGTTCAGTAGTCTCAGATGAAAGTAAGAGTCATTTGGAAATAAGTGGCTCAATGAAAAGAAAAGAAAAAAAAATGTCTTATGCAATATAGTCCAAGCACAATACATGAGATCAGAATTTGAGGATACCGCCCAACACACTACAAAGTCACTTGGCGTCGATCCAGACAATCCTGAAGAGTTCAGGCAAAATGCATAAACCACGTCCTGTCTTTGACCAAAGATAATAAACAGGTCAACAATATCCAGCTTTAGATGCTTCTTGACACCATTCTACGAGGATTCAAAAGTAACCTCTGATCTTCCCATTCTTCGATTTCAGGAGCAAAACTTGCATACCATTTTTCTGCATTGGCGATCTAATTTAGATGCTGCTAGTTGGGTTAAGATCTGGGATTGATATTCCATATCTATCTCAGTTTTATCTGGGTTGAGTTAGAAAGCATTAGTGATCACCCTCTCTTAGGTGTCAAATCACAAGGTGTTGAAACTGACTTGTTTTGTGCGCTGTTCTCCATATCTGTGCACAATGAGCATGTAAACACTTCAAATGTATCTTTCTGTCCCATCATCTTGCTTAAACTATATTTATCACACAATCATAATCCCACAATATATAAAGACAGCAACAGCAATTATGTATTTGTTATTAAACATGTTTTCTAGTGTTATGTCCTTAATCCGTAGATGCGCTATATGTGGATGTCTTTTTTTCTGACCACAGGGAACATCATTCACCTGGTGGCATATCAGCCACGGCTCACATACACATTGCCAACCAACAACAATGCGACATTTGAGGGACATTATTTTTTTCACGAAAAGCAACTAGATTGTAACTTTAACACTAAATGTAGCACAATGAGTTTGAAGGCAAACTATGGCAAATACAGTGTTAAGACGTTGTTACTTGCTACATGCTTCAGTCTTTCTATAGAATTCAGAGTAATACTTAATTTTCTCAAGTTTCCTTTGTAACACATTTTGTTATTTGAAGACATGGTGAGTCACAATCAATCCATGTTGTCAGATTAAGACACCAAACATTCAAATTTGCTTTAGTTTGCCCCTGAAGTGATGAGAACCTGCATGGGAACACCTTTTGTCCTCTCTGAGAATTTATGTTTGTGGTAGGATTCTGTAAAAGGTAGAATCCTGTATAGCCCAATTCTACACTAGCAAGGCATTTTTCTAGCCCTCTCTTGGCCTGGATGGGGTCCTAATTTGTTATACCAATAGGGCACTCCCACATAAGGGTACCAAGTTACGGGAGCTATCTACTAAACAGCTTAAAGAACACTATAGGCACCCAGTCCACTTCATTTCAATGAAGCGGTCTGGGTGCCATGTACCCGCCTTGCCCCTTAAATTCTGCAGCTGAAAACATTACGCTTACAGTGCAGATTTAACCGGTCTCTAGTGGCTAACATATTGCGCTTCCATAAAATAGAGTAAAAAAACTTTGCCATTTTAATACGTTTGTCTCAGGAGACCATTTGATAGGCACAGAGTCTTGCCTATGGGAAAGCATGGGATTGGTGGAGATCATTAACAGTGATCATCAACAATTTCTTATTTGTGCATACAGTTACCCTTGAATGATATGCACAAATAATAAATTAAAAATAAATGCATTTTTCACTTACCACGGGAAACAGCCGTTTCTCTAAGATGGACTCTTGGGATTCAAACACATTATCATCTTTATATTCCGCTAAAATAAAAAATGAAAAGTCTGAGAATCGAACTTAAAATAAAGCTTGTATTATTTCTGCTACACAGAAAAAAAATAAAATAAAAAAGTATTATTACAAATCATATTAATTAACTAACATTCAAAAAGCTTGCAGTTGTCTTGTTGTGTACCTGTATTAAATGTCTTAATGGGACACTATAGGCACATATACCACGTCATACCAGTGTCCCAGTCTCCTTAATCATGCAATGTAAAACAATTTGTTTACATTGCAGGGATAAGACAGCCTTGGTGATGGTCTGCCAGACAGCCACTAGATGTGCTTCCTGCAGTGATACGAAGTTTAACTCACTGTGCTTGAGGACATTTTGCAAAACCCCATAGGAAAGCATTGAGTCAACGCTTTCCTATGGGGAAAACCTAAATGGGTGTGTGGCGCTTGCTGTACATGCACATTAGGTTACCAAATTGCAAGAACAATGGCGGGACTCTGTGCTGGATTCAGGTAGGTGAATAAAAAGGGTTTTAACTCTTTAATGGCTGTTCAGAATATATTGGAGAGCCTGCACCACCAGAATTTGCAATTCTAGATGCAACCACCAGGGGCTGCTAGACTCAGGTGGCATATTTACATTAAAGCTACACCAGGTACATTCAAACTCAGCACGAGTAAGATTACTCGAAAAATGAAGCAATTACTAAGCTGCCAACAACACTAAAATTCAATCCACTAGTAACTCCTGTGATTTAAATGGAAATTCAAAGTTACAGCTGAATTCAGCATGAACTCTGCCATGTAGCATCCTCTGAATCCCTTCTCCATTTAGTATTTCACATACTTGCATTTTACACTATAGAACCTCGGCACTATAGGGCTCTCAGAGCTGGGCTTGGAATTCAGGTACATTTGGACTATCATGGTACATGTTTTTGAAGTTGTATCCATGAATTCTAACACTAAGCATTTAGTGACCAAAACACGGATGCTTCAGATGATGGAGAACTACAACCCCCATTAATATTTTGCCATCTATTGCAATCAGAGATTTCTGGGAGTTGTAGGCCATCAACATCTTGGAGGGACAGGAAGCTGAGATTCTGGACTAGAAAGTTTGTGCTAAATACAAGTAAATAGGTTTCCTATACATGAGATGATCATATACTGTGGAAGTCCAATGTAAATAACAATTAAAAGTGTTTAGGCTGAGAACATTGTGCCTAATATGCACCCAGCTCCATAAAGTTTAAAAATTTCTTTGAAGTGGTTTAAAAAGTAATCTGCAGTCCACAGACTCCACAATTATCTATTATATACAGGAGGTGCCTGGGATCCTCCGTGTTTTGCAATTAGAAGAAAGATGGGTTCGCTGTAATAAAGTTGCCAAGAAACTCTTAAGAGCTCATAGAGATGTCAAAATGCTTTACTTGCCAAATACTCATAAATCAAGCCCTTCTGGGAAGAAGTCCAGTTTTTAGCCCAACTAGACCATGTTTTATTTCAATAGCTTGAAGATGGGAATTTACAGCCTTGAGCTTTTAAGAATGTAGGAATGGCCTTTTCTGGCAGTGTATTTATTAAGGAAAAGTATGTTTTTTTTTTTCATACTAGGGAGAATGCATTAATTGTATCTCCATTTAAGGTAGGACCTAGAAAGCCATTGCATTGTCTTGTACAGTCCTTTGGATTGACTGTCAAAAGGACAGTCATAAGCAAACACTACAGAGAAAGTGGAACATTATTTAGTCCAGTGCACCGACCGGTTTTATTGCTGAGGAGTACTATTATATATCAGTGGACATTGTACATTACTGTGAGATTTACTGCTATGCAAAACTGTGATGCACATAACTGAGTTTTAATGGTGTGGAGCTCTTTGATACAGTCACGCACAGTGAACATTCTAAACTGAAATAAAAGAGGCACATCAGGCCAGGCACAGACATTCTATCCTGGAAGAATGTGTTGGCAGACTACGCAGATTTGTCAAAACAAGTCTTAAGAACACTTTTCATGGACTCTGAAGCAAAGTAATGAATGTATTAGATAGGACAAGGATCAAATAAATTGCTCTGCTTTGTCTCGCATGAAAAATGTAAGACTAGGATTAAAATTCCCCCCTGCACCCATAACTCTTTGCCACAATACACAGGATGAGCCAGCAGGTGCCAAGCAAGAAGTGCGTTTTGACATCAGATGGGCACCTCAGGTCTGGTGTGATAATTTGCTGTTGAGTTTATCTTAGGTAGAAAAAAAAAAAAAATATGGAAAAATTTGACTATTTCTTTTTCCTGTGCCAACTCTGGAAAAAGTACAGACCACAAAGAGACACTTTGTAAGAGAGCAATACCTTGAATAGCTAACCCAGCTAGATGGATACATTGCTCTACAGAACAGCGTAGTCGACCGTCTGCCACATCCTTTCTCATCTGGAGATAGTACTGGTATCTGTGAAACAAGTCACAAGGTTCTGTTAGTGGAATACAAACTACTTTAGTGTGTTTCATGAAGCATACATCCAGTATGTAAATTATTCTTTACACAGGTCAACGGAAGCAGCATCACTCAACTTCTGTAATTTATACAGCTTCCAAAGCCGTAACCTTAGAGCGATAGTAAGCGTCAGTGCAATCACACTACATTACTATAAACATTCATCTTCATAATAGTATTTCGAACATGCTTCACTGGGAGGCTACATTTACTTAAAGGCCATTCCATGGATCTAAGATAATGGGGTGCATTCTGCTAAACCGGATTTTACTGCATGACGGATGTGGCTCTTTTCCACAAAAATATATATAAAAAAAAAAGTGCATGTGATCCATTTCTTGGTATCGTATTTACGTGAGGAAGTGGCGAGGTCAAGAAAAAAAAAAATAAAGCCACCCATAAAAGAACAATAATATATAAACCATAATTATCACATGCAAGTTTAAAAATGAAATTTATATAGAAAAGGAGATGGAGAGAGAAAAATAAAACAAGAAAACATTGTACAGAGCAGCTTTACACCATCCGCATATTAAAAAAACAAACAAAAAAAAAAAACTACAGCTCTGCTCCAATTATTCAGTCTCCCAAAATTTGTTTTCTGCATATGCACGGCTGCTTGACTATGCATTGCTCAGAAAGCTCCATTCTAGGAGCAAACTGGGAAACATTGAATCCAAGACTAAGTACGGATTCTGCTGTATTTTCTTTTTTTTCTTAACCTCATAAGACAGAGGCAATTCTGCAAGTTCTGAACCAAAACAACAGAATATGTGCCACTTGTTCGTTCAAACATAATTTAAAGCAACGGCATACTAAAATGGCTGTGTACAGTGCTCCATTTGAGTTTTGCGTACAGTTCACCTGTCAGTACGGGGCCACTAAAAATTGCCCCAGCTGACTGTGGGGAGCCAGAGATATCGTTTGATACTCGGGACTCTCTGGTATTTTACCTGGCTCACACCAAAATGTTGGGATGTTCTATACAGTTTCTAATGGCATTAAAGTACCCTCCATTAAGGACAACATGAGTGTCCGAATGTCACATAGACATAATAAAGTTAATAAAGTAACTAGAAATGGGAGTTAAATACAGACCTACTTATCCCATTTGTCTTTCAATACAAGTTTTATTTTATCATATGAATTATTGCCTTTATTTTAGGTTTATCTTAAACACTCTAGGCACCAGAACCACTGCAGCTTAATGTAGTGGATCTGGGGCAAAGAAACTGACCCTGCAGTCTCCGCAGTGCAAACACTGGCTTTTCAAAGTAAAGGTAGTGTGTTTACATTGCTGCCTCATGCCACCTGTATGGGGACTTCCTAGATGAAGCCCTGCAAAGATTCCAAACCGACGTTCAGTGTCTCCACGCTGCATGGAGACACCAAACACTACCATAGAGATACATAAAGTCAACGTATAGCTCTAAGGAGATGCTGATTGGCGCAGCGCGGTGATTGCTGCACACTAACCTCCCAATGATATCCTATGGGAAAAAAAACCATTGGATTGGCGGATATCACCAGTAATGATAATGTCATTTAGTGGAGGCGGAGCAACTGAAGTGAGTCCAGCTGTCAGGGGATACAAAATCAAAAGGGTTTAATTTAGTTAATTTAGGTAATAAAGGGGAGGAGGGGATGTCCATAATGTAGAGAGAGTCACAATACCATGTATTTCTAACGCTAGATTGTTCCTTTAAATTGTTCAGTAGACAAAAAGTGGAGCCAAGGTGTCCGCTTTGTGCATTAGCTTGCAAATCTATGCATCAGATGCAAAACAAATTCTACATGATATTTGCATAAGGCTAGATCGGACAGTCTTGCACCTTGCGTGCCAGCAGTGTCCCTTTAAAAATCATGAGTGCTGACTTAGTCACAGCTAATAATTCACCCTGAACTGAAATTCATACCAAATGTAATCAGAGTGTAAATAACTTGACGGGAGAGATATATCTTTATCATGTCCAGTTCAAAAATGGAGTATGGGCATAACTTGCTTGGGTAACAGAAAGTCAGATGATTGATAAATCAAAACAACGTTAAGATGCCTGTTCTACCTGTGGGAGACAACACACTGGCACTGCAAGCATGTAAGGAATCTGCTGTACGTTGGGAAATATTTTCACATTTTCGTGGGAGCCACCAGGAATGTTGGCATGGATGAAACCAGAGACGGAATGTTATCCATATTTTCTTTTACCGTTGAAAATACTGTGCTGCATAAACTTTCAGTTTCTAACTCACTCTTAATGAACAGAATAAATCCAAAATTGTTACCTACACACTATCCAGAATCCAGATAGCTGCCCAGGAGTAGTGGAGTTAGAACACAGAGTTCATGTCCTAATGTGTTTTACACCACACCTCCTATAGAATGTAAGGGTCCTCTTCAACCTGTTGTTCCCGTAAGTTTTTTGTACTTTTCCTATTTATAGTTAAATCCCCCTCTCATAATATTGTAAAGCGCTACGGAATCTGTTTGGCGCTATATAAATGGCAATAATAATAATAATAATAATAATAATAATAGTCTGCTTTCTTATTCACTCTGGACAAAATGTCCCTTTGTAGTCACCTACACTTTAAGATTAATAGTCATCTATAATAGCTCCTTTCTGGTATATTTGTAGATATTGTGTAAAGTGGAAGTTATGCAAAGGAAAGGAATGAATACAGAATACAAAAAAACATTCTTGATGTAAAAAAAAAAAAAAAAAAGACATTTGAGGTTTTTTAAGCAAGCCATTAAATGTCCTGATGTACACTAGATCACAGGAAGCAAATTATTCCTGGTAAAGCTAAGGGTGACAAACATCTGCTAAATTTCACATTTTCCTGCAAATATTGACAATACATGGAGAAAGGAAGGAACAAGGGTCTTGTTACACTGGGGGTCTTCGCCATCTACATTCGGAACGCAAAAAGGATGTAAAAGCGGACAGCAATCTTATTACCAACCTTATTTAAGTCTGACCCTATAAAAGCATAGCAAGATGAATCCCATGCCTTAAATAACATTTAAAGTTAGGATTCCCCACCCCACCCCCTTTTCATTAGTACATTTTATTCATGTCCTTTATTATTAGATTACTAAAAAGGTTCTCTAAAACATCAGAGCCCATTCTACGACAGAGGACGCAATCCTGGCTATTATGCACTCATGATTTGTGTATGTAAATATCCCAGGTTAAAGAACAAGATAACCATAATACACAAAACAATACGGACTCTACGAGAAGCTAAATTAAGGTATCACTCCCTGCAAAGAAGAGTGGAAGCATGAATAGTGACTAAGAAGCAATACAAGGCATTTTACATTTCCTGGGTCTTCGGCAATCATCCATGCGCACATCAATAGAATGCTCAGTACAGCTACACTCACTACAGCACGTTTTCTCATTCAACTGCTCAGCAGTGCTATGTTGCATTATAAGCACACTAGTGCTATAGGATCATCTCAGCAGTATGCTGCTCACTACACATGCACGCTCATTAGTGTGTTCTCACTAGTCCAGTATGATCGGTATAGTATGTTCTCACTACAGGTGACAACATATCACTGCCTTACACGGACTAGGAGTGTCAAACTGTCCCCAAGAAGTTGAATGCAATTCCCATAATTCTCTGACCCTTTATTGCATTCAGGGAATTTTGGGAGCTGTAGTTCAATGTCGTTTGGGGAGTAATGGGAGTTTGATAATTCTGTTCTAGAGCAGGTGTTCTCTACAGCTGTGTGCTCAAAGAATATACATGGACTGAAACTGGGGATTTGCTGCAGGAGAGATACTCCTTAAAGGTGTTTCTGTTTTTGAAACAAGTGCATTTTAAAAACCAAAAAAAAAAAAAAAAAAAAAACACATTATGCATTGCATTTAATATTTACTATGAAATTCAAAAAATTATTATCTTTCATAAAGCTTACACAGACAAAAGCTGCAACAATTTTGAAACAAGATAATGCAACGCCAATCAAAGCCGTTTTAAATGTAAAAGATTGAACTATAAGACGTCGTCAGTTGTTGTCAATCCAACTCTCAAGGCACATGAGCACTCCTCAATTTAGATATACACAATTCTTCTCCAGTGGGGACAGTGACAAAACCTGAACGTTTAGTGTGTCTTGAGGGTTAGTAACCATTGACCAAGGCAGGTAAGAAGGGATCTAAGATAAAATAGTGGTCCAATAACTAGCAAAATGTTAAAGCGATACATATTAAAAAACATAAAATGAGTAGATTTTCACAGGAGATTGTATTATACTAAATATGTCAAAATAATACGCATGGAAAGCAATTTGTCATGGACTAAATGTTAGGTAGCTCAAACTGAGTCTCTGCATAAAGAAAGCAGCATTTTTTTTTAAATATACATTTATACCAAGGATGTCAAACTCGCGGCCCACAATGACTTTCATTGCGACCCACAGCCCAACCAATCAGGAGTGCGCAAAAATCACTTGTCAGACTGACATGCGATTTTTGTGCCTGCCTCGGCCTGCATTTCCTCTGCCCACAGGCAGCGTGTGGCTCCGTGAGAACCGCACGCACTGTACACTGGGAAAGGGGATCGCCACCCCGTCCCATTCCGCTTTAGAGCGCCGGGTGTCACGTCACTACCCGGCGCTCAATCTGACACTGCGCGCCGTCGGAGAGGCCCCGCGCCCCTACTATGTCAGATGAGAAACAGCAGGGAGGGGGCCATCTATCAATAGTGCAGAGCACAGCTGGCAGGTCCAACACCTCGGGCGCAGGCTCTGAGAAAGAAACAGCTGCCTGCCAGGTATGAATGGAAGGGGTAGAAGGGAGACATAGAAGGGAGGGGAACAGAGACATGAATAGAAGGAGGGAAGAATAGACATGGATGGATTACTCTGTGTTGTGACACATTATTCTGTGTTGAGATATAAACTAAAAGTGCTCTCATAGTGCTGTAACCTATGATATACATTGTATGGTTAAAAGTAAATAAAGTTTGTTGTTACTCCTTCCTTTTCCTCCTGAAACAGGAAGTAGAATAAAGACACAGAAGCAAGAAGTACCTGTGTGGTTTTTCCCTCCATCTTTATATAAGGTTATCCTACCCTAATAATCAAAATGGCAACACTCTGCCTGGAGATTGCACAGGGACTGAGGGAGCGAGCGGAGCGGACAGCGCGGCTACCTACCTGGCTGTGACTGCAGTTTGCAGAGGGAGTGAGCAGAGCGGACACTCCAGACAGTGGAATTACTACAGAGATAGTAAGTAACTTGAGGTGAAGCTTTTGAGTGAATTCTATAGCTGTACCCAGGATTACATATTGTTTGCATGAGAATGATACAAGTAATTTACGTTTGTGTTAGTCTACCTCGAACTCTTTTTTTTTTTGTGTGCGGCCCACGTAAACTTAAGCCTTGTATATTTGGCCCGAGTTAGCCTTTGAGTTTGACATGCTTGATTTATACAAATAAATAAATAAATATATATATATTTTTTTATTTAAACAAGATTGACAGTGTCATTAAATAGTATTCATCTTCCAGCCACACACCCTGAATACCAGTTTAGTTAAAATAGAAGCTGCAGCATGTGTGTTAAAATTCCAACATAGAATGTCATAACTTTCATATTAGAATAAAATGGGTTTATTTACAGTTTAGTGATATGCACTAAATTAAAAACCAAACTGAAAAATTGGCCAAAATAGAAAATCTGGTGGGGGGGGAGGGGGAGGAGGAGGATTCATATGAATCAGTTTTTCTATTTGAAGGGACACTCTAGGCACCTGAACAACTATAGCTTAACATAATGAGTCTGGGCTATAAAGCCTGTCCCTGCAGGCTGAGCAGTGTAAACCCTGCCTTTTCAAAGAAAGAGAAGAGGATGCTTAATGCCAATCCTAGTGGCTGTCACAGAGGACCTTCCAGGAATTGGTCCACACAACATTACAGTCGTGACGTTCAGCGTCTCCATGCATCGTCTCAACACATTTCTGGGAAGAGTTGCAGATTAGTGCAGCACAGCATTTTGGTGAGCATATGCACTAGCCTCCCAATGCTTCCTCACGGAAGCACAGTATTGAATTGTCTTATGACTGATGATCTCAGGCTGGGAAACTTTGCAGCCGTGGAAGTAATGGCAAGTTATTATTTTTTTTTTTTAAACAATCCAAATAGGTAGGGTCATATTCCTAATGCTTTACTGTTCCTTTAAGTTTATCCGTCTGGTTTTCCATTCACGACAATCCACTGTTTCACAGAGATCCAAAAGCTCTGTGCAATGTAAGCTTTTCTTTTCCTTTCGAATACGCACAAAAGATAAACATATATAATTTATTATACATTTGGAAAAAGAAAAAAGAAAAGAAAACAAAAACGACGTTATTACAACACCAATATTCTCCTTATCTTCAGGGCAGCAAGCAGACACTTATACCCATATCGTGCCAGGGCATGCAAGCAATATTTTACATAATGCTTCTCAATAGAGCACAGCCTTTTAAGAAGCCATCATCTTGTACACCAGGGTAAACACAAGATATCTTCACCAGTCAGCTTGGAATCCCAGTGTTTGCCTTTGCAGGGAAGGAACAGAGCGTTTTTCACCCTAAAAGGTTACTATTTGCTAAAAATAAACTTTGCATGTGAACTGTGTAGCAGAACAGACCAGTCGAAGCATGCTGGGAGAGAAGGCTACAAGACGAAGCCTGCATCTCACTTTCTGCCCTTGAACTTTTACATTCATTATCACAAAATTACAGGGAGAGTGCATTCCTTAATAACAACCTATAATTTAATCAGGGCTTATCCAACATACCAGAACTATTAGTCCATAGAAAAACACACCAACACATATAAATTTTTGTTTAATTTGAATATGTGATAATCACTTACATTTTCAGAATCAACTCAATGAATTCTTCTATCACTTGTAGGAGCCACAAGCCATGGAACACTGGCCTCCCACAAAATAGGTTGTTAACCCCTTAAGGACACATGACATGTCATGATTCCCTTTTATTCCAGAAGTTTGGTCCTTAAGGGGTTAAAGGGACACTATAGGCACCCAGACCAGGGCTGCCATCAGAAATTTTAGGGCCCCTGACACAGCTCAAGATCTGGGCCCCCGGACACACCCCTGAATCCGCCCACAGGTATGCAGTGTGTTTGTGTATAGTGAACTCAGAGAGTGTGCTTGTGTAGTGGATGTAGTGTGTATAGAATGAATGCAGAGTTTGTGTCTTTGCGTAGGGATGTAGCTTGTATATAATAAATGCATAGTGTTTGCGTAGTGAATGTAGTATGTAAAGTGGAGGTAGTGTGTGTATATATATATATATATATATATATATATATATATATATATATATATATATATATATATATATTGAATGCATTGTGTGTGTATAGAATGAATGTATATGTGTGTAGTGGAGGTAGTGTGTGTATATACATTTATATATTTATATTATGAATGCATAGCATGTGTATGTAAAATAGGAGCTGCAGTTAGTGTTGCTTCTAAGTGTGTAGTTGGAGATATTCTGGAGAGTTTTACAGAAGCTTCAACTGTCTAAGAGTTGTGCTAAGAGCTTTCTTTTCTACTGTTACAGGTAAGATTCATCTGTAGGAAAAGGTTACTGATTGCACAAGGTTTGAATTCCTGTTGGTAATTATAAGGCATTTGATTTGATTAAGCTAGTTACTTGCTATTGATTGCTGGTTAATTAGCTATTGTTTGCAAATAAGCAGAGGCCTACCCAGGTGTTAAACATTCCTAGTGGGTGGTGATTTTAGGAGTTATATAAGGCTTGTTGTCATTAGCTTGGCTAATATAGCTTGGTGCTACTTCTAAGTGCTGTTTCTAAGTGTGTAGTTGGAGAGATTCTGGAGAGTGTTGCTTCTAAGTGTGTAGTTGGAGATATTCTGGAGAGTGTTGCTTCTAAGTGTGTAGTTGGAGAGATTCTGGAGAGTGTTGCTTCTAAATGTGTAGTTGGAGATATTCTGGAGAGTGTTGCTTCTAAGTGTGTAGTTGGAGATATTCTGTAGAGTGTTGCTTCTAATTGTGTAGTTGGAGATATTCTGGAAAGTGTTGCTTCTAAGTGTGTAGTTGGAGATATTCTGGAGATAAACTGAAGGTAATCTAAGGTATTCAGGAGGATAAAGTAAAAAGTTAAGATTAGTTTGAGTTAAATTATTTTCCTCATTGGAATGGCAGACTTAGTTCAGTGTAATAGTTGCTATTCATTTGTTTCACGTTCTACTTTTTGGAGATTTGGTTGTTGTCTAATCTGTAGACAGTTCTCTATCTTGCGGCAGGAGAGTATTTTTGAAGTCTGAGATTTGTAAATTATCTGGTGAACAAACTCAGACTGGAACTGCTGCAAAGCCACTGCCGCAGAGACATACTAGGAATTGCAGATGGATTACTGTAGGATCTGGTAGACTAAGAGTTGTGGATAAAAGGCATTTTCCACAGTCTGTTGCTCTACATAATTCATTTTCTGCACTTTCAGAGTGTAATAGTGTGGTGGAGAGAGGCACTGAGGCTAGTGGTGTGGTGGAGAGAGGCACTGAGGCTAGTGGTGTGGTGGAGAGAGGCACTGAGGCTAGTGGTTTTGTGGAGACCGGATTGGAGACTATGGTGAGGCCTAATAGAAAGCAGTTGTTGTTGGGGGATTCGATCATAAGAGGTGTGGAGATGGACAATGGTGGTCTTGTGAGGTGTCTTTCCGGAGCTACTGCTCACAGAGACAGGAGACGTATCTGTAATATTGTTAAGCAAGCAAAGCAGGAAGGGGAATTGGATGTACTTGTCCATCTAGGGACAAATGACTTGGCTTGCAATGAGGTTTCAGAGGTTAAGGAAGTTTTTAGTGTTTTTGCCAATGATATACGGCAGGTTGCTTCCACACTGTCATTCTCTGAAGTTCTGCCTGTGCATAACACTCAGAACGACAGGCGGATGCGTATTAGGGACTTTAATTTGTGGCTTGGTGAATGGTGTCGGGAGCAAGGATTTGGCTTTATTTCTCATGGTAGCTCTGTTTGGAATGGAAATAAGCTGTACAAAAAAGATGGTTTGCATCTTTCTCAAAAGGGAACAAATGTTCTCAGAGGTTTTGCTAGGATGTATTTAAACTAGGGGGGGGGGGAACTTGTGGCAATAATGGCAACTGATAGTGTAGATTTAGTCGCTGTTACTGAGACATGGTATAATGAGAAAAATGACTGGGACATAGCAATACCAGGGTACTCTTTATATAGAAAAGATAGGGAAGGCAAGAAAGCGGGAGGGGTGGCCCTGTATGTGAAGGATAGCATAAAATCTAGCCTAATAAAAGTTAGTGAGACAAACAGAGTCCGTTTGGGTTACGTTAGAATTTGGTAATCACACAGTAACTTTGTAATTCTTTATTTTTGCTGTGCAGGTGGGTACAAGGAATCAACAGACGCCACAACAGCGTATTGCAAGATATACAATGGTTAAACAGTGGCATGAGAGTCTGCACAATTTTATATTTTTAGCAAGCTTGGCTAAACAGTTAAATTGTTAGCGTGAAGTTACATAATCACACAGTAACTTGTGTAGGTGTGATTTATAGGCCCCCAGGACAAATTGAAGAGTTAGATAATCTACTAGTTGAGGAAAAAGCTAAAATGACAATGAAGGGGGAAGTTCTCATCATGGGTGACTTTAATCTTCCTGATGTAAATTGGAAAACAAAATTAGCTACTTGTGCCAGGAGCACACATATTCTAAAACTCACTACTGGTATTGTCTCTAAAACAAGTTGTTGAAGAGCCAACTCGTAAAGAGGCCATACTAGATTTAGTGTTAACAAATGGAGATTTGGTATCAGATATTACTGCAGGTGAAAGTTTAGGATCCAGTGATCATCAGTCAGTGTGGTTTAATATAAGAACAGTGACTGAGTAACACCACACAAAAACAAAAGTTTTAGACTTTAGAAAAACAGACTTTTCTAAAATTAGAATATGGGTAGAGGAGTCATTATCAGACTGGAGCAATTTAAATGGAGTCCAAGAGAAATTGGATTATTTAAAAGTTGCACTATTGAAGGCAACAGAAAATTGAATTGGTTCATGGATTGCGGGATAAAACTTACCAGGAAAGGTTAAAGGATCTTAACATGTATAGCTTGGAGGAAAGACGAGACAGGGGGGATATAATAGAAACATTTAAATATATAAAGGGAATCAACACAGTAAAGGAGGAGACTATATTTAAAAGAAGAAAAACTACCACAACAAGAGGACAGTGTCTTAAATTAGAGGGTCAAAGGTTTAAAAATAATATCAGGAAGTATTATTTTAACTGAGAGGATAGTGGATGCATGGAATAGCCTTCCAGCTGAAGTGGTAGAGGTTAACACAGTAAAGGAGTTTAAGCATGCGTGGGATAGGCATAAGACTATCCTAACTATAAGATAAGGCTAGGGACTAATGAAAGTATTTAGAAAATTGGGCAGACTAGATGGGCCGAATGGTTCTTATCTGCCGTCACATTCTAGGTTTCTATGAGAGCACTTTATTTATTTATTTTAAACACACACCTGTTAAACATTTTATTGCCCCCTCCCTATTTGTTATCTGGACCGCATTCCCTGATGGTCCAGTGGCCAGGCACTGTTCACTGAAGTGGGGGCTCGTAGCACATTCCAGCTTCCCTTCCCAGCAGCTCCTCTGTCTAACGCTCTGGCGGCAGCGGCGCTCGCGAGTGTTAGAGACACAGGAGCTGCTGGTAAGGGAAGCTGGAGTGTGCTGTAGGCCTCCCACTGCAGTGAACAGAACAGCAATGTTAAACACAAATACACATACCTGGCAAGCCATAAGTCTTGCTTTTACCACAGAAATCTCACTTTAACAGTGCTCTCACTACTGCAAGGGATTCTGGGTAGGTGTATGCAAATGAGCTCAACAAAGAACCACATTTTTCCCTAATAGTTCCACTTTATACATGCATTCCTTTGAGTATGTGTCTGCTGCATACAACAGCTTTGAAACACAACTCAGGAAGAGGTGCAATGTTGTATGCAGCAGACACATACTCCAACATGGCATTTACCATCCACTTGTTTCAGGTGGAAGAAGTTTTCATCTACACTTTCCCACCACCAGCACCACTTTATCTCTGGGTGCAGTGTCCCTGTTCCCCCTTAGTCCTACAATGCAGAACAGAGAAACTGTAATGTTTACATTGTAGCACTAAGACAACCTTTAGGTCGCACAACAGACGCTGAGGACATCCAGCATCAGTGAAATCCCCATAGGAAAGCATTGATTCAATGCTTTCCTATAAGGAGTACCTAATGTGCTTGCTGCGTATTAGCTACGACCCAGTCGATGTTGTCTGAAAAAAGAGTCCTGACCCTGTACCAAGGGACATCAGCACTGGAATCGGGTAAGTGGTTAAAAGGTTATTAACACATGCACCTAAAAATGGTTTGACAAAAACTAGTGTGACCACACAAATAGCCTCCTTGCACCATTACAAGCTATAGAGTTTGTGTTTCAGTATTCCTTTAGGTTTCAGTAAATCTAGATCACTTGGGAATAATAAATAACAATGATCGTTGGATTAAGATCCCATCCTCAGATTACACACAGGAGCAAAATAATTTTGTATTTATATTAGAAAGGTTTGAAAATAATGGATGTTTTGATGTATTTTAAACATGTGTTCAAATAAATTGTATAAAAAAAGTGACCAGGACAAAAAAAAAAAATCAATAAATAAAAGGGCATTTTAGTATTCTTTCGTGGCCAAGCCTCCATATATTTCTACATTAGGGCTGACTCAATCAACATGTATACGTAGATTATGGTATTAAAATTATTTCAAACTGCGGGTGCAGGTCCCAGCTCGTTTTAAGAAGCTTCAGGTATAATTCACATAAAAAGGAAGTCATTTGTGGACTCGACAGAATTACAATTCAAATACATCTTCACTTTTCCCACAAAGGAGTGACACAATGAATGCTATTTCCTAAATGTACACCACCCTAAATTAATTGCTTTAAAAATTATAATAAACTACAACATAATGCATAAATACCCATGCATAATACCTTATAGAACATGCACAGCCTGCAAGATAATTGTCAGAGAAATGTACTTATTGAATGCGCGGTGGGGAAGGGAATGTGGATGCTTCCTGTTTGATCCCCTTATAACACCTGAACTGATGGGGTTTAATAAAATCAGCCAAGTAGAATCTTTAGATAGGATAGAACCTTACATATCTTACAGATACCTGAGTGGCAAGGGAAACCATTAATAAGATATTTTCAGGGATTCAAGGTGATCCAGCTGGCCTACAGCAATTTGTATTTGTCACGGCAATCATAACCCAAACATGCAGTGTATGAAACCCAGAAAATAACACATGATAGAAGTGTGTTACTGGTCCTTAGAGGTGGCTGGGCTTCACAAAAGACAGAGTAGTAGAATAACTAGCCACAGTCAAGGGATTCCAGAAAGCAGGTCAATGAGAAAACTAAGCTGGGTAAAGATAACAGAGGTCAAAATGGTCAAAGGGACAACTGGGTCAAAAACGCAATAAAGAACGATATAAACGCGGGGATCACAAAACCACACTAGGGCAAGGAACATGGGTTTTGGCATCTATTTATTGGAATTTGTCATAGTCTCGCCTCCAAAATGCAAGGGGTGTCAAGAATAACGTGGATGTGCATAATTTACATAATGACGGCAGAGCAAGAGCACCCCATCATAATAAGACAGAAAGGCTGTGTTCGGCGTCCGAAACACCAAAAAAGGAGGTGGAGAGAAGGGATTATCTGTGGGACCAAATCAGCACACCATTTGATCGGCTGGAGGTCAGCAAAGCCGCCGGCCTCCTGACAGTATTTCCCCAATGGCTGCAAGTTGCATAAAAGGAGTTTGGGGATTTAACATGCATCCCACAATCCAGGAGAGTGGGTATCCTAGTCAGAAAATATGTAGTCACACATAGAGAATAGGGGTGGCCATTGTGCTTGGGCATCTCTGGTTAGCAGGTGTCTGAGAGACTAAATTAATTCAGAAAAAGATTAAATACTTGGACTCCAGTGAAAAGACATTTAATGTGGGCAAATATTAATTTTTTTAATTTTTTTTTTTAACTAAATGGTGTTATTAAAAACCAGCTGGCAGCAAGTGCCTATTTAAAAAAAATCTACACAATTCCTTCCAGAAAAACACATACAAAACACAATATTAAAATACTTCACAAGAGACACGCACAATCTCTCTCTCTCCTTGAAGTCCAAGTCAGACAAGTCAGAAGAAATCATTCTTTGGAAACCTAAAAACACCACATGCACAGCCGGCAAGTTTCCATTCATTTCATATTTCTGTATCCACGTTTAATTCTTGGAGACAAATATGTTCACATTCACAAAATGAGACCAGAGATATTTTTAAAACGAGACTCCAAAAACCAGAACCATTATAGATTACTGTATCAGTTTGTTACTAGGAAATCACTTGAAGGACCACTATAGGCACCCAGACCACTTCAGCTTAATGAAGTGGTCTGGGTGCCAAGTCCATCTAGGATTAACCCTTTCTGCTGTAAACATAGCAGTTTCACAGAAACTGCTATGTTTACAAATGGGTTAATCCAGCCTCTAGTGGCTGTCTCATTGACAGCCGCTAGAGGCGCTTCTCACTGTGATTTTGTTTAAAAAAAAAAAAAAGAAAAAAAAAATATATATATATATATAAATATATATATATATTTTTGCAGTGTACAGAAAAAAGTTACAAGCAGGCATGAGAAACACTAGGGGCACCATAACAACTTGATTGGAATTAAGTTGTGGTGCTAGGAGGTCCTTTGTGGTGGATCACCAGGACCAGGAAAGCCAGTACCATAGACCAGTGTTTCCCAACCCAGTCCTCAAGGCACACCTACCAGTCCAGGATTTAGGGATTACCCAGTTGTGTCTAAGGTGTTTTTTTTCTTCTTTGTAAAAACACCTTAGACACAACTGGGTAATCCCTAAATCCTGGACTGGTAGGTGTGCCTTGAGGACTGGGTTGGGAAACACTGCCATAGACCTTCTGGCACCATAAGAATTTTGATGAAGTTTTTATGGAAGATCCCATCTTAAAAACACAGCGCGCATCCGCCCCTTTCTTACACAAGATTCTACTAAGGAGCTTGTTCATGCTCTAGTAATTTCCCACATGGATTATTGTAACCCTCTCCTGATTGGTCTTCCCAAAAGCCATATAGCCCCGCTACAGTCTGTAAGGAATGCTGCCGCCAGACTGATTTTCTGCTCTAGTCGGTCCTCTCACACCTCACCCTTCTTTCATTTCTTACATTGGCTTCCTGTATCCTATAGGAGTCAATTCAAAGTGCTAACCCATACCTATAAAGCACTGACCAATTCTAGCCCGTCTCATCTCTTCACCGATCCATAGGTATGCCCCTTCTCAATCTGTCTGCTCTGCCCATGACCTTTTCCTGTCTGCTGCTCGCACCCGTACGGCCAACTCACGCTTGCAGGCCTTCTCTCACAGGCGGCTCCCTTCCTGTGGAATAGCCTACCTACCGCCATCAGACTCTCTTCTAGCCTTTAATCATTAAAGAAGTGCCTTAGAACCCAAATCTTTAGGAAAGCTTATGGCCTCCCAGAGTAACCTCTACCTCACATACCTGTCTCTTGCTCTCTCCTAAAGGGCAGCACTCTCTCACCTCCGGCTTCACTCCCACTTAATTTGATTGCCATCTCCTGTCATATTGTGTTTTACACCCCACCTCCTATAGACTGTAAGCTCGTTTGAGCAGGGTCCTTTTCAACCTTTCGTTCCTGTAAGTTTTCTTGTGCGACGGCTATGCCAACACCTAATTACCCTTCCTGTCTCGTATTTAGGGGGAACTTTTGCTTGAATACCAGTTAACTTATGTTATATTGAAGAAATAAAGAACAAACAAAAACACAAAACAAAACTAATTTAGGACTCTCGCTATACAGCTAATCACTAGTGAAGTATTTTTCTTCAGGTGCAAACCCTACTACAATATGCTGTGCATGCAAGATGACCATCACAATGACCTGTATTGGCTAAGGTGCTTGGAGTGTCCCTTTAATTTATAAGACACACAAATTGAAAATGCAAGACAAATAGAAAACATAAGTCACAGAATAAAGGCAACCCAACACCTTTTGCAAACATTGGTATATGAAATAACATCTTACTCACTGTGAAAAATTGTAGCGTGTAAGACGGTCACGCATGTGAATATGCTCCATAGGGAGCCAGTTGGGTTTATGCAATAATACCGGCAAAGTATTTGGTTATTTTGTTATTTCAAAAACCAATAATACCCTTGTAATGACTCTTTACAGATGGACACATTGCATGCATTGCAGTTGTACATCTCATTCTGCATCACAATGTATTCAATAGAAAGATGCTGAAAACCATGTTAAATGCCACTCAACATGAGGTAGAGCTTTAAAAAAAAAATTCTTTTAAAAAATAATTTTTTAAAGTGCTCATTGTAGTAATCTTATGTATATTTAAATTACAAATAAGAAAATTAAAAAGGTTTTCAGTTGAAAACTAGAAAATAAATAATGTATACATACCTGGAGACACGCTCTTTTAGATGATATATGTCTGGAACATAAAACATTACTCCAAAATAAAGTATCGATTCAACGGCATATTTGTCCAACTGCTTCTTCAGAGATTTGTCAAGTTCCACCCATCTGGCTTGTTGGGCTTTTCCGAGATACCACAGTCCAAAGTAGCTTGTCTAGAAAGAATAAAGCATACAGTAAATGCAAGGAGCACAGCAAACATTCTAAAAGGAACATACATGAACCGAACATTGGAAACAATATATTTATTTATGAAAATGGGGAAGGACAACTGGACGTTTTGTGACATCAGAAGATCTCCCCGACCAACAGTTTATGTGCAAGATCTTTGGAGGACTATACATCTCTCTTTGACACGAGATAGATATAGACAGTACAGACCGATTTAGACCTGACATGGCAGACATCCAGACAGATGCAACACACTATCATAATTATTGATTTACAAACCCTAATTAAATTAACATTTCAGTTTACCTACCAAACATCGGGCACTGTGCTAGAGAAACAACACCCATATCGAATGTGAATAGAATATGCAATATTCTACAGTCATATATCATAGATTGACTCCCCACCTGTCCAGCAGTAATATAAAGTTAGAAATGCTTAAAGCAACATGGATGGTAATAGGTGGATGGTAGTCTGCGAACATTAAAGTGATCGTAATACCTAATGAGACATAATAAAGAAGATGTAGCAATTATTTTAATAGAGTCATGTCGTAAATATCTTCCGTAAGGTCTCCAAGAATCGTCTGAGATTTACTCACTCTGGCTATAGGTAATAAACATCCAGCAATAAGTATAGGATGAAAACATCTTCTATTTAAACATTACTCCCTAGGTAAGTGGATTGATTTTCCCATACAAGGCACTAGTTTACAAACAGTACTACTAGGTAAACGGAGATTATGAAAGGGACACTATAAGCACTAAAACAACTTTAGCTTAATGAAGCAGTTTTGGTATGTACATCATGCCCCTACAGTCTAGTTGCTTAATTATCTTCCATTTAGGGGTTAAATCACTTTGTTTAAACAACTCTAGTCACGCCTCCACTACATGTGACCAACACGGTCTCCCTACATATTTCCTGCAAAGAGAGAGATAAAGTATAAAACATCCTTTATTGCACATTCTGCTCAATTTAGAATTTCTAAATCTTGCTCTATTAATGGTCTTCTAGACCCTACAGGAGTCTGGGTGTGATTAAAGTCCAATTAACTGATCAGGAGATACAAACACTTCTAAGTAAACACACGGTGCCTTAATTTCATGTTGGCTGTATAAGTCACAGCTTCTGCAGGTGTAAAAATAAACAAAAGGGATTTCCCTCCTAAATGGCAGATAATTGAGCAATGAGACTACAGGGGCATGATCTATACACCAAAACTAATTAATTATGCTAAAGTTGTTTTGTTTCGATATCCCTATAAAATAGCTGCAGATCCATGTGGTGAAAAATTCACAATATAAAAAAAAAAAAAAAAAGATATATAAGTTTGTTCCTTGAGGATAACAAATTCACATCATGAACCCATAAATGTAGTCTGCATGCATGATAATAGCAAAGTAATGTTTGCTTCATGTTGCGGAAGCCATACCATGAACAATTCAAACTATTTTGGAGACAGAGGACCATCAGACAGATATAGCAAATTAGGAAGCCAGAATTACATATGCATGACAAATTTCATAAAACAAACAAAAAAACCAATTAGAATGTACATTTTCCCTAGATCCCCATCCACGGTGTCTTTTTATAGATTTCTTTTTCGCTTTTGGATACTACGTTTCTGTAAGAATTCGTTCTTCGCTACAATGAACTCCACAAGACCATTTCCTGTGGTGCCACGTGACAATCCCTAGCTTTTCATGGGATTTACGTCTGTCAAGCAAGACTGTGACCTTTAAATACTTTATATACATTGCTTGCATGTGTTTGTAACTTCCACTGATGCTTCAGTCGTTAGTGTGTCCTCTTTCTTTTTATTCTCACTTTATCATATAATAAGGAGGCCACACAAAATAATTACTTGCTTTTTAACAAAAAAAGAAAAAAAAGAAAAAGAAAAGTACTTTCTAATTTACAATACTTTTAACATTTCTTTGTGTTTACTCCAATATTAAACAGTCTTGTTTTTATATAAAAACCTCTTACTCTGCGGATAAACAATTTTATTCCAAAGCAGATGGTCTAAAAACAGTTGTACAGAATGATGGAAGAGGAGATGAGGTGTCAGAGAAAGAGAAGGGAAGAGGATGATGAGACATGGACCGGGTTCTCGTAATAAAATATAAAAGTATTATGTACTTCGTTACCATTAAAGCTGTTCTAGCAAAGCCCACATTGCAGGGAGCATTATATTTGCCAGCAGCAAGGACAGGAATGTAAACTCTGTCAAATGTGTTGTCTAACATTTCTAAGTAGTTCTTGTTCCAAATTAAAAACAAGCAGTGCGGTGGTTACACTTTTTATTTTTGAAACTATTTCACATTGGGAACATGCATGATAAATGGTAGGATCAACAGGCAAAAGGGAACACATGACTGGTGCATTGTCGCCATATGCGCAGGAGATGCTGTATACTACCTTATACCGACCCACCCTTAATAAAACACTGACACTCTTAGGTATGGGTCCATATGTCCACAGATTTAATTTTATTATAGTCATAATAACAACATATGAATAACTTTTTAAAGTTATTGCCCCACCCCCAAAGCCTCAGCCATCTAACATTATCACTTCCCAACATATCAAATTACAAGGCAATGACCCATGATATAACATAGTATAGCAACCAGGTAAATTTAACAAAACAAGAGCCAACATTTTCCCCACACGATCCTGGCAGGGGTATACATTGATACCCCTACACCACCCGAGTACTGAGCTACCAACGACCTTGAAACCCACCAACATGTTACCAACAGGTAACCAACCATATTAACCAGCCAACTAACTACTCTAGCTCTTCTCTTACCAAAGCAGACCATTACCCCCTTAACCTTCCTTTTACCAGGCTGGTAAGTCAAATTAGTAATGGGGATTTCTCAAAATGAACGACACTTATATCAGCCCAACCACTACTCAATCACCATCAGGCTCCCCCTAAGCCCGCCTCCAAGCCCTGTCAAGGTCCCCTCTGCTAAGCTGCGCTTTTCTCCGTGGGGCTACAAACGGAGACGGGGATGTATTATTTATAAATATATTCTATAGATCTTAACGGATTGCTCCTCAAGTAGGCGCTGTGTTTGGCAAGGTTAGATTTAAAGAAATAGTTCTGTAACAGATTGCAAGAAATGAAAAATATCAACCACCAGATTCATTGGATTCCATAGCGATTGATTTACTTTGAGATTTTTGCATTAAAAACTCAACATGCACCAATGGCCCAGCAGTGGGTAATCTATTTGGTGAATAGGCACAGCTTAATTATCGTAAATTTTCTTGCACATAGATACCTACTCTTGTGCTGTTGATCTATACTCCTTGGTATATGCTTTGGGTTTTTAAAACCGGGGCAGTCTACTGAGATCATTGGGACAAAATTCCATTGACGGAGGATCCTACATCTCTGAATGTCAACAACCAACCTTCTTCCTGTACAACATCATCTTCTATCACACCTTGGCAGTCAATGGCACCGCTGCAACTTTGGCAAGTTTCTACAAACCTCCACTGGTGAAGCTTTGGTCATGTTTTGTCACATAAGTAGATGTTCCATCCATTCTGCAACACCCATGTTGTTCAGGAACCTTGATTAGGTTTATTAGGAACTTTGATTGTAGTAATTGCTTGTTTTTTAAAGCTCTTTGGAAGTACTATTTCATCAATTCAATCTTCTACCCTTTCCCCAATTATGTATTAAAAACCTGATTTGCCTTTTTGCGTCAGGTTTTTCTGGCACTCTTTGCGTATGCAAGTGTTGCACAGTTTTTCCACCTAGCACTATAGAAAGCCTATAAAATTATTGTTCAAAACTCACTAACATTTTGACAAAATGCCTATCAATCGAGAGCGAGATTGCAAACTGCATTTGGAAGAAGTCAGCTGATCGTTGGCCGAAATAGTCAGCTGACATGCTTTGCCAATTAATGTCATGCAAATTTGGGCAAAATTTACATTGCTAATACAGAAGTTTTTGTGCCACATTAGCAATGCCGCAAGCTGGGTCCATGTGCTCCTGTGTCAAACTGCTCAAAAACAATGAGACACAGAATGTACAGTCAGTTTCCTATAACCATAGCCACTACAATGAGCTGCAGTGGTTATGGTACTTAGAATGTCTCTTTAATAAAGGTTTTTCTAGGTCTTATAAGGGGAGGCTTCCTATAAAACAATCTTCCAATTATTAGTTTTACAATTGCAGCATAAACTGCGTATTGTCACAAACAGAAAAAACAGCACATTTCACAGATGTGTAGGCACAGCTCTCTACATGACCTCTCATTCTTTAGTGTGTGGGCACAGAAGGGTTGTATGTTGCAATCTAAAACCTGCTGTGTTCTCCCAAGTTATGGCAGCACAGTCATATGTTAACATACATATTTCAAAGTAGCCAAGTCTGGAACCTCAAATAACCTTTATTTGAAAGCAGTACCATCTTCGAATTGTAGAAAGTATAAAATGTCTCAATATAGTCTCAGTTCCTATCTGCCCGCCTGCCCAAACGAGGCCCTCAAGTGGTCTAAGACACAACAAAACAAAAACAAGCATCTTTAGAGGAGGTAGTTCAAGTAACACTTTATATTAAAGGACCACTATAGTCACCCAGACCACTTCAGCTCAAGGAAGTGGTCTGGGTGCCAGGTCAGAGAAACTGCTATGTTTAAATAGCAGGGTTAATCCAGTCTCTAGTGGCTGTCTTCCTGCGCTAGAGACGCATTGAGCACGCAGAACGTCCATAGGAAAGCATTGAGTAATGCTTTCCTATGGGCGGTTTGAAAGCGTACTCGGCTCTGGCCGCGCACGCGCATTCGGCACCACTCAGGAGCCGACGTCAGATGGGGAGGAGAGGTCACCAGCGCCGAGGGAGCCTGGTGCTGGATTTAAGGTAAGTGGCTGAAGGTTTTTTAACCCCTTCAGCCCAGCGGGACGGGGGCCCTGAGGGTGGGGAACCTAAGGACTATGTAGTGCCAGGAAAACAAGTTTGTTTGTCCTTTAACTATGTACAAGAAAATAAAAATACAATTTTATTTTCTGCTTGCTGAATATATATATACAAACCACACTTTTTACCAAAAGCACATATACTAGGTTGGGAACTATAGCGCTCACCATCCAACTGTTGGAGCTAGACATTGTCATCCTAAGGAAGAAGAAAAAAAATGAAGACTATTCTAACCAATTTAAAAATGGATGAGATCTCCCTTGGTAAAGAATTATGGCTTAGGGTAAAGTTGGATTGGAGAATTCCATCTTCCAAGAGATCTTGGAACATTGCCCCAGTGATTGCTGATGATCATTATAGAAATTGGCAAAAGTAACTACTGAGATACACTGGCTTACAAAACAAATAGTTCACAGATGTGGCATACTGAGGCATACTAATTTCTAAGTAAATTTCAACTTACACGGCTGAGACACTCCTGGCCAATACTGGTTCTACTAATGACATCAGTGGAAGCAAAGTAGTATTCCAAAAAGTTTTTACCACATGGTAACAGCAGGTTAAAGGGACAATATAGTCACCAGAACAACTTTACCTTAATGAATCAGATTGTGTGTATAGATCAAGCATTTGATGTTTCACTACTCAATTCTCTGCCATTTAGGAGTTGAATCACTTTATTTCTGTTTGTGCAGCCCTAAACATAATTTGCAATACAAGGAAGTTTAAATATTAGATATCTCTTTACGGAAGAGTTTAGAAAGGCTGTGTAAGTCACAAGCTGGGAGGTGTGACTGGGGCTGCACAAAAAGTGATTTAACTTCTAAATGGCAGAGAATTGAGCAGCCAGACTTGATCTAAATACCAAAACGGCTTAATTAAGCAAATTTTTGTTGGCCTGATGAAAGTTCAAGCTGGTCGACACTGCTCTTTTTAACACTTTGAAAAATGGAATAAAATGAAGATTTGTATAAAAAGTCCTTGAGTGCTGATATCACAATTCATTGTATTTGTATGACTGGGTCACAACATCTAGCACCTGGCAACAATGATAAATATAGCCTGAGTGCAGGGTAAATGAGAAGCACATACTCAAGTGAACAGAAGCAGGTCCATGGACACGAGGATAAACCTGTGGGAGAACTTTACTTCCCAGAAGCCAAAAGTCTATTTCCTAGTTTGTCTCTCACTTCCTATTATATAAGAGGCAGGAGAAGGGGAGGTGCTATATCTGCAGTCAAAATGCAATCTCAAAAAGCCAAGCATCAGGCATTAAAAAACAAAAAATAAAAATAAATAAAATTTAAAAAAAATAAAAAGTAGTAGATTCTGTTGCACAATGTTCCATGAGGTGCATCCTTGCAATTTGCATGTTATAATAATAGATTAACGGTTTTCTACATTTGGAGTGGACTGGGAAAATTTTTGGTCAAAGGACACAATTTCACTTTAGGAAAGGTTTTTTTTTTTTGTTTGTTTTTTATCTGCAATAAAAAACAGTTTGTGTTTTGTTTTTACCGGCTAGACTTAAAAATCAGATCAAGTAATAAGTATTCATTTTGAAATGCTTTGGAAGGCTCAGAAAGACACTGTATGTTCTAGATGCCAGGGGCAGCTGCTGTTTGATAGAATAATCCATAAATGTCAATTTTCTGCTCCCTCATATGCATAATAATACAGGTCTAATAACATGCAACAACAAGAATGGCCAGAATAAAAATAAATAAAATCAGCTCCAAGAACCGTACAGGTCACCATGTGCTTCAAGTACAAAAATAATTTACATAAATGTCTCATGAGACTATTAATTTTATAAAAAGAAAGATACATAAAATGTGACCGGTCCACGGTTTTACTAGCTTAACATATATGAAGGGCAAAAAAAAAAAGTCTCTTTACCTCTCGTAACTCCAGTCTTTGAGCAGTAGCCTCCAGACACTGTAACCCAGTGCTATCCATTGCTTGCGTTAGCTCAATCTTGTTGTCATCCAACAGATGGATTCGAACGACAAAGCAGTTCTTGCTCAATACATTGTAGCGTTTGGTCCTCCTTAGTTTCAGCTTAAAAGGCATGGCTGATGGGCTTCTCCAAAAATCCAACCTTAAGCAGTAAACAAATTCTTTATTTTCGCTTTGAACCTCACCTCACAAACTATTGTTGACCTCCAAGAGTCAGGAGAGTTGTCCATACCCAGTGCAGTCTGAGCGTGCTCTGTGTAACCTACAAACCAAGAGAAAGCAAAAACTGTAAATGATGATATTGAAACCAAAATATATCCCAGATGGATCGAATTCACGATAAATTAGGAGCTTGACTATAAGATGTGGATGTTGGCAATACAACTAGTACACACAATTAGCATCCTTAAAACATCAAAGGAAAAAGAAAACAAAAATATGTAATGGGACTTTGATTCCACAGTGTTCAGATCTGAATGAAAAATATATATAATACACAATATAATTGTGTCAGTTGTGACAATAGATACACAGCTAACTGAAAACGATTCAGTTTAAAATCTACCCATCACGTTACTATGGTGATTAAAATAAAGCCTTTAATATCAGTATTCTAATCAGAACAAAAAACATTTTAGCTAGTCTGTGAATACGACAGACTAGTTATTTTTAGCAGTATTCATACCAGAACAGTGTTCCCACACATTAAAGATACATTAACAAATAATCTGCTTTTGCAGAAGGGTGTAGCCAAGTTTCCACTTAAAGGAATAGTAAATTCTAGGATTACTTGAGTTATTGGAATCTGAGGTTTGAGGCTGCCAGTACTGCAAATACACATAACTTTCATTAAACATGTAACTGTTTATTTTCCTTCACAGTATAGAAGGCCATCTAGGCCAAGCATGTCAAACTCAAAGTCTAGCACGGGCCACATAAACAATGTTTAAGTTTATGTGGGCCGCAAAAAAATACCTTAAATTTTCATAGAAACTTAGGTTTATTTTAAAAAGTACAGTATATAAAAAAAAAACAAAAAAAAACATCCCCCTCTACTAAACCACAGCACCCCCCTCTACCACCCTATGCCAAATCTGATCCTCTCGCTACTTCTTGAAACCCTGTGAAGGTGGAGCATGTCGATGTCATGTGGCGTTGCGTGCCTCCATGCACCTCTAGGTACTCCACTGTCCAGTCGCAGCCAATGCAACACTGACCAACACACACAGACTCACTGACCAACACACACACTGACAGACATCATTCTCTTTATTGCTCCCTACCTTTGGGAGCTGATGTGGGACCTCTCCCTGGGGTCCAGTGGGGATCTTCTATCTTCTCCTCACTGGTCCCTCGCGCGCGCCATCTCTAGTGATGCCAGGTGCTGGAATATTATGTAGTAGAGCCGGGCGCTAGAATATGACGTCATATTCCGGCACCACTACAGAGGGAGCAGTGAGAAGCAAGAACACTGAGCTCCCTTGCTGGCCCTCCTCCCTGGCCGGGTAAGTTTTAACAGAGTAGGAACCTGCACTGTGGGGAAAGCAGAAGCCTACTCTGCTATAACACCATCATGACCTCGCAGGGCCACAAAGATGCCCATTGTGGGCCGTATGCGGCCCACGAGTTTGACGTGCTTGATCTAGGCTGATCGTAGGATGTAAGTTCTGCACTATGCAGGCAGGCTTCCTTTACATCTTTTGAGTGGAGCTAACCCTAGTGTTAGTAATGACCGCTATAAGATATAGGGTTAGCAATGCTTTGCATATACAGGGTAGGACAATATTCAGAGTAGGATTTGACAGGTAAATAACATGTTAGTAGTTGAAACCTTTTTGTTGTGTTGCAGATATTTATTACACCTGAGTGGTGGGAGACTCATCGTGGGTAATTTCACGAAGGAACGACAAGTATTGAAAGTTTATTTTCAAAATGGCAGGTCCATTATTTTTACGCGAAGAAAAAGTCATCCTGGTATATGGTTTCAGCAGGATGGTGCTACTGTACATACAGCCAGTGCCACGATCCACATCCTGAGACAACTGTTTGGATCATTTTAAGAAATTCCCAGGTTACTTGACTGCCACCTTTCAGCTCCGGATTACTTCCTGTGGTGATATCTGAAGCAGCAGGTGTACGTAAACAAACCGCGTACACTTAAGCAGCTCAAGGAGAATATTTGTGCAGAGATGCTAGCATTGGAGCCTCAAACATTAACTAATGCTATGAACAATGCAATCGAAAGAGCCAGACTTGGGAGACAGCAAATGGTACTTATTTAAAAGATATTTTCCATACCTAGTCAAACAAATCTCCATATGTTAAGCATTCACTTTTTGTAATATCATTGAAAATTATTCATTAATAAAATTAAAATAAGTTATGGACTCCTCAAATCATACTCTTTATTTTGGCCCACCCTAAATAAATAAAAATTGAATTTCTTAACATTTAGCAATTTGCATCCAAAATAGCACTTGTTTTGTTTTGATAGTTTGTCTCAAGATCTTAAAAGCTACATCATCAATACTAATAGGGATTGTAACCCCTCTAGCTACCCACTTACTAGATTATCTAGGGCATACCCATTTCCTCCATCCCTTCTCCCCTATACCCATGTGAATGATGATAAACCTTGGCACCAGGGCCGGATTAACATAGGGGCTGATGGAGCTGTAGCTCCAGGCCCATTGATTTAATAAAAAAATTTTTTATTTTTTTAAAACACTACTCTTCACATACTCTTGCTTAAGTATGGAAACTTACGAGGGATTGTAGTGGAGCTCCCTGTACCTCAGCCAAGGATTGCTTCCTAGCTATAACTGGGAAAACATCAGCGCTTCTGCACCAGTCGGTGTGGCTTGATTGGTGTCCTCCTGGAGCCTCCCCGCCCTGGAACAGGATAGAGTACTAGCTCTAGTTCCTCTCAGGGACTAGACAACACACACAGTCCTGGGAGCTGTAGTCCTTAAAAGACTTTCCCCACTAAATCCTCCACGAGCTGGAACCAGGTGCTGAACAGTGACTAGACCCTTTCCCCTCCCAGTAACTGGACGACACACCGTTCTGGGAGTACAACGGATTTTAATGTACCAAGCATGGCCTTTTATACACAGACCCCCAGCATGGGGTCTCCTTTGAAAATTATACAGGCGCCTCCCAGGCGTCCCACTGTCGGAGAGATAATGGAGTCAAAAAGGACTAGAAACTCAATTATCTCTCATTACAGGAAACCATACAAAAAAATATTTTTAAAAAAAAAAAACACACCCCAAAAACCCCACACATTAATCCCACAAATTATACATTCCAAAGTAGCTCTGATCGGAGCACCCAAGTTGTCCAAATAGTGCTCAGATCAATGCAGTGCAGGGGAAACGCCACTGTGTCAAAGTTCTGCCTAGACGCACACGTGGTCCTATGACCAAAAACAGTTCCAGGGCGAGGTGTGCTTTTGCCTGTCATCTTCGAACCACAAAGTCCTAATGCCGAAATTAGTTCCAGAGCGGTCACGGCTAAGTACCGCAGAGGTCCATTCGTGGGTTTGGTTCATGCGAATGGCCACCAGGGAGCCAGCGTTCAGTTCCATTTGAAAGAGCCAAGGGCGGCTGAGCAGGATAACTCCCGAACGGGGTTTCAAACTTGGACCATAGTCAGTGAGCAAGAGGCCAGCTTCCACACTCCTCCAGGAGTTCCTGGCAAACGTTCGTGGGAAGGAGCGTTTGTCACAGTGGGTTTGGTTCATGGGAACGGCCGCCAGCATTCGGTTCCATTCGAAAGAAGGAAAAGTGCCGAACCAGGGGCATTGAGGGAAAGCAACTAAGAGCGGCTGGGTGGGAAAGCTCCCAAACGGGGTTTCAGACTTTGACCATATTCAGTGGGCAGGAGGAGAGCTTCCACACTACTCCAGTAGTTCGTGGCAACCATTCATGGGAAGGAGCGTTTAACACAGGTATTTATGGGAACAAAACTTGTGTGGACTGGCTGATGATGAAATTAGTTAAGGTAAGGCGGACTTTTGGTCCTCTTTCTTCTACACTCACTACATACACTTTTTCTCTGTCCCAGGAGTGGACATGTGAGTGCCAGGGGACAGTCCTTAGAAAGCATGGAGCGCGCGCATAATTAGACGCATTTATGCCAAGCTCAGTGTGCTTTCTGTATAGTGTGCCCTTAGTTGGCCAGCCTGCATGATGGGCAGGCTGCCTGACATGCATTCATGCCAGGTTGGCCTTCCAATTCTTTAGGCAGACATGCCCCCTTTTTGGGCATGTTCACCCCTTTTGGGGCTTCTGTTTATGGGAGTCGTGTCAGTGGCACACCCTTTTACCCTGACCATTGACTTACTGCTTCACTGGACACTGCTGTTAGTGGGTATGAATTACTTGAAACACGAAATAATAAATTAGAGAGATTAGCATAGGATACCGTATATACTCAAGTATAAGTCGAGTTTTTCAGCACATTTTTTGTGCTGAAAAAGCCCCACTCGACTTATACTTGAGTCACTGTCTGTATTATGGCAACTTACATTGCCATAATACAGACCAGGGCCGCTGGGCTCATTACAAGCCCGGTGGTCCTGTTGGGGGCCGGCAGGAAGCATTTACTTACCTTTCCTTCAGCTCCATGCAGCTCCCAGTACAAGTCTCACGAGACCCATGGCACCCCAAGCAAAAAAAATATTAAACAATAAACTAATAATAAAAAGAAATATTAAAATTTTAAAAAAAAATTTAAAAAAAATGCCCTTCCCCCACCCAGTTCTCACACACACACACACTCTGCATTATATACACACACACAGAGTGTGCGTGTGTATATAATGCAGAGTGTGTATTTGCATGAGTGTGTGTGTGTGTGTGTATATAATGCAGAGTGTGCGTTTGTATGAGATATATATATATATATATATATATATATATATATATATATATATATATATATATATTATATAATGCAGAGTGTATGTTTGTATGAGTGTGTGTGTGTATAGAATTATAAAAATCACAGAATATCATAGCCCCAAGTTTTACCCTCGACTTATCCACGAGGCATAGCATATTTCACAATTGTTGGTCACAAAACTGCACCCGACTTATACACCAGTATATACGGTATGTGTTTTCTCATGGGTGCACCCTATGAGTTTCCCTCCAGCACCACCTCCACCAGACACGACACTTGGGAGGTATGATTGTTTTGGGTCGATAAGATTCTTTAATTAAGCCCATCACAAAATGTCAGCACCAGGCCCACTGGGCTCTTAATTCGGCTCTGCTTAGCACTGCAAATTTTGAGGGCAGCGTTTTAGAGAACAGAATACTTATAGACTGGCTGAGGATCAAGAGTAACAGTCCACAAATCCAAAAGTGAAAATATTTTGCGCTTCCTTTCCTATATTCTCAGTTAATAGTTTTCCTTGACTCTGTATTTTGAAAACTCAATATAGAAACTATTCACACAGGTTCTAAGTATACCTATTTATAGTGAAAGTAATGACAAAACTCACATCTGTGGACATTAAAGAGTTACTTCAATCACCATGGCCACTTCAGTGTTTTGAAGAGGTCATGGTGGTAAGAGTCAGAATGTGCAACGTTTCTGCTTGAAATATTGAAGGTCCAGAGATATTTGCATTTGTTTGCTGGGAGCTTGTTGCACACCGGCACACGTGACTTTGGCAGCCCAGAGGGCCAAATGTCAATTCTATGCAAAAACTTATGTCCGCCGTTTGTGCACGCTTAAGACGGGCAACAGATGTAATTAGCTTCTCTCTGGCATGCAAAGCATGATGTCCCCTCGCTCCTTGCGTTAAGTCCTCTTGCTGCCCAATTGCTATTTTTTTTTTATCCCTCCCTGACTCAAAAGCTGTCCAATCACTAATTTCTCTATGTGGAAAAGAGCAGCAAAGCGGCCCAATCACAGGCTTCTCTCTGAGAATCTGTGTTTGGATCACGCAAGGGTAAGGATGATATGAGATGGAGGAGTGGAGCTTTGCAAAACAATGACAGATTTGCAAGAATTAAAGACAATTAAAAAAAAAAAATTACAAAAATAAAAATAAGCCTCAGAACTTATATATAGATTTGTTCCTATTAATCTATTAAAATAATAATAGGAAAAAAAAAAATCTATACTTTATTTTCCAGTGAAACCAAGCACAAGATCTTATCCAAATGAAATTAAATCTTAGAATCCATTTCAAAGCAGGAATACTCCCTCACTGAAATATTTCACATACACGGGCCTTTCGGTCTGTGGAGCTACTTTAGACAAACACATACTTGTGCTATCCACAGCGTGGGCTGGGAAGGAGTCTTGGCTGACTTACCCTAATACTTAGAAGTAAGATTTATGAGACTGTTGAGAAGGGAGCTGCTTTGAAGTCACTCAACCTTCTAAGATTGCTTCTGCAGAACAAGGGAGCCTTAAAAACACTTACTTTGATTTCACAAAATGTGTTTTTGTCTCCCCACTTTCTTTTTTATCCTTTTCGTAAAATGCCAGGGTTTATCATGATATGGGATGGTGGGAGAAAGTATCAGAAAACAGAATGGTTACAATTTCAAAGCATTTTCTCCTTACACATTATAAATGACCTTTTGAGAAAAAAAAAACCATTTATTAATTTTTTTGCAAGTTAAATAACCATTATGTTCTACTAGAAGAAGAAGGAAAAAAAATGGTGTTTCTATGGCTCCTCTTCACATTGCGTTTTGAAATCAATATGAGTTTTTAGACATAAGAAGTCATGATAAAAATAAATAAAACATTTCAGTGGTATGTACCTTGTAAGACCAAATACAAAATTGGAGCAAGGATTAACGGAATAAATAAATAAAAAATAAATAGACCAGTTAGGCTGTGCTGTTGATAGCCCAATTAGCCATATATAGTTTCCAACCCAGTAGAAAACTGCAAATTACATAGATTCTGTTGGGGTGATGCGGTTATTATATGCTCCCTAAGGCATTCTTCTAACCCCTTCCCTTCAACTAAAGCTAAAAAACGTGATATACCGGTACATTGATTAAAGGAAAATGTTTCACAGTTAATTATTGTATCAAGTATAATTAAGAAATGACAATGGCAATATAAGTTGATTTAAAATAATGTTTCATCATTTTTAAAGTGACCACTCCAATAAATAAATAAAAGACAGACAGCTAAGTTAGAAGAGGAATCATTAATGTTTAGAGAAGGTTTCTAAACAGGAGCGAGCATAAATACAAAAGGTAATAAATGCCTCTTCCGAACAGGGAAACAATAGGATTAAGGAGTAACATTGAGTCAGAAAGGTAAAATCACATGGTACGTGCGCTAGGGTGGTGTAATCTGCCACATACTGTTCATTCATTCGTAGAGTCTTGTATTCTAAGGGCACCTGGGAGCACAGCTTTATTTAACCCATTTAGAACCAAAGACCACAGCAATCTGTATTCTTGGATAACACACACAGGCATGGAATGTCCTAGCAGAGATGTATAAAGATATGAACAGGAAAGAAAAAAAAAAAAAAAAGATTCCATTTTGACAAAAGAACTCGGAGAACAATATTGGAGGGATTGATGGATGGATGTACAGGCAGATAGAGGATATGGACAATCATTGGTCCTTCAGAGTTTATCCATTTCCATTTCCTGTAACTTATCTTCCCCTTAGAGATAACTGTCTGGAAGAGTAACTCTGTTCAGTCTATAAAAGAAATGGTAGGCGCTCACTATAGTACTTGAAAGTACAAAAGTAAATAAGATATGCAGGCAGCAGTAAACAATCCAAGGATTCCCAGACCTTGTGAATAAAAAAAAAGAAAATAAAAAAAGTGTAAACCGTGCCCGCTGTACATGTACAGAATGTTATACGTAAAAAGGTCTATAGATAATTATACACAGTTGACCTCAAAATGAGAAGAAAAGACAAAATAATGGTGCTGAAGAGTATAAATATATATAAGTGATAGGCTTGTAATCTCATAACTGCCACTCACATTTTATTGAGCTAATTTAGAGCTCTGCTGTTCTGTGCATGGACGGAATAATCCCCGTCTGAGGATATATAGTGAAGCAGTCGCCACAGATGTTTCAAATAAGGTGCAGTGTATATGTGGATGTATACTGTATAATACAGGAATAAAAACTCCAATGGTGAAGTAAATACTGATTGAAAAATCTAATTAAAATAAGGTAATGTACCTACATTTACCAGAGCAGAACTTGCACTAGTGTAAACAGCGAGGGTGGTATAATCCAGTTACATCCCCTGATAGCTCCGATCTGGTTGACCAACATATCCAAAAATCACCCAGATCGATTCAGAGGTTTGGAATTTTCATGGAAGTCATAATTTTGACCGACCGTGCACATGGTCCTATGCCCAAAACAGTTCCATTAAAATTAATGCGAACGGTCGGTCAAGTTTGGTAGTCTTACAGGATTCCCTGCAGGGCCCATAGTCTGTAGGCAGGAGGCTGGCAAGCAGGCTCCTCCAGGAGCTTGTGGCAAACTCACATGGGAAGGGGAGTTGGTCACACGGGGCATAAATCGAAGCACAGGCATAGGCCTGGTAAGCTAATAAGTACTTTCTCTGTGGACAAAGTAGATATCCCTAATGATCAGAATTGCTATACCTGCTTATTTGGATGCAGCATTATTGAAAAAGAACTATCAGGTACCTATAGTTAAGCAGAAGCAGATGTAACCTTTCTTTAAAAGGAGTCTCATGTACGAATGCAACAGAGACTCGCACCACCCATAGATCTCTTAGGTTGGTCCTTCGCTCCAGGATATTTAAGCCTTTAGCATTTTATGAAAAGAAGGTTAGGTGCTTTGGTGTATAAGAGCTTGAGGCACCAGCATGAGGATTGTAAGAGGAAAGAAGGGGGGGAAGGGAGAGAAGTAAAGAGGTTTAGGAGAGACTAAAATTTAAAAAAAAATGTAGTGTAAAATAAATAAAGAGCAGTCATAAAACCCTCCCAAACACCTCTATACCGAAAAAGCAGAGTTCTAATAGGGTAAGAGACTCCATTAGTGAAAACCAACTCCCTCCACCAGAGGTAGGAGGTGGTCCCCAACAAGGGAGGGCCCTGAAATATACAAGCCATGTACCTGTGGTCAACTCCCACCCAAGGTTTCTGAGGTTGGAAAAAGAATAGTCAAAATATCCTCGATTAACACTCCCCTCCACCCACTGCCAACACTAAATGAGTATTTAAAAAGGGGATACTGAAAAGTGGTGTAACCCAACCGGTCATGTGCTGATAAGATTTTTGCTATATATGCCCCCCCCCAACCCAACCCATATACACATACACTTCCCCTCCCCCTGATTTGTATGATGTAGAAGTATTAAGTCCTCCCCACTCTCCCTTCTACAACCCTCCTCACCCTTTTAACTCAGAGAGCACCAAGCCCTCACCTTCATCCATCCCTGCCAATCCATAGATGTCCCTAATTTTGACACTAATATTCTTAGAATCTTCCCAATTACAATTTATACTTTGCTCCAAACTATTTTAAAAACTACAGAAAAGTGGCAAACAGGACTTAAACGTTTTAACCATCTTAGAATGTTTCACTGTACATTGTAGTCTATATTTGTACATGTAAACACACACACACAGGCCATGACATATAATCTCTCTCTGCAGGTGAAACATCTGTTGCTTTGAAATGTAACCAAAGTCCTTAGAAAGCATTTTACACAGGATTTAGATGGATTTATACTCAAAGAATAGAGTCTTTCATGACAGTAGGGAAACTAAAGATTTCACCTTTGAGTTGGTTCATAATTTGCAGAAGAAGATTACCCTATTCAGCTATCCAGAACAAGTAAATATTTTGCTAGTGTGTCTCAAATATTTCTACCACACCAGTTGTGGAATGTTTTACATGTCACAGTATGGCTCTTGATTGCTCGGCTTCATCCATTACCCTTTTAAAAGGGATTTAAATAGTAACATACAAAGCATACCTGAAGTAATATAGTACATTTAATATGTGTATTAATTTCCTAGAATTGAGAATTTTTTGAACAGTGATGTAGGGGCACAGCCATGCCCTCTTACTGGAGGTAACAGATGTGGGATACAATTTTTGTATTGCATTAGTTTTTTAATTTGGTATCGAATGCATTAAAAAAAAGAAAAGAAAAAAAAAAGTCATTTCTATCCATCGCTTGCTTTGAAATCAGTAAGACTCTTTGTATACTGAATAGGCAGATCATTTGCCTTTACACATTGACAAGTAGTAATTCTAAAATGGTGATCATGTGGAATCCCAGAAGATCCACGGTCATCCTGGAATGACCCAGTGAAATTGGTTATCTGAGACCATGGCCAGTTAATAATTCATTTGTATGATCTTTTGTGTCCTAAAAAGGAGGAACTGCAACATTTTTGTATGTGACAGTTCCTTTTTATTTGATTCAATCAATCATACACAAAAGGTGTCCACTCCCTCCCAAAGGTACATTATTTGGAACAGATACCAATTACAAATAAGCTAATGTAAAAATGACTCACTTTTTTTTTGCCCCTGTAATAATTGTCAGACTATTTTATGGAGATTCACCAATAAGTGAGGGTGTAAATTAAAGCCTATGAAAAATATTTAAAAAAAATATAAAAATAAAAAGGAGCATCCTTTAAACTAATTTCTGCATAAAGCACAACAAGGCACTTGATGCAAATCACCTATGCTCTTTAAGAATCAGGTCATGCTTGCAATGATATACATGGACAAGAGATAGCTCTTACTGTGGAGAGCGCTCTGCATGAGGACATCCAGTGTCAGATTTTTTTCCTAATGCTTTCCTATGGAAAGGTCTAATGTGCGCACTGCATTTGCACTTTGTATTCATGGCACTTATAGTATCCCTTTAAATCTTGCATTACAGAGAGCCCCTGATGGCTAAAATTGCCATGTAAGTGGGTTAATCTTATAATAGCAGTCAGTATGTTGTTAGAATAGGATATGCCAAAATTGAGTAAATTGCCATTGTGGCAGACTTGTACAGTTTATTTATTTATAAAATATTTTACCAGGAAAGATACATTGAGATTTCTCTCATTTTCAAGTATAATCATATACTGTAACTTAATTCCTATTTTGCCTTGCATGTATGCTTTGTTGTTATTGTTGTTTTTTAACTTAGTTTAGTGGTCTTTGAAATCGTTACGAAGAGCAATGCCTAATTTTTTCTATGTAAATGTATAGTAACAGTTAAAGGGACACTCCACTGCCCAAAACTCAAAATATATATATTTTTTAAATCACTGTTTATTAGATATATCCCAATTGAAAACTTGCATGCATTAAATTGTGTATTTTTTACATTGGGGATATATTTAAAATAAGCTTGCAAACCAAACCCTCTCCTTCTAACCCCGCCCAGACTTTCTGTGGCTGTCCAATCACAGACTTCCGAATACAGTCTTTGAAAGTCAGGTGTTTTGGGCAATTGCTGCCTCTTGAGGTCAGCTGCATTGAGAAAATGAAACCAGGAAGTAACAGGACTGATTGTCTGCTTGAAAACCAGGGGGTATAACCAGATGAATTTATTTATAAAAAAAAAAAAATGAAATTACTTTAATTACTTTTAGCAAAAAAACAAAAACAAAAAACAGAACACACTTCACACAAACCTTTTCAGCGAAGTAAAGTTGTTTAGGAGTCTGAAGTGACCCTTTAAAAAAAAATTTAAATAAAATTAACATTCTGCCCCTACATGGCAAAGGCTAAGACAAGGGTGGTTTAGGGACGGATATTGTTATAATATGTAAAAGGGAAGTAAAGAGATCGGACCAAAACCTTTAAATCCAAGAAACTACCTCTCCAAACACTACACAAGGAAAGACGATCCCTGCATGCAACTATTGCTGAAAATACAAAGTGCAATGTAATTACGGTCATAATAAATATCTCACTGCAAAGCCTTGTAGAAGCAAATACAATTATATAAAATGCTGACAATAAACGCCTCATTTTCAGAAAGTAAAAATAAATAAATAACCAAAGTGTCAGAGTGACTAATTTTATATATTCCACAGGTCAGGATTTTAAAAGGCACAGGGCATATCCAATTAAAGTTCAGGAAATGCACTTTAGCAATAAATCAGAGGCTACTGCCCTTATCACCAATTTACATGTGCTGGGGTGTACAGCATAGGATAAGCTACCTTCTAACATAAATTACTGCGTTTAACCCTCGTCTGTCAGGTCAACTCTGGACTAGTAACAGAGGACTCAAATCAAGAAAAACCTATGTTACTCTATAGTCTTAATTTGTGGAATTAAGTTTTTCCCCCCAAAGTAATTTTTTGTAAAAATCATTATCTCAAGTGATTCGTAATACAGCTCAGTAATTAAATATTTAGAAAACCAATACCACACTATAGCACTAGATACTCTTTTACAGTTAGTAGACAAATAGCAACATACACGACTAATGGTTCTAATAAATGGTTGAAAAAACTGCTTAATGGTACATTAATTTCATTAATAAGGGTAACTATAAGCACACTGTTGGGTAATATTGATACGACCGTAAAAGAGTGATCATGTAAAATAATGCAACATAATTAGTAAAGGATTTGTTAGAGACAGGAAATATATATTCGAGACAGTGATGGGATCAATTTTTATCTTGGAGATCGGTGAAGACACTTTGATGTGCCTTACTGCCCTTGAATAACACATGTAATTACCCCTCTGCATCATCAATTCAGAAAACAAATCATGAGATAGTGTTCCCAAAGCAATCCCCGATATCTAGGTTTCAGGTATGGAAGAGAAATGTGCGACACGGTCACGTTACATAAAGGAAAGCCCAATAACTATATGTATTTGGCAGGGGGGAAAAAAAAAATCCAAAACATCCAAGTTTGTACTTTTTTTGACCCATGCAACCCTGAAATAATATTTGTTTTCTTCGCCAGTTTGTAGGGTTGTTTAATATAAGGAAAAATCCTACAGGAAACATAATATTGTGGAAGACGGTATGAGTTATCTAATCTGGAAAAACATGGATATGGTTCTTAAAGGACCACTATAGTGCCAGGAAAACACACTTGTTTTCCTGGCACTACAGTGCCCTGAGGGTGCCCTCCCCCTCCCGCCTCTGGAAGGGGGAAAGGGGTTAAAACTTACCTTTTTCCAGCGCTGGGCGGGGAGCTCTCCTCCTCCGATCCTCCCCGTTGGCTGAATGCGCACGCGCGGCAAGAGCTGCGCGCGCATTTAGCCGGTCGCATAGGAAAGCATTATCATTGCTTTCCTATGGACGCTTGCGTGCTCTCACTGTGATTTTCACAGTGAGAAGCACGCAAGCGCCTCTAGCGGCTGTCAATGAGACAGCTGCTAGAGGCTTTGGGGGAAGGCTTAACCCATTCATAAACATAGCAGTTTCCTCGAAACTGCTATGTTTATAAAAAAATGGGTTAACCCTAGCTGGACCAGGCACCCAGACCACTTCATTAAGCTGAAGTGGTCTGGGTGCCTAGAGTGGTCCTTTAACTTCCAATTTGTGCATTTCAGCTCATTGGGGTAAGAAGGTGCTTTAATTCTAAACATTTAATAAAACAGGCAATGTGTGCATAATTACATAATATAAATATATATATATATATTAAAAATATATAAAAACTTACAGCAGCTTTCAACGTTATTGCAATTATGCATTGATGAGTAAGTGGTTTCCTACTGTGGGTCAAAAGATTAGCATTTATTAAGAGAACATGGTTCATGAGACCACGACTAGCCTAGTCATTGCCTGCCTAGTGGTTTGTTACCATAATTGGACAAGCATTTGCAAAATGGTTATGTGAAGAGTTAGAACAGATGCATTCAAGTGTGATACAAACAAGGTTACAATTCCTTTGCCTTGTTATCGAACAAAGAAAAATGCAAAATTAAATTATCTACATAGAGCTTGTACTTGTTAATTAAAGAACAATTCATTGAGGTTAGGAGATTCTAATAGGAATAGGTGTTTGTTCAGAATTAACATATGAAAAATAGGTATCGCGTAGAAGACTATTTTTTATTACAAAACAGGGTTAATACAATTAAATACTGCTAGCACCATAGCCACTAAAGCAAGCCATGTTTTCTCCCTATCTCAGTTATTTTGGTTTACATATGCAATCTTTGCATTGCATATAGTCACCACAACTCCAGGTTAAGTGAACAGCAGGGCTTATTGGTTTTTCATTCTATGAATCCACAGTAGCTGACAATTACGACTCTTGAGATCAGGGAATGAAAAGCCCTCCTGCACTTCAAACAGAAGGACACACTAACTAGCCAATATGGAGAGCTCCCAAACATTCTAGGAATAAAGGACAATTAAACAAACCATCCAGAGAGAATTACTTGATCCCAAATGCATACACCTTAGCATGGAACCTATAACAAAATGGAGCCATTGCTGCAGGTACTTCCAAGACAGCAATTAATCAATGAATAGTTGGGTTGCTCAGCCATCCGCCTACAATTTCCTTTTATTATACATGGATGCTGAGCCAACTGTAGTGGTTATGGTTTTAAACTACGAGGGTCCTTGAAAACAAGTGTGAGAGTGGTCACCAATCTACTTGGTGAATACTTTTTTTTTATTTTTTTTTTTTATAGTCAATTTTTCTGGAGAGAGGAATTCTGCACAGAACCAGAGCCAAAAACTATGGTAGAAGGAGGACTCATGTGACTAGGACAAAAATAGCCAAGAAGGTAAGGTCTCCTCTCTTCAGGGGACGTTCCGTGTTTTTCAAAGTAAAGATGACAAGTAAAAGGCAGAAAAACTAACTTCTATAATCTGAGACACAAAATAAATAAATAAATACGTTTTAAAAAAGAGAGAGTTAGTGCATTTGGAAAGGGAAGGTTTCAATACATGAACAGGGCAAAGCCAAAGCTTTAAATAAATAACAGATGGTCTGGGCTCAGACAAAGAAAACAAGTCCAACTCATAAGCAAATATAGGACATCAACAACAGTGTCTGATTTAGCATTGCTCGTAAACAAAACCCAATACACCTGTAGCTCCACAGTACTCCTTACAGTGAGCGTCTATCAGCTTTTTACTTCTTTAAGATATCACTTTGTGCACCATAACCACTACAACACACTGTCCTGGTGCCTCCCAATTGCATGGAATCAAACCCATTCTGCTTGATTTCTTTAAGGGATTTTAAGAACAAAGCAGTTTTCCTAGCACTATAAAATCCTGCAGTTCCACCCTCCCTTACCCCCACCTCCCCCCATCCCCTCCCAGGGCGCTGAAGGGGTTAAAAACCCCTTCAGTGACTTACCTGAATCCAGCACTGATGTCCTCTGCGCTGGGTCAGGCTCTGTCCATGCTCCTTCCAGCCAACGTCAACCGGCGGAGGAGACCTAATGTGCATGCGCCGCAATGGCCTTGCTCGCATTAGGTTGTCTCCATAGGAAAAGCATTATTCAATGCTTTCCTATGGGAAAAATCTGACGCTGTTAGTCCTTATGCAGAGCGTGTGGATGCTCAGCGTCAGATACCGGACCAAAGGTTTGTTTCAATTCAGGAAGTCCCTCTCAGAAACTGCAATTATTACCACTGCAAGGTTAAGGGACATGGGACATTCCAGTAGTCTGGGTGCCTACAGTGTCCCTTTAAATGGGGTCCACGTAGAGCTGCTCCCTGCCTCCACTACCCTAAGCTAGAGAGCCGCAAGCTCCTGCATGGGAATCTTCGTTAGTTCTCTTGAGCTAGGCGCTGCTGTGCAAAGCCAATGACCTCTAGCTTAGCTTAGACAGAACGCTCTCTGATTGAGGTAGTGGAGTGGTGCCCAGCAGACCCCAGATGACTAGCCAAATTATTCTAAAAAACAGTTTTGACTGCTTAGGTACATGGTAATCCTGGCACCATAACTAATACATTGTGCTGTGGTTGTTATGGTGCTTGGAATATTCCTGTAATGTTTTCAGATATATCAGGAGAGTAATGAAAATGTGCTTATAGAATGTTCTTTAATTCTTATAAATACGCAAAAAGAGGGGTTTTGTTTCCATCTCTCCCCCCCCCCCATCATCACCATAATCAACTGTAATTTAGCAAACATTTACCTGAAAAGGAGGGGAAAAAAATAATTGGGGGAAAGAAAAATTGGTTATTTGCCAGAAGGATGGTTAGAGTAGAATTTCCAAAGTCTGTTAAAAAAAAATACAAACTTCCCCAAATGTTATTATATTCTTTCATCTTACTTCCAGCAGGGGTCTAGAAGGAAGTGATTTAAGCCTCGTAATCTAAGGCTATTTCATTCATCTTCAAATTAAATGCTGTATACCATGCTGAGACCAATGTTTAGAGTTCTTGGCCCACCATTCAATTTTTCATTAGCTAGTAGAATGAAGAGTAACCCCGGATATCTGGTAAATGAGTTTACATGAGATTATGGCTTGTAACAAAGAGAAGTGAAGAAGTGATTTAGTCTTAAGGCATTCAAAAATGTCACTGAAAATATGTATTAAGAAATAGCCAATAAGAACAACATCTCTAAAAATTTAAAAACAAATATCCAAAAATAATAAATAAATAGCCACTCCGTTAAACAGCTAGTCCTCAGGGAATTCACTCATGCAAAGATATGACAAAATATGTCCAACATAAGCAAAATGGAATGAGCTGGCAATATATATTTTTTGGAGCAGCATGGCCACTTTGAACATGATATTGTCTGCAAATACAAACAAAACAAAGCTTGTAAATGTGTGACGTGACACTGTACATTACATATTGAAACTGCAAAATAAAAAATTAAGTCAGATATTCAATAGTATAGCTATTACAAAAAATTGGTAGAATATGCTGACTGATAAAATAGATCAGTTGGCTTTAATTGACTGACACATACATAAGTGGTTCTCAGGGTATTAAAGTAACTATTTTATCAATGCATAGCACCGAACTACTCTCTGATCTCACAACTATGCACGCACAATACACATGCTAAATCCTGTTGTGGCACAACACACACATATATGCCAGGGCACACTCCACACACCTTGATTCTAGCACTCAGAGCATATATGATATCTTAAGTACTAAGTAGGTAGCAATCTTGCTTGTAACCAGACACATAGTAGGCCATCCTGATACTTAGCCTAGAATATACCTGTTATTTAAAAAAAAAAAAAAATAACTTTTATTCCAGTGAGGGCGACTGAGAAGATGACCATATAGGGCCCTCACAGACTGGATAAAAAAAAATATATATTTTTAAAAATGTATATCATCCACCTAGTATGATTTATTACCCTTTGGACAGAATACGTTTAATTTAAAATTACAATCTATTACTCTGACAGTATCAAATGATACATTTGCTGAAGTAGAAGACAGGATTTTGAATACAGCAATATAAATTTGTGTGCATTAAGTTTTCCTCCAATTCAAAATCTATATTGGCATATTTACACTAGTAACCAACTCCGATATACTCCGTAGTAAACATGTACCAGAAATGTTTCAGTAGGAGGACTAACCACTAAGCTCTCACTTGGTACATCGATAAAACCACATTAATAAAAGGTACGTCATTTTAAAATTGTTACAGGATTGCATATATTTCCTGTGACTACAATATGTACCTTAGTGAATAAGACCAACAGCAGAGCTTATGTTGGGTATGCTGACAAGTTTGGAGATTCCATGAAGACAGGAGTAATTTGATTACTTTCACGGATGAGTCACTGTACAAAACATTTGAAAAGTTGGTTACTAAAGGCAAAATAATTTGCAATGGTTCAAAGTAAACTAAAAATGAAAATACTCAGGTGTGCATACTACACACTACACCAAAAGTAGAAATGATGTAAGTGGAGTGTACTAGAACATACATGTCATTGAAGAATTCAAGTTCAGTCAGGAATTGCAATTTATTGAGTCATTACCACGCTTAAAATATAAATAAATAGATTAAAAAAAAGAAAAAACACACAAAAAAAGGCATCATGTACAATGGAGCTTTTAAGGCTTTTCCTGGGATTTTTAAAAGGAAAAATCTGAAAAATCCACACGTTTCTTACAAAATAAAAAAAGGCAAAAAAAAAAATTAAAAAAGAGAAATAAATTTACCTGTAATCTAACAAAGTAGCCTTTCAGTAGTCTGATCGATCCACAATAAGATCAGAGAATCATTATGTCCCTATGGCACATGCATGGAAATCACTGAGATTCACCAACCTAATGCTTCACTAGGAGAAGCAATAGCCACACTTTGTGTGTCGCTATTCTCTGCATGATGATATCAAACAAAAACGGAAGGCCTAAAGAAGATTCTGCCTATTGTTTCCTGTAGTGGACACAAGAGGCATGTTTTGGCAAAATGTAAATAACGCCATTTCCAGGGAAACAGCAATGTTTTACATCATCCTTTTATGGGACAGCCTGCTATGCAGCAAAACAACTACATCAAGATCGTTGGTTTTGGATCTTAGGCTGCTTAAAGAGGTATTCTAAGCACCATCATAACTTTGCATAAAAAAAAACAAAAAACAAAAAAACAAAACAAAAACAACACTTGTAAGTCTGCCCCCAAAATCTGTCAATTAGGCAGATCATGTATAACTTGGACTGAGCGCTCTTCTCCCAGGAATCAAGTTGCAGACCACAGCATAGCAGAGAGTTTAACACAGGGTGCGGGTAAACTGCAGTTCAACTCATACTATGTGATAAGCATAAGTGCTGATAAACTACTTATCTCAAATCTCTGTTGTCTACCAAGAGAACCTTGGATAACTATTTTTTTGCATTTTTAAAATGTATATTCTTCATGTTAGAATGCATTATAATATAAGGGGTACTCTTTACTCCATCGGTTCCTTTTAATTATACATTGAGAAGTTTAGTAAATATGAAATAAAGGACATCTCATCTAGTCTTAAAATGTATTTTTTTTTTATTAAGCTGGGCCAAAAATGAAGAGGTGATGGGGGTTGTAGAGAGCACTTAGTACTACAGACTTAGGAATGTAACTTCAAAATTCCTCCTTATTGTCTTCTTTATTTGACCGTATTCATTACTTCCCATTGTTTGCTTTTAAGGTCAAAGTGAGTGCCCTATATTATGATCCTACTAGGAGTATACTCTGTTATACAAGCAGACATTAATAGAAAACCATGTATTCAGCCTGATTACTTTTCACGAGGACACAGAATGAATTTAAATGCATTTTTAGTCCTTAAATTCATAGATTAAAATAAAAATAAAAAAAATAAAAAAAATATATATCACACATCTATAATTTTAAAAAATGTGCAGTGTTTAAACATTTTATATATTTTTCACTACAAAAAAAATACATTTAAAGATAAAAAAAAAACAGACAAAAAAACAAAACAAAACATTTTTTGTGGATAGTTTACGAACCAAACAAAATAAATGCAGAACGGTGTCAGGAGGCATGAATTACTGACTTTTTACACATTACTCACCTAAGGAAATGGTGTATTAATTGATAACCAATTTTAATTAAGGACTTAGAATTAACAGAACTATAGGTATATTTAATATCATCCGCGTGCATATTATGCTTGTGCCAGGGATAGGTACCCCAAAGTCGAGAGGAGCAAAACCAGGAAGGATGTGAAAGTAAGGTTTTTCAGTGGGACAGTCTTTAATAAACCAGGAAAAATGTTTTATGCCTAGTCAAGAACGGTTTCTAAGGTTTGAAGTGTTACAACACATGACAAAGTAAAAAACAAACATTCTGTTCTGTAAGAAAAAAAAAACAGTTATGGGCAAAAAATAAAAAGCGAAAGAAAAGGAGTTAAGGAGGATTTGACTAGAGAGCGGTATTTTTTAGTATTACAAAACTGTGACCCCCAATAAGACGTGAGGTAACCACTTTTCCCCGTTCATGATTGTCCTCGTTCTCTAGTCTCAGAATTCTACACAACTTTACTGATAAATACCACCAGATCATCTACTTTCAAGGTCCTTCCTTGACGTCTTGTCCTTGGTTTGGTCCATGAATCAGGTCAGGGAGAACGAACGAGCATGAGGATTTGTAGATAATAACATGAAGAACAGTGAATTCTCCGTAATGGCCAGGTTTGGCCCTGTATACAAGGAATATGCTTTCCATACCCACAGTACGACGCTGCCTGTTAGAATAGCAAGAGAGCTTTTATTTATTCGTTTTAAGTGAATTTACCTGTTCATTTTAACCAACAGAGGTTTACGATTTTTGAGAACATATATTTCAGCACAGCTGCCATGTAATTTGTTATGGGAGGAGACATTTAACAGGTCCAGCCAACTCTTTCTGTCTCGAGATTTAGAGCGATAAAATCATGAAAATTACTTTGTTCTGAGTAAAACAGACAGGTCATGTAAGTTCAAAATTATTATTGGAAATATCTATGATGGGAATCTACATGCTTTAAAAATTTGGAAACCACAGTATAATAAAAATAATAGACTGTCTAGGAATGTACGCTATTCTGGTCGAAATCTCCTAATTATCTAATCACTGCAAAGGATTTTGTTAGAGAGAAAGAATTAAAGGGACACAACATGCACCAGAAATAAACAAAAATGTCAACCACATGTATGTTTATGTAAGAGGGTTACAATCTGGGGGATTTACTACAAGCAAAAGAGAATATATATATATAAATTTGTTATTTTATTTGATATATAACCTCTATAAAGCATGAACACATAAAATTTCATGGGCAGGTGGTAATTCTACTCTAAAGTAACACCATACAACTAGGGTCCCACTGGGACACTTTCCCTTCTCATGACTCTTCTCTTTCACCCGATACCTTTCTCTACCTATGTGTATTGTTACCAATACAGCCAAGCCCTCAAAAAAAAAAAAAAAAAAAAATGTACCTACAGTGCCAGGTGTCTACACAACAACCGTTGTTAGAGGACCCAATGACCAGAACGATAAGTACACAGCTTAAAATGAGAAAACCACACAACAGGTCATTGGGATGACTGGAAACATAACATCAGAAGGATACAGTACTACCCATGTTAGATACAAAGCTGTACTGCGCACAATAAACAAATTAACAGAGTACTGCAGTGCACAGCCATCCTTACCTACCTCTACATGCCAGCATTTCCACACCAGTAAGGGGAGACTTGGAAGGTGACTACCATGTAAATGTATTGAATGTATTTAAACTGTAATCGTTTGACCACACTTTCATTTTATAACCGCTTTGTTCATACAAAAAAAAACAAAAAAAAAAAACCCTCACCGTACAGATTAATTTTAGAAAGATCCAATAAAAATGAATTATTGTTAGTATCATCACTTTAATAGCGCCATATTCTGCAGCACATTACAATTATAAAATGGGGACATTTGACAAGTAATTTACATATGGTATATAACAGCGATAAGAGGTAAAGAAGGCCCTGCTCAAACAAGCTTACAATCTATTAGGAAGGAGTAAAGATTCCCAAACAGCTTGTCAGCTACGTCGATGGATAAGATGTATGTGTTGAAATATGCCAATAAATGTGACGGTGGAAGGAATCGAACAGTGGCCGGAGAGAGTGAGCTGGGCTGTGGAGGTGAGGGAAGCAATGAGAGCAGTGAAATGAGAGGAGCGTCGTCCAGGAAGATGGCAAGCTTTCCTAAAGAAATTCAGCAAAATGAGCCTGGCTGCAGCTCTCATTACAGACTGAAGAGGAGCAAGGCGGATATTTGGAAGGCCGATGAGTAGAGAGTTGCAATAGTCAAGTTGGGAAATGAGGAGTGCATGAACAAGTGCCTTAATTGTAGTTTGAGTTAGAAATGGGTGAATGGGGCAATATTTTTAAGGAGAATGTTACAGGATTTGGAGCCAGACTGGATGCAGCAAGCTAGAAGGGTTGGAGTAATAGGTGTCCCATAGACTTGCAGGGAGATTGATAGAGGTAATCTGTTTGAGGGGGATAAGATAAGGAGTTCAGTCTTAGAAAGATTACATTTCAGAAACAGGAAGACATCCAGTTAGAGATGGAAGAGAGGCAGTTTGGGAAATGCTCCAGGAGAGGAGGTAAATCTGAGTATTGTCAGCCTAGAGAGAATACTGAAAAACAAAAGGAGTTAATAACGTTGCCGAGAGAGGCAGTGTAGATGGAAAATAAATGGAGGACCAAGAACAGAGCCTTAGAGAACACCAACTAAGACAGCAGGGAGTAGGTTGCACCTCAGAAAGAGACTCTGAATGTGCGTTCAGAAAGGTAGGATGAAAACCAAGAAAATACAGTGTCACCAAGTCCAAGGTTGTGGAGGGTTTGAAGAGAGTGGTTAACAGTATCAAAGGCAGCAGAGAGGTCAGAGGAGGATAAAAAGAGTAATGATCTTTATGTTTAACAGTGATTAAGTCGTTAGTCACTTTGGTAAGGGCAGTTTTAGTAAAATGGACGAAGTGGAAGCCAGATTGAAGTGGGTCAAGGAGAGAAATTGTGTTAGACATGTAAATAAATCCCGCTCAAGAACCTTAGAAGTGAAGGGGAGTAGTGATATGGGATAATCGTGAGAAGGAGTGGTAAGTTTAAGAGATGACTTTTTTTAGGATTAACAATGTCATGTTTGAGGAAAGATGCCAGTAGACAAAGATTGGACAAGATGAGAGGGGATCGAGAGGGCATCGAGAAAGGATAGGAGAGGTTTAGAAACCGCTAGCTCAGAGACGGGGAAAAGTAAAAAATGGAAGAAGGTACAGAATGGAAGTGGGGTACTGGAGGGGAAGAGGAAAGATGGAAGACTGCATTCCTAAATTTGTCAGTAAAACAGAAAAAAAACAGGAAAAAAATAAAATCACAAGTTGTGAGGTTTCTAACAAAGGAACATGGACTGAATATCTCTAAACTGGGAAATTGTTGAAATGAATTATCAAGATAACTTGAACACATTACTTTACACAGAGGTTTGCAAATCATTATTGTCTGTATCATATTTTCACAGGCAAACTGTCCCAGATTCCTTTTACAAGTCAGTTGTGCAACTTCTCACTTGTCTCTTTAAACATTTAAAAAGGACATCCCACTGCCCAAATTCAAAACTACTGTTTAGTAGGTATACCCCAATTAAAAACATGCACACATTTAATTAAGAATTATATAAATAATTTCCACCTATCCCGCACTCACTGCTCCCGGTCTTGGTAATGTTTAGGTGCCTTTCTCCGGCCATTTAAATAAAATACCTTGTAGTAGAGAACTCACAGGACTCAATTTGATTCAAAGAAATAGTGCTATTTATTGCAGCAACAGATTATCACAGTAGCAGTGTCAACATTTCAGTCCCACTGGACTTTTATCAAGACCAGTGGACAATCACAACTAGGAATCATGGACAGTTGTTAATGGATGAGTTGCATTAACAACGAAACAGTTGTCCACGAGTGGTTTACTTGCTTTCCTCCTCATCCGGAGTTGTGTTTTAAAGCTGTTGCAAAAGGCAAAATGTGGTTCTTTGTTAAACTCATTTGCATTCACCTACCCAGAATCACTTGCAGTAGTGAGAGCACTGTTAAAATTAGATTTCTGTGGGAAAAGCAAGTCTTATGGCTTGACTGGTGTGTGTATTTGTGTTTAGCAATGTATTAACTATCCACTTACTTCAGGTGGAAGGGGTTTTCATCCACACTTTTTTCCCACCACAACTCTGTTGGTATGTATATATACACACATATAAAGAACAGTTTGCAAACCTGCTCTGAGCACCCTTCACAAACCCTTCTTCTGGCTGTCTAATCACAGACTACACAACTCAGGTCAATAAGCTGTTCAAAGAAGGGGCTCTGGGTAATTCTCTGCCTCGAGTTCAGCTCCACAGAAATAAACGCTCAGGAAGTAACAACACCAATTGTCTAAAAGCCAGGGGTGTGAAAAGGTTAATTTATAAAAGTGCACTTTTAATAAAATTATTTATGTAAAAAAAAATAATAAAAAAAAAGGGGACTTCACACATATAGCACTTCAACAAGATAGAATGTGCTTTAGGTGTTCTTTGAAACATATGTTCTAAATCAAGAGTTGCAAAAGTAGACAAAAATAGGTTTGAAATGGTTTTCAAAAAATACTTTTTTGTTGCTTCGTAAAACAAAATTATAATGAAAGAAAGACTGGAGGATGTACAATTGAGAAAAATACAATTATTAATTTCTAGAATAATCTGGATTTAGTAAAAAAACATAGTGACCGTGTGGTTTCCATAGACAGTAGTTTCCCACCTTACTGCTCTGATTATTTTGGAGGTCCTTCACTTCCACCACCCATCCCCCCTCCTCAACCTTTTCGAGCATTATACATCAGCACCTATAGTGATTCATTGGTTCGAATGGCCAGGGAACAGTAGCAAACATCTGGGACACAGGAGACCATGTCTTTGATCCCAACCCCCAAACTAGACCCAGCTGGGCCAACGGCTGCAGGTGCACCCAGTGGAGTGTCTGTATCTATGACACTCTCAAAAACAAACAGAACATCTTAAAACAAAAAGGATGTAACACACACTGCAAATGGAATGTGTCTGGGAACGGAATTTTACAAGTTGCAGTAACTTCTGAAGGGGAGTCAGCTGGCAGTCCATGTACACTTGTCTTAAGGTGTAGAGAATGCCGAATCATGCACATCTTACTATCAGATCCTCTACGCAGCTTTTAAAAGTTATCTGTAGCATGCATTTTATGGATAGCCACTGATAACTTTACATATTTAGACGTCCATCGTATTCTTGTCAATATAATCAGGGGTAGACAAACTTTCGGCACCCCGAATGTTGTGGACTACAGCTCCCTTGATGCTTTGGCATCATTACGTCTGTAAGAGCATTATGGGAGATTTAGTCCACAACATCTGGAGTGCCGAAGGTTGACTACCCCCTCCCCCCCCCCAAATATAAATATTAGACTATTGTGAAAATATATTGGAGAGGTTCTAATTTGTAGGTGTAAAGAAATTATTGCACATACGGTATGTTCATTCACAACTGTTGGCAGTTTATTTTTTATCATTCCATTGTAAAACGTACTTTATTTGGTTAACACCTGTTATTTGCAATTCACATTTATGATCTTGACACAAAGAGAATCGATTCTAGAGATAACACTAACCCGTAAAATCTCTGGCCCTGTGAACCTGATCCTGCAATAGATGTTAAAAATTATATCTAGTGTTTCCCAGTTAGCAGCAATAAGGGGTCTAATTTGTTACTTTAAATAAAATTTAGACAAGTTTTTCAGATCTACATTCTAGGGAGTCAGTTTTTTTCTGAATTATTGCTTAAAGCTGAAATCATACAAAACTGTATTTTCTCATAGGTAATAAAAAACGCCCAAACACGATGTTACTTTCACATTTAATTATGTATACATGTAAATAAATTGCATTGCCTGTCCTGCCAATAGTACCAGATGCCCAAATCATGACCAGAGATTTATTTTTTATTTTTTTTTATCAAAAGGGACACTTAGCACCATAACAACTTTACATCATTGCAAAGGTTACCATGCAGATGGTACCCTGGATCCAGTTTCCCTTTCCATAGCAGAATGTAACTATTCCTTGCAGCTATAGGACTTCCCCTTAGACAAGTGACATCAAAGGAGTAATTTGACTTCCTGTCAGCTACCCAGTTCCAAGGAGAGCCTGATCTGTGGAGGTGAGCAACTGCACATGCAGTTTAGATCATTGCTACAAGATCTGGAACTTTAAAAAGGTATTTTTCATCTTTTCATGCATTTTCATAGTAATGCATTACAATAGGAGGATTATTTCCTACATATTGTGTCCCTTTAATCACGATATGGAGATTGCTGTAACACAATTACAGTCAACATGTATTCATTGGTGACAGCAGCGCCATGTTTACAGATCAAAACTAGGTTTGTGAGAAGGATTGCAAGACCCATGTTTTCCTAGACACATAACTCCATCTGTTCCGACTGCAGCAGGACAGTACCCATTTTAGGTTCCTATGAAAATGTTTTTGTTATGATTGACAGTCAGCCTAACCTATTATTTAAGCAAGTTTACCCAGGGCTGTATCTACCACGAAGCAAACAAGGAATTTGCCTTGGGCGGCACTTTCCAGGGGGCATCAAAAAAACACCACCCTCAAATGCCCAGGTTAATGCCTTGTTTTATGGGGGCCAGGAGGGGAATACACTTTAGTTTTGATTGTTTTTTTTAACCCCTTAAGGACACGACATGTGTGACATGTCATGATTCCCTTTTATTCCAGAAGTTTGGTCCTTAAGGGGTTAAACAAAAAGGTCCACTTACTACGTCCACTGTATGCCCATTATAACGATTAACTACCACTGCAGCCACTATAGCAACTATTCGCCGTTTAGAGCCACTATCCATCACTATTGCTCGTATACCCCTCTAAAAACTCTATCCACCCACTATAAAAGAATCCCCCCCAACACAGCGCCTATCCTCCCATTTGAGGAAACTGGAATTGGGGGCAGCAATGAGTGTAAATCCAGCCCTGCCTGTAGTACCTTCTTGGATCAACTGATATCTCTTCTAAGGCACATGAATGCTACATACTACAGGGCAGCATATTTCTCTATTGCCCATCATTGTGAAATATTAGCAACTGTCCAAGAAATAAGAGTGGATTATCGGAGTTCTGAGTGGCATTTAATACATTAGCATTAAGTGATCGCTCCCAGATTCGGTTTACATCTACTGAAACTGATGTTCTAATTGACTCAAACCAAGTATGTAGAAATTCTTTCTTCAGCAGAAGACATTGCTGCGGTCATATCCTAGTAAACTCTGGAACGTTTAGAACCACAAAAAAAAGGACTATAAATGTCGAATGGCTAAGACAAGCAGGCTGTGTTTACCTGTAACTTTCTTTAAAACTGGAAAGATTAGCATTAAAAAAATAATAATTTAAGAATGCATGGGATGTGCATAAACACACAGAATCCACAATGACAATATTGGATTCAACTAAGGAGAATTCTGTAAAGTGGCCAGCAACAACAAAAATCAAACAATTGTGTCAATTCTGGCGATTACTTTAGTGAAAGAAACAATTATTAATCCATTGGTTGCAGTCATGCCTCATTTCATACAAATTGTGAACATTTCATAATACCAACATCAGATATGTATACAGCTACATCATAGCTTACAGAAAAAGATACAAACACATAAATTGTTATGTAAAATATCTGTTAATGGAGACTCTTACTACTAAATCAGTTTTTCAAGCTATATGCATCTTTCAGTTGGTAAGTTTTTTTGTTATGTATAGACACACTTCTAAGATAACGTATTTAAACATAACCCAATGATGTTATGTAGTTAAAAACATACAGGAACTCTTACAGGTTGTTTAACCCCTTAAGGACACATGACATGTGTGACATGTCATGATTCCCTTTTATTCCAGATGTTTTGTCCTTAAGGGGTTAAGGATGCATAGCAGCTTTTAGTATATTTGTATTCACTAGACGATGAGGCTTATTCACTAAGCATTAGACAATTCTAGTGAATTGAATACCAAATTTCACAATCTTGTCTTAAAGGGAAACTATAGGCACCCAGACCACCATCTCATTGAAGTGGTCTTGGTGCAGTGTTCCTGTCGCCTTATCCCTACAATTATTGAGAAACTGCAATAATTACCTTGCAAGGTGAACGCCACCTCTAATGGCGGTCTTCAGGTCCGCTAAATGACACTGGGCATCCGCACGCTCTGCATGGGTACACCCAGCGTCAGATTTCCAATGGGAAAGTCCTAATGCGCACGTGGCGCATGCGCAGTAGGGTCCCCATCGTCGGCTGACGTCGAGGAGGAGCGGATGCGAAGCCTGATCTAGCACTGAGGGACATCGGCACTGGAATCAGGTAAGGTTTTAACCATTTATCAGCTGGGGGGGAGGTGGGGTGCCACTTTGGATTCCTAGCACTATCGTTTCCTTTTAAATAGCCAAGATTTTATTTCCTTTTCAAAATGTATTATAGCATACATGTCAGTTTTCTCTTCACTACAATTTTCTGTTTGGTAAATAACCCCCATTAATTGCTAGAAAATAATCTGGAATTTAAAATTCTGGGCCAAAAAACTTTTAAGCTTTAGTAGGAGAATATATTGGCCTAAAATTTGCAGTTTAAGGAAAAATCCTATGAACTGACAGAAAACAAAACCTCTTACTTCAGAATAATTAACAACACTACTTTTACCAATACGTAACTAGTAACTAGAGTACAGTCTTTCACAATAGGGTGTTTTAAAAAAAAATTATTTTTTCCTATTTTAGTGTAAATTCTGCAGAATGCGTTGGTGCTTTACATTAGTACTACTTACAACCTGGCACATGAATTCAATGGTTTAATCAGATTTCTACATTCCAAAAAAAGTTCTAAAACTATACTATATATATATCAAAATGCCCAGATAAAAAAAAAGTCAGTATACATGTGCGAAAGGTAAAGTAGATTTGATGAGTGATTTTCACTTTGGGGGTCTGATAATTCTGAACTACACTCCCCATGATGCTTTGCCAGACCAGGTGACTTATTTTAATCCTATTAGTAGACTGCTGACAATTCATAGAGTTAATAAGGCATTACCCAGGAAATAAGACTGGGGGGAGCATCACGGGAAATGTAGTTCAGAAACATCTGGAGTGCCAAGATGAGCCTTTATGCTAGCCTAGACTGCACAGCTTGGCCAGTACAGGCATGACTAGCTATTAAGAAAGGAGGAGTCCCGGTTGTATAAACACACAATGCATGGATTGAACAAGTTGGGGTACACACACATGCTGGAATGGTGAGGCAAGTCCCAGCACAGCCTTCTCTCTCTTTTAAGTCAGACAGCTTGGGGCTTAACCTCTTCAATGCCTCCAGGCTGAATCCACAACCAGCCCAGATAACATACATATGTTCACACCTGTCCACACACAGAGTAGAACACGCGTTGGGGGCGGTTTGTTTAAGTTCGGTTAACCCCTTTTACACAGGTAGTTTTTTTTTTTTACCCTTTTATTTTTTTTTAAATGACTTAGCTGCTGATTTTTAAATATCCAGAGTTAACAAATTGTACTCGTCAGAAATAAGGGATCTTCTGGACCTTCAGCCTTGGTGGAATGCAACTCCCATGACTTCAGGCAGACAGAAATTGCTTACCACTGGCCTTGTGTGCACAACTGCACTAGCGATTATCCTTGGGAAATACAAAGTTGCATAGAGTGGGAACACTTTGTATTAATGGGATTAGCAGTTAATGTTGGCTATATAAAGCAGTGTGTCAAGCACTGGAATTATTTACAAGACCTGCAGTTGGAAAGGGATACATGCAGCCTGCAGTGTGCAATAACTTAACGAGAAGTTGCAACAGTGTAGTTACCTGCATTGGTCGGCGACAATCTGATGCTGTCTCAATATTCCCAGGATCAGACTCCACAGAACCTTCCTGCAGATTTCCAGCAGATCCCGCACACAAAAAAAAAACCTTAAATAAACACCCAGACAAATGATAGGAACACCCCACAGCCGGGGTATATATCTCCTTCCAAGGGCGCAGAGAGCAGCTATCCAAACAGATCAACTACATGTCCACCAGACCTCCATCCAGCTTCAGGATGCAATAAGGCGCTTGTACAGCCTGCCTTGTGCCAAGAGACGCTGAAAAGTTTGTCTAAAGCTGCTGGAGGAGAGAAAGAGGGGAGGGCTTTAGCCAGGACCTGAGCTTGTGAATCAGCTCCAGGCTGGGAGGGCTGAATAGGAGGAGTGGAGGGAGTGTGTCTCAGGGACTCTGTGTGTCTTACTTGATAAAAGTGCATTAGAGAGAGATGCACTCCTTCGTCCTGACATCACAGTGCTGGTATTTCTGGAATGTGCAGCCAGTGGGGATGTTACTTGCTTGTTTTTTGTTTGTTTTTTTCTTTTTGTTCAGTGGGGTGGTGGGGGGACCACAAAACATCCCCTCTTGTTAGTCTTAAAGAGAGGTGGGACAACAAAACATGGTTAATCCACTCCAGTGGAATAAAAGCAGGTTCACACCAGTCTGTATTGCAGGGCTGACTGTAATGGTTAAAAGTCTAAAATGCAGCCCCCTCTCCTGCACCAGGGCTATTGAAGCAGGTCAGTTTAATGTTTTTATGGCTCAGGTATCTGGTCAGGTGAGCACTAAACCTTCCTCCAAATATTATAATAAGTGCTGGGGCTCCCTGTGCTGCCACTGAGTTACCCATGCAGATATCTATAGCCAAACATCCTAACATATTTTTAAACAGACTCATGGGCAGGAAAATAATTGGTGGGAGACACTAATAACTCTACATACCACGCTCTTTTATTGGTATGTCATTTTTTCTTTTTCTTTCATTCATTCTTTCTATTTTTTTACAGTTTTAAACCATGTGGGTTTAAGTATTCACTAAATTTTGAATAGAGGCAGATTGAAATCTGAATGGTAAACCTTAAACCAAAATAAAAAATATCATGAGAATTCTAATAGCGTGGCTATTTTAGGTTTAGTTTTGAATTTTCGATTTAGGCCTTGATTTTTTATATTGTTGCATAACCTTTCCAAACGCTTTAATATTTTGGTATAAACATTTCAAGAAATTTGCACCATATTAAACTATCAATAAAATGTATTGTATATGAAAAAAATATCACAATGTTAAACATTTTTTATTTTGTTCTTAGTATTTATTCATTAAAAAAATGTATAAAAAAATATGAAATCATTTATAAAACGTGTCCAACAGTATTACATATAGGTATTAGTTTCTTAAAGTTCAGAGTTTAGTGAAAATCCATTACGTGCAATACCTTATTTTATTGCAATTATTTTGTTGGGTTTTTTTAATAAAAGGAGACTATTTATTAAAAACTTGTATTCCTTGCACTACAGTGTCTTCTGGTCCCCGCCTCCCCTCGGCACCTAAAGGGTTAAAAATCCCTTTATTTACTCGCCCAATTCAGCGCTGATGTCCCCAGGCGCTGGGTTGGCACTCCGCCTCCTCCAACGTCATTCGACGAGGGGGACCTAATGTGCATATGTGGTGAGCAAATCAGGCCCTACCCATAGGAGAGGACATCCAGCGTCATTTAAGGGACTCAGAGTTCCCTATCATCCAGGAAATGCTTCTAGTGGCTGTCTGATTGATAGCCACTAGAGGCAGTCTTAGTCCTGCAAGGTACATATTGCAGCTTCTCAGCAAAGATTTACATCACAGGACTATGTGGAACAGGGACCGTGCACCCAGAACACTTCAATGAGATGAAGTGGTCTGGGTGCCTATAGTGTCATCACAGAGTTAATTTCTATTAATCAAACACAGTAAAACATGGCTAAACTATGTTTTTATAACATTACCAACTGAATCTACAAAAATTTAGCGATTTACAGTTTACAAAGATAAATGCTAATCTTCATCTTTGATAAAATTATGAGCTATGTTAAATTGACACATAGGAAACTAATTTGGGGCAGTAAAGACAATGGAGTCCTGCATTTTGAGTGTGCCTGGACACATCTGACTCCTCTACTCTGTATAGTTTGGGATTTTAGGCTCTTCTTGAGCATTAAGTGGCACTAAGTTGGTGGAATGTTTGTTGACACAAAGGGCTGCTAGCTATTGATTTTGTTATCTGGTGCTACTGGGCACAGTACACACATTAGGGGCTTATTGCATTTATTTCACCTCACTACATCATTGGATTTTAAAAGATGTATGCTAAAGTTGAGTCCTATATGTGGTCATTTATGTGTTTTTTTGTTCTGAGTAAACATATTCAGAAAGATAGCATAACATACATATTTTACAAGAAACTTACTTTTAGGATTTTTGTATTCTTCTATAAAACAAAAAAAAAGAAGCATAGTCAGAACTTAAAGGACCACTATAGTGCCAGGAAAACATACTCGTTTTCCTGGCACTATAGTGCCCTGAGGGTGCCCCCACCCTCAGGGACCCCCTCCCGCCCGGCTCTGGAAAGCTGAAAGAGGTTTAAACTTACCTTTTTCCAGCGCTGGGCGGGGAGCTCTCTGCCTCCTCTCCTCCTCCGATCCTCCTCCTGGGATGAATGCGCATGCGCGGCAAGCGCTGCGCGCGCATTCAGCCCGTCGCATAGGAAAGCATTTACAATGCTTTCCTATGGACGCTTGCGTGCTCTCACTGTGAAAATCACAGTGAGAAGCACGCAAGCGCCTCTAGTGGCTGTCAATGAGACAGCCACTAGAGGGAATAGGGGAAGGCTTAACCCATTAATAAACATAGCAGTTTCTCTGAAACTGCTATGTTTATTAAAAAATGGGTTAACCCTAGCTGGACCAGGCACCCAGACCACTTCATTAAGCTGAAGTGGTCTGGGTGCCTAGAGTGGTCCTTTAAAAATAATTTATATTTGTCATTCAAATATGAATATGTTTTCAATAACCCTTAAAGGAACACTATAAGGTCAGGAAAACAAACAATAAGGTCAGGAAAACAAACATATTCCTGACTCTATAGTGTTTAAACCACTATTTAGCCCCCATTTAAGCCTCCTCCCCCCGTCCTGCTAAATATAGTAAAATCATACTTATATCCCAGTCTGCTGCTGACTCTGCCCCTGATCTACCTGCTTGGCTGACATCATCACAACTGGTGTACTGAGCCAATCACATTGCTTTCACATAGGAAAGCATTCGATTGACTGAGACTGTCAAGGAGGCAGAACAGGGGCAGAGCCAGCACAAGCCAAAACAGCCCTGGTCAATCAGCATCATCTCATAGAGATGCATTGAATCAATGCATCTCTATGAGGAAAGTTCAATGTCTCCATGCAGAGGGTGGAGACACTGAATGGCAGTGTAGCACTATATGAGTGGCGGCCAGTGAGGTATCCCTAGTCTATAATGTAAACACTGCCTTTTTCTGAAAAAAGTGTTTGCTGCATGATGCCTGAAGAGAATGATTATACTCACTAGAACAAATACAATAAGCTGTAGTTGTTCTGCTGACTATAGTGTCCCTTTAAGTTTTATCTGTACACTGAGTTGGCCAGAATGCCATGAAAAATGAGGCATGTGTGTTTTACTCTGAAAGGACTCGCCCACTTTTTGGTAGCTACTGTATTAAACAGTCACCCTGAACACCATAACTACTATCAAGGTCTGGTGCAGTCCCCTGGTTCTCTGTCAAGCTGTTCTCCAGTGGTTTAGCACAAACTGAGGAACTCACATGGACCCTTTGGTTGTCATGTATCGCACACAGACATAGAACATAGATGTTCTGGGTACAAAAAAAAATCAGAGCTCATTCACGTCTGGACCATCTAACAAGGAACACAAATTCCATCATGATTAATCCGTTTGCACTGTAGTCTATGGTACTGAGAGTACCAGTAGGTATCTATCTCTGAAAAGAGTAGCTTTGTAACTTGTAAACAGTGATTCATCACACCCACTGAGTCATATTTTTTTGGATCATGGTTAGCAAAAGGAATTTCTTTACACAATCTTGGTAAACAAACAGCTTGACAGATGCAAGAGTGAGCATGTTTAAATTCCAGAGGCCCAAGGTTAAAAAGGCATCACCCATACTATGTATGCCAGTCAGGAAACTGTAAACAATGACCATCGAGCTGATGTACCAACCCTTAGCTGGAAAAGATCACAGGCACACAAAAAAATATCTCCAGACTGAGGTAAAAAAAACAACATGAAGGTGTTTATTTAAAAATTTCCCTTATCTCCATTTTTGTTTTCTTTTTCATCTCAACCTTCGTTTTACCGTTCTCATTCCAAATTCAAATATTGCTACCCTCCTTTGTCACTAATATTCTTTGCAATTTTAACATTTCCTTAGTTTCAGCCAGCTTCTTCCGTTTTGTCCTTCATACCCTGTCTTAATTCAATTCCATTTCCTTACATCATAGCTGTTTTTGATCCGCACTTGCTAACTGCTTTATATGGTTATTATAATGCTATTTGTATTTTTATTATTACACTTTATTATTGACATCTTTTTTTCCTTCAGTTTTATTCAACCCCATATTACGCAATGTTTTGTGAGTCGGGTATGCACATACATAATCAAGACTTTAAAATTTCAAGCCTTGCAATACTAACAAGGCCTAAAATTTGTCACTGTATGCTAGAGGCACAGACCCGGTGTGAATTTCTCCTTTCTAGGGCTTTTTCAATGAGCAGTGGTCTAGTGGAAACTTTGATCCCAGAACATATAAGACAGTTGTGTAAGCATGCAGTCTATATGCAACGCTATTACAGAACATGTGCCAATGCTGTTGGTACATACACTGCCATTGTTTTAGTAAAATGAGTGCCAGCCTCCTCCTACACCCCGTGGTAAAATGTGAAGGCAATGATTTGGAAATCCAGCTTTCAAATATACATTGATGTATATTTACTCTGTGTCATTTAGCACCTACTTTAAGTTCCCCCCAGTTACTTATATGTTTTTACCACTTCTATTTCATTGTGCCAACACCTGTCCCCTTGATCCTTGCTCAACTCCATTATTGCCCTTGTATTTCACTCTCTCTGTCTAAATATTATCTTATTTCCTTACCACTTTCATTATTAAACTTCATGAACAGTTTGTGTATAACCTGCTGAACAAACCTTCTCAACCCCAAATCTCTCTGCAACCTTCCTAAATGTATCGTTCGCTTTTAGCCATGAACTCAAACTGTTTTATCTAATGGGACCAATTATATTATTGTTGCTACAGGCTATCTGGAGTTATCTGCAAGTCTGGCACTATGGACCAC